TGAGTAAAAGAAAGCGCAGAGCCAAGCACATAGCTTCGGCTAAGGACGCGCTCGGCAAAATGATCACCGAGATCCACCAGACACGCCAGGTGCTTCAGCGTTCCCTACTGAGACTGCTCAATCTGGCATGGCCGAGTGCATATCACATGTCAATGGTTATCGAGCCGCCTCGTCTTGCAGATGCAGTCCAGAGAATCACCGAGGGTCTTGATCAAAAGGATTTCGCAAAACGGATTCTGGACGTCCTCTTCCGCTTTGTCTGGGAAATCTGTCAGGCAATGGAGGATAACAATGACGTTCTCTTCAAGAAAATCAGCACTCTGCAAGAATTCCAAGCTCAAGAAATGGAGGACGCCGATTTCAAAGGCATGAAGGGAAAGCTGGCCGACATCACCTTTTGTTGCCGCATCCTCTCCGATCTCCAACAGAATTTCAACTTGAAGTTGGAACCTTCGCCCTTTCAGAAAGCCCTCATCGAAGGCGCTGAAGACAGTCTCGAAGCAGGTTTCGGTACATTCGCCCAGCAATGCGTGGATCTGGCTATGTACAAGGACAAGCGTACATTCCTTTCTGTCGAAACCACTGAGGTTTTCCTCCAAGCTCTCCAGATTGCCGCGATGGGCTCAAAACTCTCTGGTCTGCTACAGAAAATCGAAGAAGGTATCGACTCAGTGGATCAGTTGAAGGAGGTCTACGTCGAATCACACGACAAATTTCTGGACTACGACAGCGACGAATGAAGCGTTCTTGAAGTTATTCTACTGAGATGGTACAAGAAAGAATTCGCCGTGCGGTAAAGCAGGTATGCTTCTGGCGCCAGCTAGCTGGATTCTGCGTCTGACGGCTCAGAGGGCTCCGACTCTGAACCTCCAGAGGACTCCGACTCAGAGTCATCAGATGTTGGGAAGAAGTCGGGATCATCATCTCCGTTTTGAGACTGCTCATATTCAGAGTCTGATTCCTCTTCAACAGAATCATGACGTGAAGTCTCGACCCAAATGCGCTCAATCTGGGAGAGATATTAGTACTAGTCTTGTCGAGGTTTCTGTCTTTGAACTTGCCTCTCGATAGAAATCAACCTTCGTCCAACCTTCTGCTTCCAAGACTGCTTTGCGTTGTGTCTTATCCCACAACGTGATACCCTCGGCATTTTCGATCTTGCGATCCTGCACGAAACCAATTCTGACGTCAAACGAGTTATTCATCGCAATCCGCCAGATATTGACAGTTCGTGTTTGGCCAGGGCGAATAGCGCGAGACATGGCCTGACGATCCACAAAGGGATTGAAGTGCGGTGTGAGGATCGCGATGCAAGCAGCTTCAGGAATGTTTAGACCAGTGCCACCCATTTTAGGTGTGGTCAAAAGCACTAAATCTAGCGCAGAGGCTTGTGCCTTGAACCTTTCCAGGTTCGTGTCTCTCTGCTCATCGTCCAATCGACCATCAAATTGAATGCAACCTACCTTGCCTTTGAACTCCCGACGAACTGCGATAGCGATCAAGTCCAGGACGGATCGGTAGCGAGCGAAGACAATTATGCCTCCACCGGAATCTGGCTCCTGATCTCTCATGGCCAGATAATGCTTGCGAATAATCCTGAGCAGAGCAACGATAACTGATGAGCGCCACTTCTTCTTGGCAGGCTCCAACTCGAAGTCTTTCAACCACCTCTTGTACGCAGCTTGAAAATTCGAGTGCTCTTTGCTCTTGTTCTCGATCGACTTGGGAGCCTCGTGTATGGCTGGATGCACGGTGGCTTGCATAGCCAAAGTCATCTCAGCTAGGATGTGTGCCTTGAGTGCCTTCCTCTGGGTTTTCTTGGTTGCTTTGGCAGAGCCTTTCTGCTTCCAATGGTGCTTGAGGGCTTCTTGGCAGCTTTTTTCTGACGAAGGGTGATGAGGAAACTTAGAGCCGTCGTCGGGATCCACGTAGATAGTTGGATGCTCTACGAAAGTGATTTCCTGTAAGGGCAGCTCATTGTTGAACTCATCCTCTCTCAGTCTGCGAAGAGATGATCCACGAACCATCAGCGAGAGAATTCTTCCTCTGCTGTCCTCCAGGCGTTTGTATTCCTTGATAGGCGACTTCTGCTTGTTGACAAAATACTGTTTGAACAAAGCTTTGTTCTGCCAGAATGGCTCGAGTCGAGCGAAACGAAAAACAGCAAACCAGTCTTGGTAATCGTTCTGTTGTATCGTTCCAGATATGTAAATGCCAAATTCTCTCAGCAATGCGCACACAGCGTCGGTTGTTTTTCCGTCACCCTTGAGTTCATGGACTTCATCACAAACCACTCGATGCCACTGGATAGCGTGAAGAGGTGCGTGAGGTATCGTACGCTCAAGTGGGACATATCTGGTCTTCGATTTTGGACCTCCTGCTGCCTTCTGCTTCTTTGTGGGCTCAATCACCTCGAATTCTTTGCCTTGCATGCGGAGTTTCTGGTGTCTGGCGAAGAGTCGACCCTTGGCGAATTCTCGATCCACCTTATCGTAGCTGACCACAATGTAGTCGTAGCTCTCCAACTCTTTGCGCTCCTTGAGGTTCCGGGCCTGGTCACGATAATCATATATCTTTCGACGAGGCACTGTAGCACGTAGTTCTTCGAGCCAAGTGTTCAAGAGTATCGCAGGAGCAGCGACAAGGACGGGGCCACCCCAATTAGCCTCGCATATAGCAATGGCCTGGATTGTCTTGCCTAGGCCCATCTCGTGCTGCAGGCCAACAGATTTCTGGGCTTGGTCGATAAGAATGGCCTGTCCTACGTCTTGGAGTTGGTATGGCTTGAGGCGCTTCTGGCCGTATGTCATCTCATGAGACATCTCTGTAAGAGTGAGACCATTGATGGGCTTGTCCTTGATTCCGACCTGTTGGCCTCTGCCCCGATCTATGCCGTTCCAGAACTGGGCCTTAATAGTCGCTTCTTGCTCGGTGGCTTCGATTTGTTTTTCGAGCTGGTTTTCGATGCCATACGTTTGGCCAATGTCTTCGACGAAATTTTGATGAGATTGATGAGCTCTGGCGGCGGAGTCGCTTGGACTTTCCGAAGAGGAATCTGATGGAGAAGGGGACTGTGGAGTGTGTAGCTCGCACCAGCTTGCGGAACCGGATCCTTGTATCTGGGCGACGTCGATTGCTTCAGCAAATGTCTCGGCTGGGAGTATCAGGTCGTCAGGATCGTCTTTGTAGACGTTTCCTAAGTCGCTGCAGCCAAGTCTGTCTAGTTCAGAAATGATCACTGGAGGCCAGGGCCCAGTCATGCGATGCGACATGGTAGAAGACTTTGGGAAGAATCAGCTGCTTGCAAAAGATCCAAGCCAGCACCAACATACCAGATAAACAGTAGTATCCTGCCTTGGATGACGAATCGGGCGACGAAAGGGGTGTTGCATTGTTGAAACAATTCTGAGCGTTAGAGAGAAAAGAAGGACATCTCGAACCCTCAAACAAAGTCGTGACGCATGTGACTGATGAAAGCGCGCGGCGTCGTTTACCATGAATAACAACACCAAACAATAGAGCGCGGACAACAATGAAAAATCGACGTCGAGCACAAACAAAATCTTTGCATCAACACAAAGCCATTCGATCTTTCTTGTCAACACGTACAAACTCTGCCTCCCTCTTACAAACCATTTCGAACTTTCTCACCAAACATCAATTCCAAGACCAAACCAGCAAAATGTCCTCTGGTTCTCCAGTAGGAGAGCAGTGGCTGTCCAATTTCAAGCAGTCTCTGGGAAAAGGCGCAAAGACTGACAAGGAGGAAAAGAAGGTCAGTCCAAGTTACCGCGCCGGGAATGAATTCTCACAACTCCCAGCCCAAGGACCCACCCAAACCTGCACCAGAGTCAGACCAAGACGCCACAATCCGTAAACAAGAAGAGGCCATTGCAAGACTGAAGACAAAGCTCGCCGATGTGGTCGCCGAAAACAACGCACTCGACATCGTCACCAAGGCCATCGAGTTCTACGAAGAGAACTGTCCTGCCAAAGGTCGCATGCGCATCGCCCTTGCTATGAAAGTCTACAGAGCCAGCGACACTTTCGTCGCCGAGACCTCCGGCTCCAACTCGGACTCTGGTTCCAACTCCGACTCCAACTCCGACTCCAACTCCAATTCTGATTCTGAATCCGAGAAGAAGAAGAAGAACAACAAGAAGAAAGCCGAGGACAACAAGAAGAAGAAGAAGAAGGCGCAGGAGGAGAAGAAAAAAGCCGAGGAGGAGAGTAACTCGGACTTGAGTCTTAGCTCAAGCTCTGACTCCGACTCTGACTCTGAGGCCAAAAAGAAGACCAGGAAGATCAAGGCCGAGGAGGCCAAGGAGGCAGAGGAGAAGAAGCAAGCCGAGGAGGCAAAGAAGGCTAAGAAGGAGAGAAAGGACAAGAAAAGGGCTGAGAGAAAACTCGCAAAAGCTATGGCTGGATGAGAAGTCGAACTCGCCGACAGAGTCAAGTCTCACCCGAAGGCAGTCTAGCAAGCAACGTACCAATATTCTCTCCCTTGAGAAGTAAGTTGTGGTTGGAACAAGGTCATATCTCATCTCCTGGTGTTTCCCACCTACTTCCATCGCGCCTCTGTCTTCCTTTTTTCTTCCCTGGCCGCGAAGAATGGTTTCCATATGATTCGCGGACTTGAATTGAATGTCAACATACCATTTTCCTCATCACTCAAGCTCACTTACGTCTTTCTGGTCATCGTCATATTTACTGCGCTCTCCTCTAGGCTCCACTCCAAGACACTCACTCGAGCCCCGCCTCGCCTCGAAAGACTGATGATCACGGACTGCTGAGGTTTCCAATCCACACCTTGCTCTCGAGTGATCAGTGACTCGGCGACGACCGGCCGGTCGAATTTCACACCAATACGCCCACCAGTTTCACTCCTGCGCCAACGATCTCACGATCTCTCCTGCGCTCGACAACACGAAGATCTCTCATCTGCGCGCCTTGTCGCTGCATCACCTCCCTACACTCGAAACATCGACAACTGGCCCAGAATGCCACCCGCAAGCGAAAGTGGATTCTTCCACACTGAGAAACCCCTCCACGTGCTCAACATCGCCGACGTACAAGACATTCGCAATGGCAGTGCCGCCCTCAGCTTCACTGAACATTTTGAGTACAAAGGAGTGCTCTTTGTCAAAGTCGCCGCCAAGGTTTCCAGCGCCGGCAAACGTCAAAAGGTCGAATTTCCAGCGGTTGTTCTTGGTCAGAGCCAGAAACGAGCTGGCCAGATGGTCTTGCTCAAACGTCCTTCCGCCACATTCCAGACAGTCGTTGGTGAAGACATGAAGCAGGAAGGTGGGATTGGAATTGGATTTGTTCACTGGTGCTCCGGCCTGCAGCTAAAGTGGGTTGCCCACGTTACACCTTCCACCCAGGTTGAGACCGGGCTTTTTGCAGAGAAGAGGATTCAGGACGCAAGAGTTGCCTTAGTAAAGGAACTCTACGGTCTTATCGACAAAGATGACGACTGGTCAGACCTTCCCTGGAACAAGGTCAAGGTCAGTAAATCAATGGCTGCATCTACTCACCTATTTGTATACTGATCATTCATACTTAGACCAAGATCGATGGTATACAGCGCCTACTCAGCGCCAAATCCTCGCCTAAGAAACGTCAGCGCAAAAGAAACGCCGCTGGCGGCAAGCCGAAAAAGAACAATATTGAGCACTCCAAAAAGCCCGACAGCGCTTCAGAGTTTTCCGAGGCCGAAGACTGGAGCGATGCCAGAGTGAAGAACTGCGGATTCGACATCGAAGAGAGCAAGAATCTGGATGATGATGAGAAGAATCAGGTCAAGACCTTAATGAAGGCCTACCGAGAGAGCGAGTCCGACGGCGGCAAAAAGCCTCACCATGAGCTGGCTAAGCTTTTGGACAGAGCTTTCGTCGCTCGCTTCGATATTCGTATCCTGCGCGATTTTGAGAAGGCTGCTTTGGCAAACGACGACATCTCGAGCCTGCCTTCGTTTTCCAGATTCGCAGACTGGTGGAAGACCAGAGATACAGAGCCACGCGATCGTACCCGCAGTCGTTCTGCCAGCGCCGAACAGGAAATCCCTGTCACCAACATACTCTGGCACAGATACAAGAGATTGCTGGGTATCACCTTCCAGGGTAAACGAGCTTGATCTGTCATACCGAGTGAGTTGAGATCCTGCGGTTGATGTCGATTATTCTTAACCTTTTACAGGACTCGTTCGCTCGATCGAAACACGTCACTGACAGCAACATCAAAGTCAAGCAAGCCTCTGACTTCCCGTCTTTCTTATGTTTTCTTTTCCTCTCTTTTCCCTTGCCTTCCTTTCCTTTTCATTCACATCTCATCCCTGCCCAGTTATTTGCTGCTCTTTTCTGCTTTTTTTTTGATCTCTGATTTTCAGCATTTGTTTCAAGAAGCGTCCACCATGATCTTGAAGAGACCACAAGAATAGGTCATTACGAAACGGCCACGACTCCGCTAGCATTGCAAGGCAGCCCGAGAATATACTTATCTAAAATATACTCTTGAAACCACTCTCTAACTGTAACTAGGCTTATCGGTGAAGCCGGTCATCGTCCGCATCCCAAATCCCTTCCTTATGTGGAATATATGCTGCTGTCGTTTTTCCTCGCGAATAGCTTCGCTATCTCTGATGTTCTTCAAAAATCTTCGTGAGCTCTTTTAGCCGAACTGGTTTCGTCAAGAAGAGATCGACGCCACTTGCGAATGCTTCTTGCTGTACACTGGCAGATGCCATGCCAGTAAGAGCCACAATGACTGCAGGTCGCAAGCCCTTTGCGCGTTCAAAAGCACGTATGCGACGAGTCGATTCGAGACCNCTGGAGATACTGGTTAGCTGAGATTCAAGGGCGGACACATAAATGCAAGTGTTGGTACTCACGTCCATTTGGGGCATGTTGATATCCATGAGGACGAAATCGAATGACTGCGCCGTCAATTCGGGCTGATTTTGCAGAAGCAGTGAGTTCTCGCTATCTTTTGGAAGACGTGTCGGATCAGTATGAGCTTGATACGCTTGTAAAGCTTCAAGACCATTGGTGGCAGTGTCGTAAGCGTGTCGTTGCTTCTTCATGAAAGTAGCCAACAGGTTCAGGTTGATGTTGTTATCATCAACGAGCAAGACTGACACGCCCGGAACAGGAGATGTGACACTAGGCATAAGAGCTTGCTTCTGAGCTTCAAGTGCATCAGCTTGTCGATTGACCTCGACGCTTTGTCGTACCTTGGCCATGAGCATTTCCTGTGTTTTCTCCTCCATCGGTGTGTAGAGTACTACCTCGGGATTGGAATTTGTGCTGTTTTGTGAGATGGTGGAGCTGGCTCGTTGGTCTCGTGGACGTTGAGATGAAATGCTAGTGGCTCGGGAGAGCGGTAATGGAGGAGTTACTGCATCGTCCGCTGTTGGACGACCCGAACGCTCCAGGCACTGAGCTAATGTCTTAGCAACCTTGTTTGGAGCCAAAGGTTGTGCTATGTACTCCATATGAGGGCTGATGGCGGCCATAGACTTGTAAGACTGAAGAGCGTTCGCAGAAGCGATATCCTTGCACAACACGACGACCGGACTTGTACCAATAGGATTGTGCCTTGCAGGTTTGAAAGCAAGTTGCTTGACCAGTGCGTTTGTGTGTTTTTTCAGGACGATGTGTAGGTCCGCTTCCTCTGGCTCTGGAGTGCATCGAACAGGTACGCCATACCATTTGCTACAGAGATCGATGAATTGGGTGTCGTCATGTTCGCCCTCTGGTATGAACATGTTCAACCGCTTTCCTCGTAGCATACCAGCGATGTCGGATGTAGCGGAGGACTTGTCTGGCTCTGAAGAGTGGTCGGCGCGTGTCATGCACACTGCAATAGAGAATTGAGTTCCTTCGCCCTGCTTGCTCTCCACAGTCACACTACCACCCATACTGGTGACGATTTGCTTGACAATACTGAGACCCAATCCAGTACCAGGCGATAGGGGGTCTTCTTGCACAAAAGGAGAGAAGACGCTCTGTGATAGGAAGTCTTCTGACATACCCTTTCCAGTGTCTGTTACTGTAAGAATGACTTCTACGTCTTCTTCGGATATCGGACTTGGTAGCGATTTAGAGTCTAATCGCACCGTAACGCGGCCTCTGTCGGTGTACTTGAGGCTGTTTCCGACAAGATCTAAAATGATGCGAATCCAACCACCAGCTTGGGTTGTAAACACCCAATCCGAAGTCGTGTCATATTCGAGGAGAACAGTGAGTGCTTCGAGCCCCCTCGTGGGGTGTGAAGTTACAACTCCTTGAGCAGTGTTTCCAGTCTTTAGAGGTGTGACGCGAACAAATTCGTGCCCTGCAAAGGCCGTGTCGACCACTTCTTCAACCAGTATGCTTAGGTCCACAGGACTCTGCGCGGTTTCGGCCCCATTTCGATGTAGTTCGTTTCGTGTTGAAGAGACAGAAGGTCTCCGATGGTTTGTGTTACTGAGATTGTTGATCTTCGCATAGGATAGCAAGTTATCAAAGGTATCGAGCAAAGTTTTTCCACAAGTCTCGATAGTGGTGATTAAGCTGGACTGGAAAGCGTCCAGAGGCGTACCCTGAAGACACTCAGAGCTACCCATGATTCCATGTAAAGGAGTTCTGCGGTTAAGTTAGTACTTGAAATCAGGATATATTGAGTGTACCTACCGCAACTCATGAGATATTGAGCTGATGAACGTCGCTTTCGCCCTATCCGCCATTTTGACGTCAATCCTGGCAATCTCCGACATCACTGATTGACCAAATGCGGTCATGTAGTTGAGTTCGCTGTCAGTCGAGAGAATACGTGTCGGATTACAAGTCCAAAGTATGCTTCCTGCAAACCATCTGCTGCGGTGCGGATCCCACATACCCACGAGAGCTAGACTGCGCGCGCCGGGAAAGAGAGTGCGAATTAATCTTCTTTCTCTCCAGCGTTCGCCCCTCCGGTTCACGAAATCTGCAGTCCTAGGAGAATCAATCAAGCCCTCGTAGATATCTTCGTCGTCGTAGCTCCATATCTTGCCTCTGGGGTATTTGGCTAGTAGTCTTTGGAGGAATCGTTCGCTGACAGAGAGAGGCAAGCTCGGTGCCATGTGAGAAGATCTTCGTTCTCCGGATGAAGTCAACGAGCTGCCTAGAACAATACAATGTTTTTCGTCGTTCGTTTGCGAAGTTTCGCTGGTCCTGGCCGAATAGGAAGAGCCACCAGCAGAAGACTGAGTCATCGAGCCTTGCTGCGTTTGGGATCCATCAACAAGGCCAGCAAACGATCCAATAGAGGCGTCAAGGAAAATAGCTCCGTCAACATCCACGGATTCTCTTATAATGTCGGCAGCTCGTTGGAAAGTTGACTTGATATCAGGAGATATGGAGTCCTCTTGTAACTTGTTGGCAACCACGGCCTCTTCTGACGGTTTTTGAGGTTCTTGCGATGGCGTGGTTGACTGAGGAAAGTTTGGAACGCGAGGTGTGTCTCCCTGTGCCCCGAGCGCAAGGACGGGTCCAGGGCTCACATCAGGTGAATAGGTAGGGGTGGGAGTTGTCCGGAGATGCCTGGAAGACGAGTTTGAAGACCTGATACCGGTACGACCGCTGCGCTCTGGTCCAGCTCGTGATCGAGGGTGATCGGGCTTGTCTTGGTGAAGGCCTTTCCACCAGTCCTTTATGCTGGCTTTTCCATCTACGAATTGCCCTAGTCCCTGGACCATATTTTGAGAACGATTGAGTTCAGCTGTCGCTCTGACCATCTATTTTCACGATTAGAAGAGGAGCAGAACAGTTTGATCTCCAGCACCATACCGCAAGNNGTGGTTCATGATGGTCACGGCCATGTCCTTCATGAACTCAATCTCGGTCGTGCGAAGGCCTTCAGCTCTAGGCTTGTCGTCCAGAACACAAAAGACTCCAATGTTGTGACCGTTTGGTGAAATGATGGGGACTCCAGCGTAGAAGCGACCTNNAAGAGATGTCAGTCTTACTAATTACCTCGTTTTGTGTATATGTCTCAACAGCCGACAGAGCAATACGATTCGCTTACCGTGAGGAACTTCAGTGACCAAAGCGTGGTCCTTGAACAGGACGTGCTCGGATAGATCTGGGAAGACTACGACATCTCCCTTGTCTTCTGCAGTGAGCAGATCTGGAGCGACAAGGAGCCCGGCAGCATACTCGCATGGGGTGGATCGCCTCTCAAAGGCAGTCGCACCTACCCACAGGTTGTCCTTGTCATCATCGACAGTATTTTTCTCCAGACTGAGGGTTCTAGTGGCCTCGGCGAGGACATATNNCTTGGTGCAGGTCAGCGCGGGCGATGTTGGGCTATATCGGAGGCTTGGTTACTGGTATTTGCGATCGATCAAGGAAACGAATGTTCTACGCGCTCGCAGACGGAATGCTGCAAGTTGTGCGAAGGCTGTCAAGGCGCGATCTGGTTGCGACCCAGGTCCGGAGACTGACGCCGTTTGGCTGGCTTGCTGGAGGTCCTGCAATGGCTGATAGTACNNCTACGAGTCGCATTGGGGTCAGTCGCAAGGCTATACAAGAGACAGGTTGGCAATGACAGACTTGTACGTTTCGCGCTCCCTCAAGGCATCGTCATCGGAGGCAGGATGGAGGAGGAGGCTGGGCCTCCCGCAAGCAGAAGCCATTGCACAGTCAATCGCATACGATCTTCAGTCTCTCCAATCTGACCCTAGGGGTATGCAGCTTTTCGCCCAAGGCACCACGGCGACGACAATTGCAACGAAGGTCAAAGGAAAGGACAAGAAGTTGAGCCGCACTCGGCGGAGCAGGCATGTTTGGGAAGAAGGTTGCAAAAGCCGCGACTAGACCTTTGGCACTTTGCCACTGGCTCACTGCATAACTCGAGCCAACGGTCAAGCACGCTACAAATGCAGGCCCGAGTCTCGTTGCGCCAGTCTTTGCCTTCTTGCACCGTCGCGCCTTCCGAAAGACGGATCGTAGATGGCTTGAGGAAAGCATCAAGTCGCAACCTTGAATGCACTCGAGTGGGGCTCCCCAGACAGCGAACCCGAATCAATCTGTCGACGGGAATAGATCAGCTAAGTCCGTCGATACGCTTGCGACTGCTGTTTCGCCGTCTTTATGTCGACGGTACTACCGTTTACCGCATACTCCAAACAGACAGAGCACTCAACTTGTGACCCATGGACCGATACGCATCTTCATCTGCTCTTGCGAGGGGAACGCGCATTCATCTGAGCTGGTGCATGTTGATTAGACAATCAGCGTAGTAGATATCCATGCACGAACGTCCCTGCGCGCTTTAGATCGGGCACAAGCCCTTGCCGCAGGGCACCGTCGATCAATTCGATACCTAATGCATGGCCTTGTCTCATCCAGCCAACTCGATACCGATCTTGCCGAACGTTGTTTCAATCAGACAGGACAGAGTAACGCTTGCCGCATGTGCCCCGAGTGTCGCACATAGGCTGTTCTGCCTCAGTCGTGGTGTGAATTCTGAGGCGATAGATTTGTGCATCTTTCGAGCCATCAAAAGCCACAAGATGCCACCAAGCCACCAGGAGGTGCACTCCGCGTCTCTGCCGATATGCTGACGATTTCTTGGCAGACCTCGACGCAGATCTCGCAACAAAAGTCCACGAAACTGCTGTCAATGAACGTGTCAGTCCTCCCAGATCTTTCACTACAGATATATCGAGCAATACAATTCGAGTCTCGACGGAAATTGATGCAAAATATTCGCAGCACCTAGTTGTACCTTTCGGCAAGCTTTGGCAAAAACAAATCATTTTGGTGCTAAAAAAATTGATGTTGTTCAAAGTTCGGGGCTCACACGTTCATTGAGAGGGACTTGCTGTTGTTGGTGCCTCAGGGAGGTTAGCTCCACTCTGTAGTTGTAGGTTAGGAGCACAAACCGCAAAGGACGCAGAACAAAGGGGCTCTCGTCCAAGCATTCCGTTGACACAAGTAGATCCGATGCCATAGTCAGGCACTGCAAGGTAGACGGTGAGATCTGATACAGCTAGCATAGGTCGTTCTCAACTTCACCTGCTGTCAACAATTGCGTTTTGACTTTCATGAGGCTCCAAATAAAATGTTGAGGCTCTAGCGGATTAATCAAGGCTCGGTGCGGACCTCTGTCTACAGCAACTTAAGCGTGCGTTGAAGTGCATATACCTGTCCTGTCGAACATGGTGTTCCGATGGGTAAAGAGCGGTTTGTTGCATTTGTTCAGAACTGGCTGTTGACCAAAAGGGAAGGAGCAGAAATCGGCAGACAACATTTTGATCGGCAAGATCCAGCCCAGCCACGGGCCTTGGCGAAGGAGATCCATCTCTGACAGTGCAGTACCTGCCGAGCTCTGCACGACAACTGAATCAAACAGATCTACCTCAGCTGCATCCTATGACTTGCGGAAGAGGCGCCCCCGCCCTGAATCGTAACGTGTTTGCGACGACTGTGACAGAGATCGTCCGCACTCCCGACCGAAGTCGTCCCTCGAAACGACCCAAAGATTTCTATGTCACGAGTCTGCCATCGCGATCACCTTCAAGAAACAATTTCCGCGAGCATAGATCATCTACGTCCGTAGAGACAACAAACTCGAAGTGGTGTCCGCCGATATCGTAGACTGGGGCTCACCGCGACCCACAAACACGAGACGTGATCACTGCAAACCTTTGCTAAATCACAAATCACAAATCACAGGCTAAGTAGTTCTTTTACCCAGAACGTGAAATTGATACAGTGCTTCTGCCCAGCGTGACTATCTGATCTCCAAACGCAAGCTGTCGTACTGCACGTATGTGCTTCTCGGAAGAACCGCACTCTCGTAATCTGTCGCATTAAATGGCAAGCTCAAGATCATCTTGTTCTGGCCTTCCTTTATGAGATTGGCGTCAAACTTGTACTTGTGAGCGAGAGCATAGCAAACTACTGCAGACCTGGTAGCGCATGAGCTGCTTTGGTTCCANACTAGATGCAGTCAGTACGACATTCTATACAGCCTCACATTGACAACGTACGGTATATCCCATGGCTCAATTTCGTTCCCATTCATGACCACTGTCAGCGGCAGGTTGTTCCACGGTTGTGTCGCATTACAGTTGTCTGTATTGCCGGCAGCTGTTTTTGCACCTGCTAGTTGTATCNNTTTGTCCACGATTAGCATACTAATCTTTGCAGGTAATCGATGACTCACGGTGAGCGTTGCGTCTTTTGCTTTCTTCAGGTCGCTCTTCTTCGCGTCGAACAACACAGTCCAGTTATTGACGTTCTCATAGTACGGATCTGGCCTTACGGAGTTTGCATATCCACCAAAGACACTCCAATGAACNTATGCCTGTGTCAGAATAGAGATACGCCAAAAGCAGGACAACATACCATAGTTGAAGTCTTTGCTCTCATCGCTTTTGCCGACTTCGAATGTGACCCCCTCAGGGTAATCAGTTGGGAAGTCCCAATTCGCCCAATAGATTCTGTATTCTGGAGGATGCAGAGGTTTGCTTGGGTCAGGCTGGTCACCATGCCTGTACTCTCCGCTGCTGCGGTCAGGAGTGCCGATGCGCCATAACTCTTTACCAGCAGATTCCTCGCGCCACTTGACCTTTGTTGTTGTAACCTTACCAACTGCAACCACGACATTGTCCTGAATGTATTGGCCAAAGATGCCGTCGGCATACACAGTCAGACGATAAGTACCAGGCTTGACCATCGGGATCTCGATGTTACCTTTTCTGTCAATATCGCCCCAATACTGGTATGCCTTGGTGTCTAAAACGTTATCTTGAAAGTCCACACCATTCTGAGCAAGCACGGCAATAGGACGCTGGGCACCTTTGGGCAAATCAATACGTCCTTTCCAAGTCGACCTTTGCGTCGAGGGGATGTAGTTTGGTACCAGATGAGCGATGGAGTCATAGAAAGCGGTGTTCCAGGTGGGAGATGCAAAATGCTCAGCTTCTGCACGCAGCTCCGCCATAGTGGTTGTGTTGGAGCCTTTGTTGAAGTGGAAGTATTGAGGTCCGAATGTTCTGTCGAAGCCGGTTGTGATATTGGGGACATTATCTCCGTGGTGGTTCGAGGCTGTATACAAGGTTAGTCGGAACTCAAGATCTAGGGCGAATGCTGGCTTACAGATATAGTTATAGACAATACCATCCACAGTCAAATCAGAGTGTGTAGGACCGCCAAAGTAGGTATCTACCGTGTTCATAACCAGCCAAGCACCAAAGGTTGAACCATCCCTGCTATTGGAGCCATCGCCGTATATTCCGTGGACTTTGTGGTCTCTCCACTCGTCTGAAAAGGTGTACTTTGTAAAGTAATCGGCAAATTGCTCGACGTATGGTGCATCAGTGTAATTGCCAAGATACCATGTTGCGTCTTGCACTGTCCTGGAGTACTTGAGAGTATCAGAAGAAGGCAAAGGAGCATGGATCTTCTCGTTGGTAGAAAGATGGGTCCACAACGGCGTAGTTGGTCTGAACAGTGTTCTGAACTCTTGCAAATTTCTACTGGAACATCAGTGACTGAACAAAACAGAAAGGCAAACATCAACATACCTCAAAAACGGCTTCGTCTCATTATAGTAAGCAAGACGCGAGAAAGTATGCAGCCCCGTCTCGGTCTCTCTCAAAAACCAATACTGCTCCAACACCTGTCCAGTCAACGGATACACCTCAGACATAAGCACACCACCATAAGGTACGCCAGTAGAATCACTGCCATTGAACAGCTTGAACGTTGCATACTTGCCAGGCGTATAAGAACCAGAAGGCACGCAGTAGCAATCCAAATATGGTCCTATGCCATTTTGACCAGCGGCATTGCCTCCGGGAGTGACTTCATTGTACTCTTTTGTGCCGAGCAAGTTTTGGCCATCGAGGGTGAGTATGTCCATTATTCCTGTGGATCTGTTGACGGAGGCGTAGAGGCGGTCGTTGGCGATGACCAAGGCCTTTGCATTTTCTGTTGCGTTCAGGAAGCTGTGAACAGGAGTGATGAGGGACAAAAGATATGGGAGCAGAAAAATCTGCAATGTCCGCATTGCAGCCATCTTCGACGGTTGAGGCTTGAACAGAGACTACAACATGGCATCACATTCTTCCCATCATTGCCCTTTTAATGGAACTCATACCTTTGAGAGATCTACCTCTCATTTCCATCTTTACCCCATACCCCGAGCGACTTCTCCGCATCATACGGGAGAGGTGGAAGATCTATGGATATCAAGAACGTTTGCATATCAACTCTTCGCATACTTCGGTATATTGCTATACCGAAGTGCATTGCATAGCCCCCGACGCCTTGGCGTAACTATCTGGAGTTGCATGTGATGAGCACAAGCGGGTCACTCTTTCGTGTTGCATTCCGTATCCTCCTCCAAGTGCATGATGATCCAGGAACTTGGGTCAATTCAGCCGAAGAGATTGTCCTGCGGTGGGCGAACATCAAAAGACATGCCCAAGCAGAAGAGCTGCACATAAGAATCGGCTTATCTCAGTGGCTACTACATTTAAGAAGAGTTCCTCGACATGAGAGCACTGCCCTATCGAGAACAAGCAAAAGCTTTGAATATCAAATGGTATCAGATCAAATTACAGCTATACATTCAAGAATTCCACCACGTCGTTGATCTAGTAGACATACCTGAAGTTGGGGTTCTCCCTATCCGTCAAATCATCAAAGGCATGAGTGTAAGCCTCATCTCTCGCCTCTCCAACGCCAGCAGCAGCGAGTGCATCCTTCTTAGCGTTGCATCTCTTCAACCACCATCTCAAAAACACAATGACAATAACCAATAACACATAACAGCCCATGTGCGTCGCAAACGCGATGAAGTATCTCGGCGCATCGTAGGCCAAAAAGACTTGAGGACCAATGGCGTTTCCAGCAGCCCAAGCGGCAAAGTTTGCAGCCACGACGATAGATTTCTTGGTCTGGCCGCCAACATTGCGAGACAGCATTGACATAGCCAAGGTTTGGGCAGCCCAAAAACTGAGGACGATGTAGTATGAAAATAATAGACCTGCTTGGGTAGCCGTGTTCGTGTTCCTGACGGTCATGAGCACGATTGTGCCGGCGAAAGAAGGGATGACGAAGGCGCCCATGACGAGAAGATTTTGGCCTGTTTTCTTGACCAACCAAGTTGAGGAGAGCAAGACAATGATGATATACGCGCCGAGTACCATAGCCAGAAGCTGTGTCTGCAAAGTCGTGAACTTGAAGCCTTTGACGATGATGTTGGCAAAGGCCCCCAGGCCGCTTGTGGGCAAAGTAGTACAGATTTGAATCAACATGTAACAGTAGAGTTGAGGGTCTGTGAGTGCTTCTTTGACTTGTTCAGGACGGAATTTTCTGTTCTGGATACCGGTCTGGTTGGAACGGACTCTCTCGACCATGAGTTTCNNTGTAAAAGTAAAAAAGTCAGTTTCGAATAGTCCTAGTACGACGACATGGATATCAATTACCTTGTCTTCCTCAGAGAAACATTTGGCACGCATAGGCGAGTCAGGCAGCCAGAAAAGTACAAAGAAACCCCAGAGTACGGAGGCTGAACCGTAAGTGATGAAGATGGCCTGATACGACTTGACAGTTCTATCGTTTCCGAGCAGCGAAAAACAGTAAGCTAGCAGACCACCGACGATCTGTTGCAAGCCGTTCATGCAGTACCAGTATGTTACTGTCTGGGCTTGTTCATCTCTCTTGTACCAAAGAGATGACAGGACCAGGAAGGCGGGCTGACAGACGGCCTCGAATATACCAAGGAAGGTACGACAAACAACGAGGGTAGTGAAGTTCGTTGCCGTTGCATGAAGGGCGAGTACGGTACCCCAAAGGATGATGTTTGCTGAGAGATATTTGGCGATAGGTACGCGTTGAATGATCCAATTGGTAGGATACTCGACGAACAGCACAGCGATGTAAATACACGTCGTCAGCCAAGAGAACTGNTTTGAGATTAGCAGCTGACCTCTAGAGAAAGAGTAGTATCTGGCAGGATATACCTGGTTGCCTCCAATATGTAAATCGTCTCTGATACCCATGATACTGGTAAAACTCATGGTTCCTTTATCGATTGCCTGAAGAAAATAGGTCAAGATCATGACAACCAAANNAACACGACGGTCGATCAACTTCTTTAGACGCTTGTCATCTGCTTCGGAGATCTCGATGCGTTCGCCAGCGGTGTATTTGGCGAGTTCTTTGTCCACACGTTCGTAGTTCATGTGGTCGCTTTTGAGGTTCTCCTCGTTCGACATGACTGTCTCGAGGCGGACGAGATCGTCCTTCTCCATTGGAGCTGTAGCAGTATTGAAATTGGACATGACTGCGTCAAGATAGCAAAGAATGTGTCAAAACCTCCACGACTGTCAAAGCAAAGGTCGCTGGGGCAGGAACGAACCGCCGTAGCTTCCTTCCTTTATCAACACGCGAGGTTGCACTCTCGGTACTCATTGTCCCATGGCCAAGACGGACTATCACCCTTCGTGTTGCTTGTATTGGAACGTCCACAAGTCTCTTCATCCGGGCCCTAGACAGCAGTAACTGTCCCACGGGGTATCCCCCACACTACTCAAGAGCGCCACTGGGGCACGCCATCTCAACGGGTGAAGCGGGGAGGAGACAACGTTAGCGAGTCAGTACAGACCAAACACGAGTTCGGAGAAGACATTCCGCCATGATTGTCATAGTTTTGACAAGTCATTGGTGGATTATAAAGATGTGGGGGTGTGGTTAAATTGACTGCATGTTGCATTGCGATCCTTCAGCTTGGCAGATCGGCCTCTCGGGACTCGGTGCAAAGATGTCGAAAGATCGGCAACAGCTGAGGGGATACTTATTACGAGGTACCATCTTTGAGAAAGGTTGATATCCAAGCAAAGGCATACTCATCTTGTTTGCATTATACTGAACTTGTTGCACCTTTGACGCAGGACTTGGGTATAGATTTTAGACAAACTTCATCTCCATCATGCCTACCACTCTGCGTCTCCATGGCTATGAAGCCACGGATATCCATCGTTACATTGAGCTCTTGATTCACAATCTCGTAAACATCGAAGACACTACTGGTCGTTTCCTACTCAAACTTGATGATGGCCGTATCATCGACACAAAAGGTCGGTCGGCACCTCTACCAGCACCCACTCGAAAACAGTATATATTGATAACACCCACAGGTTGGAACGACTGGGAGTGGACCCACGGAATCGGTCTCTACGGTCTATATCATTACCACGCCCTGACAGGCTCACCATCCGCTCTATCAACAATCCAACAATGGTTCCAAGGCCGCCTCGCTGAGGGCACAACCAAAAACATAAACACCATGTCCCCCTTCCTAACACTGGCCTACCTGTACGAAAAGAGCAGGGACACCACACATGAAGCCTGGCTAGACTCTTGGGCAGAATGGGCAATGTACGATTTGCCTCGCACACCTTATGGCGGATTCCAGCACATGACATATGCAAGCGACAATCACTACGAGCTCTGGGATGACACTCTGATGATGACCGTTATGCCTCTTGCAAAAATTGGTCTCCTGTTAAATCGCCCTCACTACGTCGAAGAAGCAAAGCGTCAGTTCATGCTTCACATAAAGTATTTGTTCGACACAAAGACCGGACTCTTCTTCCACGGCTGGAAGTTTGACGAGAACAGCCCTGGCGGTGTAGGGCATAACTTTGCAGAAGCCAGGTGGGCAAGAGGAAACAGCTGGGTCACGATTGTTATCCCGGACTTTATCGAGTTGTTGAACTTGCCAAAAGATGACGCATTGAGGATCCATCTGATCGACACCTTGGAGGCTCAATGCAAAGCTCTCGCAAAGTTACAAGGCGAGAATGGCATGTGGCGGACATTGCTCGACATCCCTACAAGCGAAGGCAGTTACGAAGAAGCTTCTGCGACAGCTGGATTCGCCTATGGTATGTTGAAGGCCGTACGGAAGCGATACATCGGCAAAGAGTACGACGCCGTTGCTCTCAAAGCTGTAAAGGCCGTGATTGGGAGTATTAGCGAGGATGGAGAACTCCAAAACACAAGCTTCGGTACCGGCATGGGCAGTGATCTGCAGCACTACAAGGACATTCCGATCACCAGTATGCCATACGGACAAGCGATGGCAATGATGATGCTAGGTGAATTCTTGAGGGTCTTTGTCTAGGTACAATGCTATCAGTCATAGAATCTAGCCACCCGGAACATAATCAGTGATGCTGCAAGTGCCATACTCCTAGGTCCATGCAATAGTTGCAACACAAGTAGGCTATTCATATGCCAGAGCTGCGATCTTCTGGACGTAACTTCCGTCACCCAACAGCTCGGCACGAGCAAAGGCAGCGGTAAGGAGAGAAGCATAACTCCAGGTCAGGTCGTATGCACCTTGTGCGTGGCCATCGTTGCGGTTAAACTCTTCAGCCAAGTTTCCACCGACTGGAGTGTGATACTTGACACGTCGCATGTATGCATCGCCCCAGCCCTTCAAACTGGCAATCACTGCGGCAAACTCCTTGGTGTTGGAGGAATATGTTTTCGATTTGAGCCCAGCTTTTGGTGCATAGTAGGCGAAGAAAGGTGCAGTGACATTTTTGACAGTCAGGCTACCAGCTTTCTGATACTCCGAGGCAGCTGAGTAGAGGTATTGGGCCATGGTGGCAGTGGTCAGATACCAAGGGTTNGCTGTTTGCATGTTAGCATGTACGCTCGAGATATTCTGGGTACGATTGACATGCCCTCCATTTGGCGAAGTGCTCACACCATTGTAGACGTCTTCGGGATAACGGCTATGAAACTTGTCAGTGTATGTCAGGCAGAAATAATTGAATGAACCTTACCCGATAGGAATACCAAGAGAAAGACCCTGTGAGTCTTTGATTGTCTTAGCAATCGGGTACACGCTCAGGAAGCTGGTCGAGATCTTTAGAGCCGAGGCCAGAACTCTATCGTTGGTGTATGAGTAAACACCGTCACCAGCATATCCATGAATAACACCGAGGATGACAGCAATATCGATGAATGAGCTCTTTCCAGCCAACACGGGGCCATATTCGTAAAGGATGAGCTTCCTGTTCGGGCTCCAGAATTGATCAAGAGTTGCCGTGAGCTGAGTAGCTGCCAACGAGAGTGTGTTGCTTGTCGCTGAATCACCCAACATGGTTGCGAACTTGGCGCCCATGACCAGAGCACGACGTTGAACAAGACGCGTGTAGAAGTGCGCACTTTCCTCCTCTTCCCATAGATCAAAGCTAGGCGAGCTCCAGTTTCTGGCAACAAACAACAAATCCTTCAAGACTGGCGCTTTCTGAGGGTTGGCATTGGAGTCCCAGATGCGGTCGCGGACAGAAGACAAGCTTCCGCCTTTCTTCATATAGTCGTTGGCGAACTCCATGAGTGTGATGGCAGCGGTTGCGGGTCCATCATTTTGAGGGCGACCCCAAGGACCAGTAAAGGCGGTGTTGTTCAGATAGAACTTGGGCTCTCCGAGGCCGGCGAAAGTAAGAGATGGATCGTTTTGCTCGACAGCTCTGCCTTCGGCGTAGTGGAACATGGCATCCTTGTACTTGCGAGTAAACTTATCGACTGTGGATGCCGCGTAGAGAGATCGGACAACTTCCATTGTCAATGACGAATCACGAACCCAATCGTATTCGTAGTCCGGAAGTTTCTGGTCATACGAAGGTCCCGATCGAGCAGCAACCACAGTGCCCTTCGCAGCACCATCAATGTCGGGGTTGATGTTCAGGAACATGCGGGTCTTGGAGAGATCGGCCTGCGAACCATTCTTGGGAGCCAACCAAGCAGTAATGTCATCAGAGAAGCCGCTTGGAGTTGCATAAGGTGATGGGACAGCGGCAGGTGCTGGAGGTGCATTGCCGCTAGCCTTGACGACAAGCTGCAACTGTTGTACATAGGTCTGCCCGATATCCTTGGCCTGATAGGTAAGGTTCAACAACTCGGTGATTCCATCGAGATAGACAGGGGTGTTTGCACTCCAGTACTCGTAGTTGGTGTTCGGGATGCTGGAGTTGTAGCCGAGAGCGACTGATGTCAAGGGCGTAGATTCACCCTGGCTATCTGTGTAGTACAGAGTGACCACTTTGTTATAGTTGACATTGGCGATGTAGACGATCACATCCAGGTTACCGCCGCAGTACGAGTAAGAGCCGAGGGCGACATTGGTGTTGGTGGGAACCGATGCTTGCACTGTTGTGGTCTGACAGGGAGTGTTTTGAGCGAATGATATAGAAGGGCAGAAGGCCAACAGGCCACTCAGAGGTGTGGCGACGTTTCTGAGCAACATATCGCAGGATGAATTGAGCACAAACTGCAGTGCTGGCGATCCGAGCATTTTGTATATCACTGTCCAGATGCACCTTCCCGAAATGAAGCTCTCTCCCTATCCAGACTGTCGGCGCGATTGTCGGTGGAAAGTGCATGCATGCAGTGGAAGCTGCAAGCAAGAGCGGTAGCGGGGTTTTGACTTCTCCATACCTTGCCGACTGCCAATCATGCCTTTGTCCTGCACCTTGGTCACACGCAGAAGGCAGGTGCTCGCCTGCAGTAAAAATCGTCCAAGCTTTCCCCGCACGCGACCTCCACGCGACTCCCTTGCTGTGACACATCTCGTCATGAAAAACAAACCGCTGCTTACAGCCTCGGGACTCGGACATAAAGATTTTGTATCTTTCACGTGCAATGACGTGTTCATAGACAATTTCGAGATACTCATGTTGCGCGAACAATGTCTGAGCATAGTAGCTCAATAGAGCACGTAGAGGAAAGCGTCTGGGTTTGACTGCACAGCTAATCCTGTCTCTACTCACACGAACACAGTCAAGAAGATTTGATCAGAAAATCATTTTATATCTGCAATACCTATAACTCCTGAACAAAAAGGGATACACCAAAACTCATGCCGACTCTCCATCACTGCTCGAAGCATCCGACACATCTGCCGACGACACAAGTGTCTCGCTTTGGTAGCTCTCCTCGCTAGGAGACACCTTCTCCTGCTCTGCCTGAGTCTCCACAACCTTAGCTTCTCTCTTGACCTCAGGGGTCAGTTCGTGCGAAAGTCTCTCGAATGCATCCTCCACCATCTTTTCGATACTAGCACCGCTGAGGATCTTCAGCACTGGCATGTCCAAGTCAAGTTCGCTCTGGAACCAGGATCTGATCTCGACGGCAACCAGGGAGTCGATACCAAGTTCGGTGAGTCCAGTCTCAGGGGTGACTCTGCTTTCGTCTTCGCTGATGTGCAGCATGGTGCACAAGCCAGAGATGAAGCGGTCTAGAAGGACCTTTTGCACACCTTCCTCGGTGGTTTGCTCCTTGAGTTGTGCGCGGACAGAGACTTGACGCTTGTCACTCTGCTCAGCAAAGGCGTCGGCCTTGACGCGGCGGTAGTAAGCAAACTTGGGCAGGTCAAGCCAGTAAGGAAGGTTGGGCTCCTTGGCCACGTCGAAGACCTTGCAACCACTTGAGATCTCAAAGTTTCTGCCAGAGTCGGAGGGAGAGGCGAGTACCGCCTCGGCAAAGAACTGATGGTAGTCCCATTCGGAGACAGGTGCATAGCCCAGGTTGCTCATCTTTTGGCTGAGGTTGATGTCTACGCTGCGGCGCTCGACGTAGCCGACTCCAGAAATGGCGCCGAAACTCATAGCACTGCCTGCTAGGCCTCTTTCTCTACGGTTAGCTGCAAGCGCAGTCATGAAGCCGTTTGCTGCTGCGTAGGGAGATTGGCCGTGGTTGCCGGCAATATAAGCCAGAGAAGAGTACACGATGAAGAAGTCAAGAGTATTCTCAGGGAACAGCTCATCAAGGAAGATAGTGCCATCGACCTTGGGCTTGAGTGTCTTTGCGAATGACTCGTATGGCATGTTGGCTAGCAGATTGTCGTCGAGCACCATAGCGGCGTTGGTGACACCTGAAATGCGAGGCATAGTATCGCAAATGTCCTTGTAACCAGCGCGAACAGAATCCCTACTGGTCACGTCCATGGCGAGGATCTTGACTGTCACGCCTTGAGCAGCCATGGTGTTCAGCCAAGCTTGCTCAACCTTGGGGTTTCTGCTGGTCAAAGCGAAGTACCTAGCGCCACGGTTGACCATCCACTGACAAGTGGACAAGCCAAGCTCACCAGTCGCACCGACCATCCAGTAGGTGCCGTCTGAGCGGAAACGAAGTTGCTCGTTGACCAAAGAAGTCGAGACAGGGACTGACGCGTTTGTAGTCCAGTCAACGACACGGAGGCTGGCAGGCTGGACCGGAGTGTCAGGCAAGCTTGCCAGAGAGACAATGTCGGAGCTCTGGAATGATCCGAGATCAGCGATTGCGCGAACATAGTGCTTGCGAAGGGTCTTTGCAATATCATCTTCCGAGTCAACATATCCGTCGTTGCTGAAGATAGCTGAGATATCCCTACGCTTGCATACAGCGGAGATCTCGCGAGTGATGCGATCACCAACATTGTCGTGTTCAGTAGAGTTTCCAGAAAGATCAGCAAAGACTGAGAGGGCCTGGGGAATGTGGGATCCAATCAGTGCTTGAGAAGTTGAGGGGTGGATGTAGTGATAGATGCTGTCCGATGACTTTGATGATGTGAGACGCATCGGAACCTTCTTTTCCTGAGCGACCTTGAGCAATGTTTTCGCAAGGGTCGAAGGGGCCTCGTGAACCAAACAGGAGCTTCTAGGACTAGTCTTGCCAATAATCGCATCAGCAGCACTGTAAGTGGCAGCGGCCAGAACAACATTGCTCTCAAACTCGTCCGCGACATCGCACTCGATGGTCCAATTTTGAGGCACAGATACCGAGGACTGCAAAGTCTGTGTAAAGGCCAGCAGCTTCTTGCCAGTCTCGGCGTGTGTTCCACTGACGATGAACAGAGATCCAACAGACTTGACCTTGACAGCGCTGATGAAAGATTTGCGGACGTTTATGGTCACCATCTCGGCAGCTCTTACAGCTTCTTTGTTGAACGGCATATCAAAGAATTCCTTGAGCTGGTAGGCAGATTTGGCTTGGCTGATTGCAACAATTGTAGAGTTCAAAGGCATGGCCTTCTTGATCTCGCGCTTGTCAGAGTTGTAGCGGTCGTCGAGCTCTGCGCTTGGAACAAAGCGCTCAACCTCAAGAACACCATCTTTGACGTGCAGCTCACGCTCAAGGCACCAGAGCGGTTCGTAGGCTGCATTTCTCCACTGCTCAGCGATATGCATTCTCAGCATTGTCTCCGCAAGAAGGCGGGGCTGGGGCAACTCATTGACGCTCGAGTCGATAGTCTGCATGTAGAGTGCATCTCTACGCTCACCAGCCAAGCATCGAGCTACAGCCATCATCATTCTGGCGTAGGGGTTCTGTGTCTTGGATCCTTGTACGGTCCATAGAACGTTGCGAGCTTCATCGAGGACGAATTGCATAGCCTGATACTTCTCTTCGCTGAATGACTTGAAGAGAGGCTCGTCGAGTTCAGTCAGTGACAGAAGAGCGTGCTTGGCGGAGAAATTGTGAGGGCCAACGTCCCGCAGGTTCGACACAATTGAGATGGAGCCGTAGTATGGCTCGAGAAGCGCTTGCACTTCATGAGCGATTCGCGATGTGGATTCCTTCTCACCTCCGACGATGAGAAGTTTCTCGCAAACCTGCTTCTCTGGAGCTGAGGCAAGAGGAGTTCTCATAATTTCCATGCGAGTGTCGAGTGCTTGTGTAACCATCACAGAGTAGGGTCCCATAATGGTTTTGGCTGCAGGTGTAGCAGTGTCGATGCCTGAGAAGCCTGTGCGACGGAAGACGGAGTCCCACTGTGTCTCGGTGGCCAACGGAGTGTAGGGGCGGCCATCCTCGACACCAGCCCACCACCCTGGGATGCAAGAGAAGAAGAGGCCGGTGCGAAGCCAGTCAACTTGAGTAATCTCGAGCATCACGAGGTAGCCACCAGGCTTCAACAACTTGCGAGCATTGCTCAGGGTCTGGTCAAGTGACTTTGTTGCGTGCAGAACATTGCTGGCAACCACGCAGTCGTATGCACCCTCGGTGTATCCTTGCTCAACGATATCCTGCTCAATATCGAGGACCTTGTAGCTGAAGCCGTTACCGTGATCCTTGAAGAGCTCAGCGGCGTCGTGAAGGAAGCCAGCAGAGATGTCGGTGTATGTGTACGAGCTATAGCTAGATCCAATTTCCTTGATAATGCTTTGAGTAGCACTTCCTGTACCGGCGCCGACCTCCAAGATCTTCATGTAGGGGAATCGGTGGGTGAGCTGCTTGACCACTGCTCCCATACAGGCGTTGTAGTCGGCAATCTCGGTGGATGACTTGTAGAACCAGTCGAGGAGGTTGTGGTTCTTGAACTCTTCTAGCATGCTGACTTGGTTGCGAACGAATGGAATCAACATTTCGCCGGCGAACATGACCTTGCGCATATCATCGTAGGTCTCGGCAGCTGCCAAAAGCTGAGGCATGAGTGTAGCTTCAGTGTCGTTGACCCACTCGGGTTGCAAGTGCGGGTGCGAGCCATCGGCAGTAGTCGAAACAAGATGCTCGGCCCAGTTGAGAATAGCCACGCGGTCATCGTCACACTGTTCGCGCTCTCCAGGAGTGACAGTCTCCCAAAGCTGCTTGAGGTAGAAGAAGCAAGCACGCTCGACCAACATGCAGAGGTTCTTCTGAGACTCGGTCTCAACAGTGCCTTTGTAACAGATAGTAGCATCAGGCTCAACAACAGACCAAGCAGACTCTGCGAACATATGGCGGTCACTGGCCTTGTTGGGACGAGCGAGGGCCTCAACTCTAACACCTTCGAGCTGGACGAAGCAGTTGGTGCCTGTAGGGTCATAGATGGAAAGATCTCCGGTGAAGCCGTGGTCACCAGGCTCCTGCTTAGCAAGAACAGAGTTGGCAAGAACTTCTGAACCACGACCACCCTCAGCAGGGCATGCCATGGGGTTGATCTTGATTCTCCTGATGACAGTGGGGACATGCAGAGTCCACAAACGACTATCGAAAGGCGCACCAATGGCACACAGAGTGACTTGAAGACCAACATCAAGAACAGCAGGATGAACTGTGAAGGAAGCATCTGCACCCTCGGTGTCCTCGGGCACAAGAATCTTGCCCATGGCCAGGTTGGTAGTTCTCTTGAGCGAGGTTATGGACTTGAAGATGCCGTTGTAGTTGTAACCAATATCTTGGAAGCTGGCGTATTGGTTCTCGACGTTGACCTTTCTCAGCTCGTGTTCGGGTGTTGGTCTGATTGGAAGAGCAGACTGAGACTGCTCTCCAATTCTGATGACAAGCTTGCCACTAGACATGCTAGACATGCTTCCAACATCTCTGTTTGTGCAAGCATCACAGCTGAACTGAGCAGTGATGACATTTTCTTCTCTGACGATATTCTTGATTGATGAGATGATCTCAGCGCCATAAGTCTCATCTGCAATTGCCAAAGCATTGTGGATGCTGAAGTCATGCAACTCGATCAGAGCGACCGGCTCATCGGCAGTGATCGTCTTGGATCCCTCAACTGCTAAAGCAACGAAGCCAGCAGCTGGGAACAAGACCTGACCTTGTACAGTATGACCACGTAGCCAAGAGATCTCGCTTGGCTTGAGGAAATTGTGCCAGCGTAGCTCGCCTTCAAGCTCTGAATCCATGCGAATACCCAGGATCTCGTGGGTGGTCTGGGGTCGCTGAGCACGGAAGAGCCTGGAGATACGGGATTCGTACCAGTAAGTACGGTCGTGATCCCAAGTGTACTGGGGCAAGTTCTTCATGATCTTCTGACCAACGTTACCAAACACGGCGTTGTAGGCCTTGAAGTTGGGAGTAGAAGGACCAAGATATGTCCAGATTGAGCCAAGCGTTTCAGAAAGAGATTCTACATCATGGCCGTTGCGTGAAAGCGTACCAATGTATGGGATGCCATTGCCGATGATTTCTTCGATAGTCGCGCTTGCGGGGCCCTTGAGAGCTGGGTGAGGGCCGATCTCCATAACAAGAGCTGGGGCTCCAGCCTCATCCAGAGCGGCAGTCAGAGCCTGCGAGAACAAGACAGGCTGCAGCATGTTCTCAGCCCAGTATTGTCCCGTCAGGTCTTCGTTGTCTTCAGACATCTGATCACCACCGTAGACACTCGAGAACCATCTTGGAGCGTTCTCGGCTGGCGTCAGAATTTGAACACCGCAATCTTGCAGAGACTTGAGATACTTGTCCGAGCAAGGGATCATGTGATGAGAGTGGTATGCGGTGTCAACCTTGAGTTGTCTGGCGAACTTGTTCTCATCCTTGAGAATTTCAAGGGCTTCTGCCACTGCATCCTCATCTCCAGAGAGTGTCAGACTGGAGGATGAGTTAGATGCTGCAATCTGGATGCGGCCTTCGAGACTGGGAAGTGCGCAGAGCTCTTCGGCATCATCCATAGATGTACCGACAGCAAGCATAGATCCCTTCTCGCCATTGGCTCCTTTGGCAAACTTAGCATAGAAACCTCTGTAGTAGGCAATACGAATGGCATCGTGAGCAGAAATGAATCCAGCAGCGTAGGCAGCACCGATCTCACCACTGGAGTGGCCGACGACTGCACTGAAGGAGATACCAGCTTCGGTGAGCAGGTTGACTAAGATGACTTGGACGGCGGTGCAAAGAGGCTGAGACATCAGTCCTTCTCCAATGCGTGACTCCTTGCCCTTGGCCAACATTTCGCGCTTGAGTGACCATGAAGGACGGCTTGACTCAGGTAGCTGAGCGAGAGACTGCTCGAGTTCGTCGACAATGTTCTCAACGAAGGACGAGGACAGAATCAACTCGCGTCCCATGGCAGCCCATTGAGCACCCTGGCCTGTGAAGATACCAAGGATGTTCTGAGAGTCCTTCGCAGCTCTGTTGCCGAGTGGCGTGTTGCTGGCCTTTCTTGCCTCAAGCTTAGCCTCAAGCTTCTCAGCAAGTGACTCGCTGGTCAGGGCAGAGATGGCTGTCCGGATGGTCAGAGTAGATCGTTGTGCCAGCGTCAATGCCATCTGTGAAAGATCGACGTCATGGTTTTCGCGCAGAAATTCTACCATAGTGCTGAGCTGCATACCAAGTGCCTTCTCGGACGGTGCAGATAGAGTGAAGGGAAGAGCGACCGCGCTGGAGACCTGACTCTCGGCTGGCTCATATGCCTCAATGATGGCATGGGCATTGGTACCACCGAAGCCGAAGCTGTTAACACTGGCTCTACGAGGAGTACCCTTAGGGAGCTCTGGCCATGCCAAAGCTTTGGTAGGTACCCTCAAGTTCTTAGTATAGGTCTTCAGGTCCGGGTTCAATGTCTCGAAAAGCATGTTGGGAGGAATGGTCTTGTTTTGGATCGCAAGCGACGCCTTCAATAGACCTGCTACGCCTGCGGTTCCCTCGGTGTGTCCTACAACGGTCTTGATTGATCCGACATGAAGAATGTCTTCGGCTCCAGTGTCGGCAAANAAGGCATTGTAAATGGCTCTGGCCTCTTGAGGGTCTCCAGCTTTGGTACCAGTTCCATGTGCTTCAAAGAATTGAGGTCGATCAGAGCTTTTAGTAAGATCGAGGCCAGCTTTGGAGTACGTGGATCGGATCAGATCGCACTGAGCGTTGGAGCTGGGCATGGTGATACCAGGTGTGCGACCATCTTGATTAACTCCAGTCTCGCGGATAATACACTCGATAGTGTCGCCGTCAGCAAGAGCTTGAGTCAATGTCTTCAAGATAACAGAGGCGACTCCTTCTCCACGAGCGTATCCATTTGCGTTGGCATCCCACATGCGGGATCTGCCGTCAGGCGAAAGCATGTTGAGATTGCTCTCAGCGATGAAGTTGCGAGGGCTAAGAATGATGTTTGTACCAGCTGCGACTGCGATACGAGACTCGCCAGCTCTTAGTGAGAGAACAGCTTGGTGAACAGCAACCAAAGATGACGAGCAGGCGGTATCAATGGTCATCGAGGGACCATTCCAGTTGAAGAAGTATGACATACGGTTTGCGAGCATTGAACGGGCTGTTCCAGTGGCAGCGTACTTGGGAATTGACTCGTTGTCGTGGAATGCGATTCCAGAAGCATCCTCACACATGACAGCCGAAAACATAGCAGTGTCTGAGCCTTGCAAGCTATCGAGAGTAAGCCCAGCAGCCTCAAGACCCTCGTAGATGGTCTCGAGCATGAGACGCTGCTGAGGATCGATAGATTCGGCTTCACCAGCTTGAATGCTGAAGAAGGAAGCGTCAAATGCCTTTGCATCTTGCTCAAGCATGTATGCGTGTCTGACGTTGCTCGTTCCGTGGTGGTGGCCATCGGGGTGATAGAAGTGGTCTGCATCGAAGCGATCAATTTTGCTCAAGACATCTCTGGGTTCTTTGAGAAGCTCCCAGAGCTTGGATGGAGATGTGGCGGGGCCGGCGAAGCGGCAAGAGCTGCCAATGATGGCAATAGGCTCGTTCTTGTATCCAGACATTGTATAGGTGATTGATGGAGTTCAGAGGGGCTCTTTCTTGTAGAATAGAGTACAAATGATATGAACTGTATAGAAGCAAAGATAGCTCTTTGATATAGTTGTGTTGATCTGTAAAGGTTGTCCGGAGTGTGATGATGGAGATGAGATTGACGGAGGCAGACCGCCATCTATATACCATCGCATGCCTATATAAAGCTGCACGTCTGCGGTATACATGATGACCCTGTCACGATTGAAGGACTTTTGCAACATGACAGTGTGTCTGACGATGGCTGACATTTTGGAAAGAGGCTGAAGCCTCAGGATGCGGGTTGGAAAGACGGATCAGGGACGACAAGCTTCGGCTCGAGCTGCGAGCTTGTTACCGAAGCGTGCACGGACACTCTGAAGGCTCGTCCCATCCTTCATCTCTGGGGCTTGGTCCTGCTGATGCTGTTGTTCCCAAAAATATGACAGGAAGCACTATACAGATGGCAGGTGTTAGTGGGTCTTGGATCCTTCGTTCAAGCACTGCCAACCTTTGCGGCTTGTCTTGGTGGCCGCAGTCACTTGCTCCTCCCTTGTCAGAATGTGGGGTAATATGTCCTGCATACCAGTGTCAGCATAGATGATGTTCCAAGTCAGACTGTCATTCGGTAGAGCTCTCTCGAACTTATAAGACCATCCCACCGTGTATAGAGATGTCGACAAATCCGAACTTAACACGACATCAATCTTATGATCATTGTCATTGACAACTCCTCTCCTCAGTTCAAACAATACCTTCGTCTCATCTCACATTCAAATTCGAAAATGATTGCACGAACCATCGACATACCTCAGACCCAAAAGGCAATCGTTGCCGGTCCTGACAGAAACTTCACGATCGTACACGACCAACCAGTCACGCATCTCGAGCCTAATGCCATCATGGTCAAGGTGCACGCTGTCGCATTGAACCCCGTGGACACTAAGTTGACGGGCGACTTTGTTACTCCTGGCGCGATCTTTGGGTTCGACTGTGCCGGTACAGTCGTGGCCGTGGGATCTGCTGTCCGCAAGCGCTGGGCCATTGGAGAGCGAGTATGTGGCAGCGCATGTGGCATGGATCCTTCACGACCCTCTGGCGGTGCTTTTGCCGAGTACACCCTATTGCCAGGCGAACTGGCTCTGCGTGTTCCCGACTACATGTCGTTCGAGACCGCAACCACTCTGCCCACGGCCATCAACACTACAGTTCTTGCCATCTTCTGGTCGATGAACATTCCCATGTCATTAATCGACAAGCCGGCTGAGAAGTCATTCCCTATCCTTGTGTACGGAGGTAGCACAAGTGTCGGAACGATGGTGATTCAGATTCTCAAGAGGTATGTTGTATTTTCCAGCTCTTTCTGTTCCTCAGACTGACTCCGGTGTAGAGCGGGCCTCAGGCCTATTACGACATGTTCGCCCAAGAACTTCGAGTTTGTCAAGTCGTTTGGTGCTGAAGCTGTCTTCGACTATCGCTCGCCGACTTGCGGAGCAGACATCAAGAAGTACACCAAAAACGCGTTGGGATATGCAATCGACTGCATCACAGAGGAGTCGAGCATGAAGATTTGCTACGAAGCAATCGGACGCGCCGGCGGTCGCTACATCGGAATGGACCCATTCCCTGCACACGTCGCGGCCACGCGCAAGCTCGTCAAGTCAGACTGGGTTGTCGCGTTCCGCATCACAGGCATGCCTTGCAACTGGCCCGCGCCATTCACTAGCGAGGCAGATCCAGAGCTGTCAGAGTCCGCGATCCCGTTCTTCAACTCCATGGAGAAGCTGCTTGCGGATGGCCAAATCAAGACTCATCCCGCGAGGATCAGCGACGGCGGGCTCGAGGCGGTTATCGATGGCGTGGACATATTGCGTCGTAAGGAGATCAGCGCGGAGAAGCTGGTCTACACGACTGTTGCAAAGGAGTGAGAGATGTTGCTGATCTGATTCGCAAACGGTGAGGGGACAGGGATTTTCGTAATTCGCACATGGATCGGCAGGTCATTGCCGCTATCTGCTTTCGTATATCGTATGGAGCATCTTATCTCTGTTTCAAATTCGTGTATTCCTGTTGAACTTACTGCGAAGCTTGACGAATCGCTGGCTCCGGTCGGCAATAATCCTTGACTAGATTTTGTCGGCCCTTGTAGTAGTGTGTGTGTGTGAATCATTACGCATGCTTGTCATCTTGTCAGCCAGTGCCAGATTGAAGGCAGGGTGCTCCCCTCGGCTACAGTCTGCAACTCGTTTATAGCTATAGCACACCATACAGAGTACCTTTGTACAATGTACTGATACTACCACCTCTGGGTACCGCTACATATCTAGGTAGAGACTTCTTTTGTAAGAAAAAGCGTCGTTCTGGTATCAACATTTCGAAATTTCTGTTTTCAACATGAGCAATTGGAAAGCTTCAGACATGTCACACGCTTTGACGTCCAAGAAACCTGCGAATCGAGCACTTGACCTCGAAAACAGCTTGCAAAGTCTTAGATAACCGTAGAGAATAACATCTGGCGATATTTCCAGGATCAATCCAATTTGTAACAGGTGGGCTGGCCAAGGAGGCAGACGAGTAAAAAAAAGGAGAAATATGAAGAAATATAAATTGTTTTCAAGGCTCAATTTGCTGTACGAACATAGATCGTGAATCCAACATCCCGACGTAACAATGATCTATCACAATGGAACCAGCCCGACCTTGGTGCCCCCACCACTGCATAACGTAAGCCCGAGTCCCTCTACCCATGGTCCCTGATCTCTGGATTGTAGCTCGGTGAAGTTCTGGCACATTCTAACAATGGTGTAGCTCGCTTCCGTCAAAGCATACTGTTGACCAACACAGATTCTTGGTCCGCCACTGAAAGGAATGTAGCCCCATCCTGGTCTCAAAAGACCATCAGGTGAGTCAGAGCTCCAACGTTCGGGGATGAACTCTTTCGCTGTAGGTCCAAAGGTATCGTGGCGACGGTGCAGGGCATATATCGAGTAGACGACTATAGAGCCCTTGGGTACAAAGACTGGCGAGGTGCGTGTCGGACCGCCACCGGTAGGTAGGACAGTATCGACCTTGGCACAACGTGCGTTTGTCGGCACAGGAGGATAAAGGCGTAGGACTATGCAGCAAATTAGACAATCTCAAGACCAGCGGGAGACATAGCAAGGTTACCTTCACTCAAGNACACATTTGAGGTATTTCAGACCTTTGAGGTCTTCGTAAGTGGGCGGTCTTCCTTCCAGAGTGTCGACCTCTGCCCGCAATTTCTTCCAGACATCGGGATGACGAGACAAGACGTGGAATGCATTGGAAAGCAATCCAGCAGTAGTATCTCTTCCAGCGAGCAAGACATTCAACATCTCATCACGGAGTTGTCTCGGATCCTGGACCTGGTCGGCGATCTGCTCCAGACAGACATACTTGCTGTTGTCATCGGAAGACTTTCGCATTTTCTCAGAAGCTCTATTACGAAGCCAGTGTTCGACATATCTGTCTGCCCATGCGTGCACAACTTTGCAAGCAGCCTTGAACTTGGCATTCGGGATGAAGAGATTCATGACGCCCAGACGATTGCGGTCCGGCATCTGATGTTGGGCAAAGTCAAAGGCGCGTTGGAAACAATCAGCTTCACTGCCGTGTCCTGCACCCTGGGCACCAACACTTCGTCCAAACAGGAACTCAGTAGCCGAGTCGAGGGTCATGCTGAAGAAAAACTTCTGTAGGTCGACAGTCGATCCATCTTGAGGTAGCAGAGCCAAGAGGTGTCCAAAATGCCTTTCAAACATTTCGAGACTCGCAACTTGTTGTTTGGTGAAATTTGGTCGGATGATGGCTCGTCTGTGAGCCCATTCAGGACCGTCGGAGGTGAAGACGCCCTTGCCGACAAGCGGACCCCAGGCATATATTCTTCCTCCCAAGTCATAGTCGGTGAATTTCTGGGCGAGGATACACTGGATATTTGCCGGATCGATGGTGGTGATAATGTTGAGACCAACAATTGTGTTTGAGAATGTATTGGCAGTAGATTCGATACGACGGACGGCGCATTCGAGACTATTTTTCGCTTTGACCGCGGCAGCTCTGCTNTTCAGCAGATCGAGTCCAATGATGCGCTCTCGCTGTGGCAATGCAGGAGGATCAAGACATTCGTGGGATGATCTGAATCGTGAAATGGAGATTTTGCGAAGAATAATGGTTGTGACAAGGTAGACAATAGAAAGTCCGCATGAAAGTAGCAGTAAGGTAGAGAAACTCATGATTACCTACTGTGTTCGACAGGGAGCCAGATGACCCTCCAATGGCTATATACTCGGCTGCCATTCATCATCATCTTTGGCATATCTACAACTGTCGAGGGCGGGAGTCTGGCAGTGTCAGACTGACAAAATGAAGCTGACTTGTCAGCTTGTACAGCAAGCTCAAGAGAGGACGAGAGATCGACCGCGAAGGATTGTGGTGAAGGAATGCAAGACGCACCTAGCGGAGGATAATTTAGCGTTCGACTTGGATTGGCCAAAAATAGGGTTATCCGCACCCGAGTCAGGGTCAGGTGTGTGCGGCTGTCTCAAGCCACAAACCACTGCCCCGTTTGACGGCGGCTAATCTAAAGCTTGGATTAGTTCGTGAAATGCTTGGGTATCTGATGTTGTACTTCTTCTCAGTTCGTCCTGCTGCCCCTCTCTTCTGTCAGATCCAACAAAACAACACTCGTATTATCTTTTCCAAAAGCCACAACAATGGGACGTCGCGACATTGAAGAGAACGGTCGGCGCAAAGGCGGACTTGTGCGTGCCGGCATCAGAAGCGTTTCCGGGGCTGTCGGCCTGGCATCTGAAGGTATCAAGTCGCGCAACACAACAGAGCGTCACAATTCAGAGACCGGAGTGCCTCCAGCTATACGTTCGGACAGCGCTCAATCGGTCGAGAAATCTTCGTCAACGCAACGAGGAGATGAAGCTAGAGACGACCTCGAGAACGAATGGAACCTGGACGACGCTCAGGATGAAATTGCCGGAGAACACAGCCAAGGTGCTGTCGACGCGAACCCTGAGCGCACGTTTATGGAGAGACACAACCAAAGACCCAGCTCTGATTTCTCTAGTCAGCTCACACTTCCGGTCGTCATCCCACAACGTCGGCCCAAAGATCGTTCGCGAGGTTTCATCCGAGCCTACTCGCCTGCATTACAGGATGCAGGTATTGACCAGCCTACCTGGCTCGATTTCCTCGACACACTTCAAAAGTCGAGTGCTGCTGACCCCTGGCTGAATGCCATTAACTTTGCTTCTATCGGCACAATGTTTATGCCCCACGTTATTGGCTTCGCCGTGTCGTATGCTATTCAGCAAGCCACCAACATTGCTATCGAGATGCAAGCTCGTNTTCAGGTATCCTGTCAGCACTTTTGCTCGAAACTTCAACATCTGACTGTATCTAGGACGACTACAGCTTTGCGCAAACTCAATGAGGAATTCTTCCAGCCTCGAGGGTTGTACTGCCTAATCATGACTTGGAACCCAGACTCAAACAACAAGGTAGAGCAGGTCAACATCAATGAGACTGTCGCATCTCTCAACAAGGGTTCCAAAGGTGTTGCAGTTGTTGGCGACAAGTTCAGATCCTCTGATGGAACCACATATGGAGAGTTGGCATTCCCTGAAGTGGCACCACTCGTATTCCCTACTTTGGACGAGCTGGCCGCCCAAACTGGACCCGAAGCGGCAAAGAAGAAGAGTAACGTGGCGAAAGGCATGACCTTTGTCGCAAACTATTGGGACAAGAGAGCCACAGCAGAATATNGTGAGTATCATGACTTTCTTCTGTTTACTTCCAACTGACCAATCAAGTCAATGCAAAACCCCGACAGTGTGTTGGCACAGGTTCCTCAGGGCGAGTTCAACTCTCGATATGCAGATCCCAACCACGCGGCAGCCAGTGGGTCACTAATCTCCTTCGTTTCTGGAGGAAAACTCGTTCCCGGCCCTAACTCGCGAGGCTTGATTGGTGGTCTTGCATCAGTCGCCCGTCAAGCATACCGCGGAGAGAAGCAAGGCGCAGAATGGGAGCGATACGCAGCCGAGAATCCTCACAGACAGCAAACCTCGAGACGAGAGAAGCATGGGATCATTCCAAACCCGATCCGCACATACAAAAAACTGCTAGCAAAGGTGAGTTTTGATTTGTTTACCGATCGTCGCGTTGCTGACAGATAAACAGNNAATGTGCTTTATCTCATGGTCGTAAACATGCCTTCGGAGGAAGAAATGGCAGCAGCGAGAGCTGCAGTCAAGATTTGAGGGAGAGTGATCAAGCAATCAGAGCTTTATTATCGTGTATAGAGAGCTATGAAATCAACTTTGAAGTCTGTTTATCTGTTAGACCATCAAGGTTGTGTGAGTGGAACCAATCGGAGCGCCAGATGTACTGCCAAGAACATCGTGAAACTCTCCGAATCTGAACAATCGATTTGGAGAACGGTTGTGAATCAAGTCGATCAACAGCCTGACGGCTGAAGTGAGAGCTGCCTACCCCAAAACAGAAGTATACCGCGAACAAGATGGTCCAGTAACAGGACGAGATTGGAGCACACAATCGCGGAAGCTGGTTGCCTTAGGTTGGTTGCCCCACAATTGGACATGAGACGACACGTTTCATCCAAGCACCAAAGACCGCGAAGCTTTGAGTGATAGATGCCAAGTGCCGTTTGCCGTATTGGCAAATGCTTCACCAGGGGTTTGAGGTCTTGTTCTTCCTTTTGGCCAAATCTTGTAGATCGAAAAAGCTCCCTGTGCAACGGGATAGGTTCACCTCGAACCGAACGAGGGGAAGAAGTCACGGTTGGCCGCACAGACCCTCGAGATTCGCTCAAAGCTCACGCCAACTTTTCGACGCAACTCAAAAACATCTCTCTGGGGCAGCAACGATCTTGCCTTGTTGTGTAGGCTTCTGCGAGGTCTTCGACAGTGATCTTTCCTTGTTGCGTAGCATTCCGCGAGGCCCTTCGATTGTGGGGTATCCAGCCGCATCTACTCTATGGGATGAGGCTGAGTTGGTATCTCGCAGATACAGCCCTGCCTCCTCCATATCTGAGCCACGATCAGTATATTGTGTGGGCGTTGGAAGCCCCAGCCAGTCCCAACATAGTACCTGCAATTACCAACAGCTCAAAGTAGGGACAAAGATAGGTTCTGACAATGACCAGGTCACTGGGCTGAGTAGTATAGCAGTCTCTGCAAGGATGCTTGGTTGACCCGGGATGCTACAGATTCCTAGTTCGACAACCCGAAGCTCGCGCTAAGCATCGACCATAACAAAACGGTTGTTGGAAGCTTCAATCCTTCAGCGCCTCCGAACCATAGCTTCGCCGGGATTACTATCTGTCACTCCTGGTATAGCGATATGACAATGACCGCCGATCAAAGCTCCATGCACGGCTGTCAGCTTCCTTCGCTCTGAAGCACGCATTCCGTTGGTGCAGAGCCGTGCATGGTTGATCAATTGAAGATCTGAGTATGGCTATCTGGGACCTGTTAGATTTATAGAGCAAGCGGACCTCATCTTCTGGTCATCTGTCCATCAGCAATCATGTCTCCACCATCACAAAGAAACGCCGAGCAACTCTCTGACTCCGAAGATTGGACCAAGCTGTCTGACATTAGTGAGAGACGAAGAGTGCAAAATCGTCTGGCACAAAGAAGTCGTCGTATGTGACTCGGCTTAATCTTGGGAAAAACATACCAAGACTGACACTAAACACAGGCANAGAAGCTAAAGATGCTCGAGAGCCGAGAAGGCCAATCCAAACGAACATCCTCACCAGCGTCCAAGAGTCCAGAGCCCACACCCAAACATGAAAAGTCTACAGATTGGCCAGACTCTCTCCAAGATATCCAAGGCCTACTTTCGCAGATTGAGCAGACAAAAAGCCGGCTTCAAGAATATCTCTCCAGCATATCTACTGTCGCCCAGGAAGCTCAGGCTCCAATCGTCAAGCCCTGTGATTCCTGGTCGTTTCAAAACACGAACGAGAATGACTTGCACACGCTATTCCAGGGTCTTGACAAGCTCGAGTCAACTCCAAATCTCGTTTCGCTCAACACCACCAATCTTTCGAATACCGACTACTTCAGTGATGTTTCCACAACTCATAATATTGCGATGATGAAGACTCCCTTGCTTGGACCCCAGATGACACCACCAGGAAGTGTATCGTCACGATCTTGTAAGCCATTTCTCCCTCGGTTTCTTGCAACATCAAATCTGACAAGCAACCAAGCAGTATGCAACAACAACTTCACGTTGGATCAAAGTCTCAACAGATACTCTCTGGGCACAGTGAGCGATGTTATCACCCCAGATATCAACGACCACGGTAACACGGCTCTGCACATCGCTGTCCGTAATCGGCACCACTCCATCATCCAACTTTTGGTCGAGACAGGCACCGACATCAACTCACCAAATCATCAACAAATGACCGCTCTGCAAATAGCCATCAGTTCCGCCAACACAAGTACTGCACAGTTTCTTCTCGAGCTGGGTGCTGATGTTACCGGGACCACCGTCAACGGAGAGACGGCCTTGCATCTCGCTGCACGCGTTGGAGACGTAGCAATGGTTGAGTCACTCCTACAACGTTGCCCGTCCATAAACGTTAGGAATCACTGTGGAGAGACAGCCTTACACGCTGCAGTCACAGCCGGCCATGAGGAAGTGGTCAGGGTCATGTTGGCACATGGTGTGGACCCTCAGGCGAAGGTCGGCATTCAAACACCTGTTGACGCCACGTTTGACTGGAATATGATCATGGATCTTTGACTTTGTCGTTTTGTTATCCATATCCTATACTTGGAGTTTGTTTGACTACGGTCTGGAGGCGTTAATACATCTCTGCTGCATATAGATTGCTTGGGGCAAGCCCTGCCAATGAATAACGAGTTACTCCACATCTTCATCTCCTTCTAATCAGTTGTATTCTTGAGATCAAGTCCATGAAGTCGTTGTACCAAAGCACAGCATGTAGAGGATATCGTTGCACCTGTTGGACGTTTGCCCGAATGCATTATTGACCGACAAAGAGTGTTTGTACGCAACACTACCCTTTGCATTCATGCCCTATATAGAATAGTACCTCATCAAGCCCACTTCCTCGACCTCACCACCAAATCAAGCTCTCTACCCAACATGAGCAGTGCATACATCNCCCACAGAACTGACTGCACCGAAGAAGATTACATCATGCGCGACTCCCCTCCAGACCCCACCCGTGATCAAGCCCTCGGCCTCCTGATCACCCTTCGCATCCTGAGCCCCAACTCGGGCCCCACCTCCAGCTTGGAGTTTGACACTGAATGGGAGCAGATCCGTTCCTTCAGCACTCTTAGGACGGGAGGTGCGGGTTACTGGTGGAAGGAAGGCCTCAAGTGGTTGCGTCCTGATCAAATTCCTGAAGAGGTGNAGGAAACTGTGTCTACCATAGCCTGATGGAGAACTTGTATTGATAGTGACATATCGGTTGGAATGAAGCACGGAAACACTGCCCGCATCGTCTTCTGCAGAAAACTGGAGAGCCCTGCTGATGTTCTCGATGTCAAGTTTGAGAGCAGGAAAGCTGGCGAAGAAGGAGTGATGATGGAGAAGGAGCGATCATAAGAAAGAAGCAATCATGACAAAGGAGCGATGATAAACAAGAAGCCGCAAGACCAACGGCATGCCGCTTCAATATCACGTAAGAAGATGCAAAGAGCCAAAGATACATCATACGACCATTGATTGTTCGATAACCCCAATCCCTTCAGAGTTCAAATCCAGCAGCTTTCCTTCCTGCGTCTCCATTCAACACGCCTTGTTCACCCTTGTAGCCCACGAACTTTGTCTCATCAGTACCATTGCTTTTGAAATCCTCAGGTGGCACACCAGCTCTGAAGTCTACCACCTGCTGACGCATGTATTGCATATTCGCTGGTGTCGACGGCACAGCCGCGATATACAAGACGGCAGAGTCATGAGTACCGGTGTGATTGACATCTACACCATGGATCATCTATTCGGTCCCTTCATCAGCTGTCTGAGTCTCGATAAGATTTGCGAAGGAGTATCTTACATCTGCATGCCACCACACTGTGTCACCAGGCTGCATTGTCGGAATGTTGACCAAACACTCTTCAAGCCTCAAATGAGGATGAGAAGCCGGACTGACAATCTGCGGCAACTGTCTCCATGTGCCGGGAAACCATCCTCTGTCAGCATTGAGCGTCCACTTTTCGGCATCCATGATGTCGGACTCGTTTTCAGGAGCATCAAAGAGGGGTCGGAGCATCACATATGCCATTGCAGTCTTGACATCAGGATAGAGTAGAAGAGAGCCTTCGTTGGCTCCAGCAGAGGTCAATGCAGTCCAACCCTGGAAAGCCCGGAGTACTTGCGAGGCAGTACCGGGAAAGAGACCGGGCTTTGCCTCTTTCCGGATGGAGAGGTCGTAAGGGTCAAAGGATGAAGGGTTACCTGACCAGATTTGCTCGTAAACTTTGCGGTAGGTGGCATCTGCCCAACGAGAGAGACTGCCGCCATCTNNAAGAAATGTCAGCCAAGCATTACGAATGATTCTCTCTGCTCAGAGACAGCACTAACCAATGTGTGGGGGCAGTGCATTGAAGACAGTGTTTTCGGGTCGAATGCGAAACCCATCGGCATAGGAGAGAGGCTCGCGGAACGTGTTTTGTTGATCGCCCTCATCACGCCATAGACTATTGATTGCACGCTGGACGGCTAGACTATTTGGATGAGAGCGAGCAGCTTGCTGGACAGGCGAGTGGTAGACATTGAACATGAACGGTTTCTCAGCTGGCATGCCTATGGAATACGAGATGGGATCAGAGGCGGCGTGTAGACGATGCAAAGAACTCATACCTGTGATCTGGGCTGTGTTGTCCTCGACATATCCTTTGAGTTCATGGTACCAGTCTGTTGCCTGTTGCTCTGAGACAACCTGTCGTATGACGAAGCATCCTGTGTCCTTGAGCCTGCTCTTTGTACCTGCGTCGGCGGTGAGGAAGTCTTCAAGTCCGAGTTCTGGTATCACCAAGTTGCCCTGTGAGGCTATCTTGTCTGTGATGAACTCCAGCCTATTGCAAACTTCGATCCAGCTTGTCTTCAGAGCTTCGGCACCATAGGTAGACAGGATAGCCTTGGTGTAGTCTTCTGTGCCTGGCTGCACTCCCTTTGCTGTGGCAAGTGTAAGCTGTGGCCATGGCGACCAGTTAGAGTCGATACGTCCAGGCATAGTTGACTTAGTATGAAGCAGTTGTCGTGGTCTTGTGATGAAGAGCCTCGAAAATCTCGTGGGAGGTGTCATGGCTTTTAAGGAAACCTTGATCCCCAGTATGTCAGATGTCCCCAAACTGTTTCTCGCCGATCATCGTCTGATCGGAAGGGCAACTCCTCATGGAGATGACAATGGGTGTCAGCTCATAGGACGGTCAGACATGACAAGTGTTGCCTAACAGCCTTCACCATGACGCTTTCTCAAGACGTGGTTGTCACGGAGGGGTCAGCATCGTTTTTGGAAGCTTCCGCGGCTGATTGCTCGACCTTGATGACGTGCTGGTATTGTGGTCGACGAACTACAATGCTCTGATTTACGCGATGCCTTCAAGATAACATATGTATTGTCAGATAATTATCTGAGTCTAGCGGGAGGTCCGCTTGCTTTACGAGCCAGCACATAGTACTTGTATTCTCAGAAAGTCATGAATATGTTTGGCTAGCTCGATGCTATGTTGGAGTCTGGACCTCCCTGTAAAGGCTGACCAGACAAGTGAAGCCGTGACGCGTTTGAACAAGGGAGACACCCAGCAGAAGCTGCCATCAAGCTCCCAGTCGGTCNNGAAATGAGAAGGCTCACTGGACATTGGTGGGTCCCCTGGTACCTCAGCTGTGCTTCTACGTTGGACCAGAGATGGCCTTGTGATGTCTGCACTCTCAGTGACAACTCGCGAACGCAATGAGCCTATCGAGGCGACAGGAGTACTGCAAAGCTCGACAGGCGCGAGGCGGCCTTTCTGGAGCGCGATACGCTCTGCCTCGAGTGCTTTACGGTCACGGGGCGCTTTCTGCCATGCGAAGATGCTCGTCAGGATAGCGGCACCAGCAAATGCTGTGACTACGCGCATCTGCGCATTGGCGGATGTTCCATATGCGCGACACGTCATGTCTTTGTGAGCAGCACTGAGCTCCTTGATGTTCTCAGTCGACAGTAATACTGCTTTCAGCTCTCTAGGCGAAAGGAAATTGGCCAGCTGAGATCTGAAATCGCCGTTTAGAATGGCCTGCGTTACAGCAAGACCGATAACACCACCGAGTTGCCGCATTTGTGTGACAGCACCTAGAGAGACNAGCTTGGAGTAGTCAGTAATCATGAAACAAGCTTGGTCCAGGAGAAACTCACTATTGTCTTTCAGCGCCACTTCAGTACGAATGACAACCATGGAGCTGGCCATAGTAAGGCCAAAGCCAAAGCCCAAAACGAGCTGATAGAAGTAACAGATCTTGGCAATCTTTCTGTCTACGGGTAAAGTTGACATGAGTCCACAACCAATAGTCATGAGGATGTTCGAAAACACTAGCAGGTGCCAAGCGATGTTAAACTTGCCAGTAATAGTTCCTGTCAGCATTGCGCCCAATGCGGTTGCGCCGATGAGAGGAAGCATGTGAAGACCGGCATTTTCTGGAGTGTCGCCGTTAACAATTTGAAAGCGTTGAGGGAGGGCCATTATGGTGACCACGAATGGAAAACCAGTGAAGAATACGGTTCTGCAGCGCGTTAGTACATGTTCCACGAAAGTTGCGTTTTTGAACATACCCAAGNNTGTCGCCGCAACAACCCTGCTCGAGACCAGCCTGGTCGGGAAAAGAGGGAGCATCTTCATTCTTGCTTCTCTCGGAGTCAGGACATACTCCCAGGCGCCAAAGCCTATAAAACAAAGAGATGAGCCAACCAACATGAGGATGATGAACAAGCTCCGCCATGAAAATTGAACGCCTCCTTGTTCAAGAGACACGACGAGAAGAGATGATCCTGTGAGCGAGAGAAGTATGCCGGGCCAGTCGATCTTCTGTAGTGTTGCCTTCCCAAAACTTCTCGTTCCAGCTCTATTCGGGAACAGACAAGCCACACAGACGGTCACCAGAACTCCACAAGGAATATTGATCCAGAAGACCCANCTATGAAGGTCAGCAAGAGTCTGCGATTGATTGTTCGGGGAAAATACCCTCCATGTGGTGTTAGATGTGATGACACCGCCGAGAACAGGGCCTAAAAGACTTGCGCAAGCGGTGCTCATGGAGATAGCTCCAGATGCTGCACTGACAAGCCTAAACGGCACCACATCCAAGACAGACGCATACGCAAGGGCATAGATCCCAGCACCACCTATACCCTGCAATGCGCGAAATACAATACTGCAAACGATCAGCACAGTTCAGGCAATGGACGATGAGAAAGCTTACAGTTGCTCGAGTGTTTGGGAGAAGCCACAACCGATAGACCAGACAAGGAACATGACGATGGAGAACAACAACATGGGTTTCCTCCCCAAGACATCGCTCAAACGTGTGAAGATGAGAAGAAAACCGGAATATGTCAGTAGATATGATACCAATATCCAGCTTGCTTGGTCGAAATGGCCCAACTCGGAAGCAATTGTGATCAGCGAGGTTGATATGATGGTTGTATCAAGTGTTGCAAGGAGTAGAGCTAGACATAGCNNCTAGTGAATTGTGAGCATTTAGCTCTATTTGAGGTTGCATTCGACATACGCAAATACGGTAGAGCCAAGCGGCCAGCCCTCCAGGACAGGCACGCCTGGATCTTTCTCAGCTTCGCTGCAAAGACTGGCTTGTTCATTTTTTGCCTCAATTGATGAAGAGTCTGGCTTCGAGCTTGAATCTCCATCAGATTGAGACGATACAGTGTATGAAGAACCGTTCTCGCATGTTGTTGTAGTCATGGCCAATTGTGTGGGAGGTTGGATGCTGTCAAAAACGTGGGGTCTCAAGAGACCGTGGCGCTTGGGACGCACACAGGTTATGTAGCAAGTTCATTGTTCTGACAGAAGGTAGACTATTCATCTCGGACAGTCATGGCGCGTACTGGAAGTCATCTTGGTGACGAACATTCCAAAGCTGACCGATGGAGGATGATCGAGATGGAAACGAGGTTGGTCAAAGATGACAACGCGAACGCGTTGGAGTCCACCAAGCACGGACCTGCCGTCTGACTTCTTGGCCCGTCATCTTTTTCACCATGGTCACTTCCAACAGTAACCTCATAGCAAAGTGGGAGGCACTGCAGCTTCAAGAATTGACCAAATAAGAGTTGAGGCTATGCTGAGCCTACATATAAGTGGTCATGACGCCGCCCATGATGGGTGAAACACAATTTCTTGCAATCCGATTATCAAATGGATACGCGACGCTCTCTCCTCTTCGTGACAAACAGCGAGCTGGGTCAAGCCAGTGTCATCCTCGCTGTCGCCTACGAATTTCTGCTGCAACGTGAGTACGAGGTGCATATCGCCTCTTTCCCTGCTCTGCAGAAGGATGTCGAACAGCTCAACGATACGGCTGCCCGCTTGAGCAATGGTGCTTGCAGCGCCATTGAGTTCCACCCTCTGGCTGGCAAATCCATGAAGGAGGCCGCACCTCCTGGCACCGAGTTCCTCGATCTACATGCACCAGGCACGACTGGTGCTCTATTTGCATATGACAATGTGCTTCCTGCAACTTTCGCGCCCTGGCACGGGACTCAGTACATGATCGGATACAGCAGTACTGTCGAGATCATCAACGAGACTGCTCCTGACTTGGTCATCGTTGATCCGTTGTTCAGTCAAGGTGTTGATGCGTGCAACGCCATCGGTCAAAAGTGCTTGATCCTCAGTCCAAACACCTTGAAGGAGCTTGTGTTGGATCGACAACCTGGTGGCGGAGCTTTGTGGAAGTTTCCAGCGTAGGTTCCCTCGCAAATCGATGATATTGGCGCTGACTCTTTCCAGCNNATGGCCTCTGGGTTTCCTTATCCTGTTCCGTGGTCGTATATACCCACAAACGTATACCTCGTGTACCGTTTCCTACGCTCGCGACGTCAGAACAAGAGACTCCTCCAGCTTTCACGATATCGTCAGGCCTGCGGCCTGCCAGCCAAGATTCCTTGCATGTTTGAAGGGTTTGGAGACGCTCATATTCTGCTCCCCTCAACACCAGCCATCGACTATGACTTCTTCGTGCCCCCACATGTGACCCCTTGCGGTCCCATTATCCCGCCCTTCGAGCCTCTTGCTGAAACGAGCCCTAAACTCGATGCCTGGTTGAAACAAGGCCCGACGGTGTTGATCAACTTAGGCTCTCATATTGTGGCCGACCAGCATCTAGCTTCTGAATTTGCTGTCGCGATCAAGACCTTGCTCGACCGCCGGCCGGACATACAAATCCTATGGAAGTTGAAGACGAAAGACGATCTCGGAGATGCTCTGCGCGTGATCGCCAGCGAGATCGAGAGCAAGCGGGTCTGGATTGAGCCGTGGTTATCCGCACCACCAATCGCAATTTTGACGATTGGCAATGTTGTCTGCATGGTTCACCATGGAGGATCCAATTCATATCACGAAGCGATTCTGTAAGTCCTCTCAACTTCCACCCTAGAAACATAACTGACGACAAACAGTGCCGGCGTCCCTCAAGTTGTTTTACCTGTCTGGATTGACACATACGATTTTGCCATCCGCGTCGAGTATCTGGGTATAGGAGTATGGGGCAACCGTGTTGCCGCTCCATATGCTGAGAGCTCAGAACTTGGCAAAGCCCTTATACAAGTCGTGGATGGTGATGGATCTGCTGCTATGTCAGTCAAAGCCAAACAAATTGCTGTGCCATTCCAAGAGCGACCTGGTAGACAAGTTGCATACGAGAAGGTGGTGGAGATTTTGGGTGCGATATGATTGACTCTTATCTACTATGACAAGCGCTTTTATGATTGTGTTTACCGGTTGGTTGGTGAATTTTTGTATTTGAGCGAGTCTGTTAGCTGAGGCTTATAATTTCTTTCTGTTTAATACCATCACTTTCGCCATACACAATCTTCGTCTCGACAGATCGTCCTTGCTGAAACAATTGAGCAGAAGCCCTCCATGTTGCTGACTTCTAGGAGCTGGCGCTGTAACACCACAACCAAGTATCTCTTGTGCAGGTAGACTGGAATAAAAAGAAGCACAAAACCAAGCTGTTTAGCTAGGGAAAACCCCTCCTGCCTGCAAAGTATTCTACCTTTGCAAGAGAGAAAGAACAACATGTTCCGCTACATCCGAGGATCGAACCGAGGACTTCTAGAGTTTTATCGCAATGACTAGTTCGAATGGTCTTACTGATTCAGCCATCTCGACACATTGCTGATGAGAATTCAGCTTGGTTGGAAAATAAAGTACTGGTGAAGTGAAAGATATTGAAGGGTTCACTGTTGTTGTGTCAACTCACAACTATCGCGAATCGCGACCGCGAGGTCTTATATGTAAACTCTCGATAAATGAACCACAGTGACTGCTAGGTCGATTCGAAATTGTAGTTATTCAGATGCCGCGCTACTATACTCCAAGCTTTCCCTGACGAACGCCTACCCAGATCACGATCCAACCACACCGTGACTCCCGCTATATCAGAACTAAGCATCTTCTGCCCATTCAGAATCTCCATCCTCCTCCTCCGCCTTCATCTCGAGGTCAGCCGCATAACGCTCTGCCATCCGTGAGTAGATGTTTTGCAAATCATATAATGTCGACGCCGCCGCTTGAGCAGATAATACNCTAGCTTGGATCAGCCAACTTTCACGCGATTATAAGCAGATCAGAAATATATGACTTACCTCCTGTCTCGGAGTCTCATCAAGTTTCTGCAACTCCGTCAAAGACGACAAATCAACCTTTTCATCCCCATCTTCAGAGCTGTCTTGTGTCACACTGGCTGTGCTCTTCAGCCCTTGTTGCATCGTCATAAGCTGCTCTTCCACATCAAACAGCCGCTTTCGTAAATCGACAATGGTTGTGTTTTGTCTTTGTATCGTCTTGCGTTCGCGCACAATCAAAGTGCGTAGAGCGGAGATTGTGTGTTTGCTGCAGCCTTCGCGGTGAGAAGTAGCGTTCAAGAGTCTGATGATTGAGTCTGTGAGTTCGAGCATTGCTGGGACTACTTTTTCGTAGTCGATGGTTGAGGACATGATGAGGAAGGTATAGGATAGGTTTGATGTTTGGGCAACAGAAGGAGGGAGTGAGAGTCGAGTGGCAGCTGAGGAGAATGGTGGCGATATCGCAAACCTAATAGGGGTCAGACAATGTCGAGGGTGCCAGTGGTTGAGAGTTGCTGATGCTGACCCTCCTGACTCTGAGAGACGGTCTCCCGATCTGACAAGACCACTTGGAGGTTCAGAGACAGCAGTCAGGTCTGACATGGTCCATATCTGGTCAGCTCGTGGACTCTGATCTCGCCGCTGTCATTTCATGACTGCCAGCTATTCGAGCAGGATGACATCACGTCACGTCTGACGATTGCTCTGCTCTCCAGCCATCTACTCTGACATGGTTAGAGACAGAGATACACGGTCAGACGTACTCAGGACGACAGGTATAAAGCGTCAGGTGTACTCATCAAAGTCATGCATCACACCACACGGCATCAGCATCAGCACTCGCCAAGGCAAGCAGTACACCACACCCTGTCGACAATGTCTCGTATCTCGTCATTCTTGCCGACAATCCTCTGTCTTCACGGCACCGGCACATCCGCCAGCATCTTTGAAGCACAAACGCGAAACCTCAGAAATGCTCTAAAGTCACAATTCAAATTCATCTTCATCGATGCACCTTACCTTTCCGAACCAGGCCCTGGTGTAGTGCCTGCTTACGTCGACTCTGGACCTTTCTATAGCTGGTTCTCGCCTTCTGCAAATGATTCGATGGAGTCTGTAGCTCGAGAGTTTATGAACTGCAATGAGCACATCAAGAGAAGCTTGGCAGAACTCGACATTGAGCCTTCGAGCATCACAGCAGTCATGGGATTCTCCCAAGGCACTATTGTGGCATCGATGTTGCTGGGACAAGCTCAATATCACAGTGTCGAGTGGGCATCTACAGACGTCGATCTGGCAGATGTGCCATGGGCTGGACTGCGATTTGGCGTGCTGCTCTCGGGATCCTGCAGTGATGGTGTTGTTACAGCTTTCATGGGAAAGAAACTTCAACTGCCATGTGTACACTTGCATGGTTTGCAAGATCCGTTTCTTGAGCACGCACGTATGTTGCATACCAAGATCTATCATGCCACTTCATCAGATGTGGTCGAATTCGATGGCGGACACAACATTCCTGGAAGCAAAGCAGATCTTGATAGATTGGTTGCTTTGATACGCGGTCTCAACAGGAAGACGAAGACGAAAGCATGGGCGAAGAGAAGATAGGGATGGTTTAAGGGGATATGGTGCATATGGAACCATCTAGAAGGGGATACGGGGCGTCCGGTGTTGGATATTTAGTATAGCTCGACGATTTGGGTCGAAGTCATGGTCTGGTGGAGCTGACGTTTTCTGATGTCCTTGGTGACAACCACAGTGGGAGGACATTTTTTCGAGTCATGGCCAGTGGAGGATGATGGTTGGTTGTAATGTTTGTATGGTTTGTTTAGAAAAATCGGCCCGCCAACGGTTGGCAACAGCCTCAATATCTTGACACAGTTCCAATCCTTCTCTTCCTTCACTGCCAGTCTGACCACATAACGTCTTGCTATATCTTACAGCCATGAGCGTAGAACACGTAACTTCGCAAACACTCCCTCCTCTCGATGAAAGAAAAGATCCAGCCCAATCCTGGCTGTTCGACCGTGATATCCAGTCCATTGCCATCTCCAGTCCAACACGGCGTCTGGATTCCCCCGAGCGTCCTTCTCTACGGCCGCAACTACCAGATCAGCAACACTCTGTGGGAAACCAAGTCATCCACGTCACTGACAACTACAGAATATCCGAGCATGTAGGTTTCCCGAGATGTTTTCCTGTGGTTGTTTCGGACGTAAAACAGCATCTCGGAACAACCACGTCCTGTCACCATGTCAGCATGTCAGCTTCAACAATTTTTGAAGACCATCTTACAACACTAATACGGCTCTCATTGTCATCATGCAAGAGAACTATAAAGCCATGATCCTCCCAGAGCATACAGTGCATCCAACAACTCAGATCAAACCATGTCTACGCCACCGACCTTCTCATCGGCCGTCTTTCCTACAAGCCTGTATATCGCAACCATTGTGCTTTACTCCATCCTCATCATACCTACTTTTTACATCTGGCGTCGCCATGGCAGACCCGGCTTCCTAGCTTACAACTTCGTCTATGCATTTTGCGCCATCCGCATTGCCGGCGGTGCGTTATCCGTGGTCGCTGTCCACAATCACGATCTCGAAACCAGCGCGACTATCGTCAATAGCTTGGCCATCTCGCCACTGCTGCTAGCTGGTCTTGGATTCTTGCACGAGGCACGCAATGCCCGTATCGCGAATTCGAACTCAAGACGCGAGTGGATGTTTGTGGGTGTGCTTCACGCTCTAGTGACTACGGCTATTGTGCTGGTGGTCATTGGCATCGTCAACGTCGTCAAAGGTGTATCAACAACCCAAGACTCTGGGCTTGTGAAAGCCGGTCTGGCGGTTTTGGTGGTGGCATATGTGGTTTTGCTCGCTTGGACGACGGGTTCTCTACGCCACCCTGCTCGATCAAAGAATGACACGTTTATCGATGGGACGGTGGTAAGTTTTCAGATTCGAGTCACTCAAAAGAGGCTTACACATTGCTGATTCTCCAAAAGCNTATTGCATACAACGTTATTCGCACTACCTTTTATTGGCATGCGGCTCGTGTATGGAGTCATCTCGTTCCTGCTCCTCGACCCGGCGTTTGCGCATTCATTGGCGGCAAAAGTGATTTTGAGTCTTCTTCCAGAGTTGATTGCTACTGCTCTGTTTGTGTATGGGGGATACAGGACACGCGACATGTATGCTTCCCGACACCAGGAGATAGCTGGAAAGTACAGTTCTTGAAAAGAACCCGGTCCAGACATGGTAGACGAGGCATCCAGGAGAAATTTCGGACGCAGATAGAGGGCACGAAAGATCTAGCAAGCAGTGAAAAAACATATAGAATTATTGTTGTACCACAGCCGACTGCGCTTGAACATTTTGGAGAATGAAAGGAAGCGTGAAGGATTAATAAGAAACTGCTTTGGTCCTACATAGTTGAGCCCCTATCGCGCTGCTCGTCCTGTGTTGCTGAATTCGTGAATGGAGAAGCAGCAGCCTCGTGTGTACTATGTGCTACCGAGCGAGTGCTTGTCATGCTTGTTTATCGAAGCCGTAAATGCGGACACAGGTTTGGCTAGGTATTGCCGTGCTCTGTTCAATTCCAGGTGCCAAGCCCAAGGCTGGGAGGACTTGATCCAGTCGACCGGAGAACCCAAGATCATGGTCGTTTTCGGCAACTTGCCGCCCGGAGCGGGCTGGTCTGAAAAGGTGAGTGTTTGATCGAATCATCAAGTACCAATCTTTTCAACCAGCTTTGCGCAGCGAGTTGTAATGCTCGCCGAGACCGAAGCCGTGTCTGTAGTATGCCAACCACAACTGCTTGTCGCTCTCAGCATCACTGTCTGGATTGATCTCCTCGACTCTGCCATCACCCTGCAGCACGCTGATAGCGACGCCGTATTTCTTTGCTAGAGCCATTAATTCAAGCTGGCCGCCCCACTCGCCGGTGTTCTTGATCTTGTAAATGTAGTAGTCCAAAGGCTCTTCCAAAAAGGGTGTAAAGTCGTTTGGATGTGCTTCAATGTACTCGGCAGCGGCTTGTCGCACAATCTTGTAGGGTTCGAGGGTGGCTGCAATGTCTGGGGTGTCCGAGGGAGCACTGCCCAAAGGAATCTCCAGTTGTTGGAGTTGGTCGGCGACGGCCGAGTAGAGGCAGTGGCCGTCTGCGCGTATTTCCTTCTCGGCGAGCTTGCGGGCGGCGAATTGGTTGAGCATGCTTTCGCGCTCTTTGGCTTTGAGGTTGGGGATGTCTTGGGCTTCCTCTGCGGCCGAGGCGATCAGGGCTTCTTGTTCGGCTGCGCGACGGGCGAGGCGGGCTTTTGCGCGGTTCTGTTTCTTGGGCGCGGATGCGGCTGGGGTGTCTGGTGGTGCGGATGAGGTGGGTTGTGGTTGCGTCGTCGAAAGGGTGAGTCCTTCAGTGCGGTCGGCCAGATCATCCTGCTCTTTCTCGGTGTCGCTGTCGTCGTCATCCTCGCCGCCCATAGGGGCAGTCATGGCCTGAATCTCTTGCTGATGGCGAGCCTTCATCTCTCTTTCCAGATTGTCGCATTCATCATTGACACCTTTGCGCGTCTTCTTGGTCGCACCTTTCTTCTTTTGAGTGACTTTTGATTGCAAGTCTTTGGCCTCCTTGCGGTGACGCTGTTGTAGCTCGTCCATGACTTCGGCCAGTTGGTCGCCAGAAGGGGACAAGTGTAACAGATCAGAGTGTTGCAAAAAGAAGGGCGAGCTTGTCATGGTCACTACTGGCACTATTATTGTGGGCAAAGCTTCCAACGCGACGGTCCCACATCCGAGCTCCTCCACGAACTTTATACCCACCACGACAATGACGTCCTCTGGTCGCCTGTCAAACCGTTGGAACCATTCCCTATCATCTGATTACACCAACATGACTGTGTGATTTGTGCCATACCATCATCCAACGCCACCATGCCACAGCACTCACGGACGCGTCTGTCTGTCGCCTTGACGGCCGCCGTCTTGGCCTTGACTTCCACATTCGCCGCCATCTATGCCTTCGGTTTCCCTGAACTTGATTACTGGCACTGGAGAGCTTCCTATGATCCCTTCAGAAACCAGCCATCTTCACAAAATGTCTTTGATGCCTTTACCAGACCGTCCGCCTCGGACGATTACCTCGTCGGCGTCGCCAAGGCTGACATCACCGGTCCCGTCGTCGAGATCAACCTCATGGGCTATGCTGATCCAGCTCAGCTTGGTTCTGGTGTGAGACAGCGTCTTTACTCTCGTGCTTTTATTCTTGGTGACACAGACAATCCCCAAGACCGCTTTGTCTATCTTGTTCTTGACACCCAGTCTGGAGATACTGCCGTCCGCAATGGTATTCTCGAGGGCCTCAAGGACCTCGGTCCTGAGTACCAAGTTTATGGAAGACAGAATGTCGCTGTTACTGGAACCCACTCGCACTCTGGTCCTGGTGCCTGGTTGAACTATTTGTTGCCGCAGATTACTAGTCGGGGCTTTAGTCAACAAAGTTATCAAGCTATTGTAGATGGTGCTCTTGAATCTATCAAGCAAGCCCATGAGTCGCTTAGCCCTGGCCAGCTATCCTTTGCTTCTGTCGATATTCAAGATGCAAACATCAACCGCAGTCCGTATGCCTACCTTGCCAACCCCGAAGAGGAACGCAAAAAGTACCATCACAATGTGGACAAGACCTTGACTCTTCTCAAGCTGCGTAGGAACAGCGACAAGAAAGATGTTGGTGTCTTGACTTGGTTCCCTGTTCACGGCACTTCTATGCTTGGTAACAACACTCTGATAACCGGTGACAACAAGGGTGTTGCTGCATATCTATTCGAGAAACATGCGGATCAGCTCGACTCTACTGCCGAAGGCTTTGTCGCTGGCTTCTCTCAGGCCAACGTCGGAGACACTTCTCCAAATATCAATGGTGCTTACTGCGAATCCGGAGATGATGAGGGCAAGCAGTGTGATTTCAAGACAAGTCTATGTGCTGGCAAGAACGGTCCTTGCCATGGACGTGGTCCTCACTGGGGACTGGATGATGCAGGTACCGCTTCTGCCTGGGAGATTGGTCGCAGACAGTATCTTGGTGCTCGCTCGGCATACGAGTCCATGACCACCAAGTCTACCTTCACACCTATTCAAGGCAAAGTCGTTCGCTCGCTCCACACTTTCGTCGACATGTCTAACCAGACCGTCATCTTGCGCAATGGCTCAAGAGCCCATACTTGTCCAGCTGCAATGGGATATTCATTTGCTGCCGGAACCACTGACGGACCTGGGGCGTTTGACTTTAAGCAAAACAACCCTGGCGATCCGAACGCAAGCCCAGTCTGGGCCGTTGTCCGCAACAGTCTACACTCGCCTGGCCCAGAGCAAATTGCTTGCCAAGCACCTAAACCCATCTTGCTCGACGTGGGCGAGACCGGAAAGCCATACCTATGGACTCCCAATGTTGTTGACATTCAGCTCCTGCGTATTGGTCAACTTGTCATCATCGTAGCTCCAGGAGAAGCCACCACAATGGCTGGACGACGCTGGAAAGGAGCCTTACAGAGCCACGCGCTTTCTGCCTGGGATGAAGCATCCAACGCAGCAGAGCCCATAGTCGTGCTTGGTGGTCCAGCAAACACATACGCGCACTACATTGCCACTGAAGAAGAATACTCCATTCAACGCTATGAAGGTGCATCCACACTATTCGGTCAACACACACTAGCCGCCTACATCAATCTCACACTCACACGACTACCCTATCTCTCTGCGTCTTCGGTCTCGAACTCGCCTCTATTGCCGCCTTCTCATCCTTCCCTGCCTGTGCTAGATCTCGGCGAGGACCCACCAATCCATACAAACAAATCTCTGAGCTTCATCTCACCCGTGGTATTCGATCGCGCACCTCTATTCAAATCCTTTGGCGATGTAACCACAGATGTATCTGCCCGCTACGCAATTTCTTCATCGCCAGTCATCAAAGCAGTCTTTGTAGCCGGCAACCCTCGCAACAATCTCCGTCTCGGTGGCACTTTTGCCGCAGTCGAAAAGTATAGCAGTCAAGGTACCTGGGAACAAGTCCGCTCAGACGAAGATTGGAGTCTAGTATTCGAGTGGGAGAGAACGAGTACTACCGTTGGAACCTCCCAAGTCACCATTTCTTGGGAATTAGGGTGGGAGATTGGTGATTATGGACGTGTGGATGCGAAGAGTGAAGGTCTGGGATTGTTTGGTTCAGAGTTGGAGCTGGAGTTGGAGAAGAGACAGGATGTTGAGGAGAAGCTCAAGGGAAGATATCGTATCAGATATTTTGGAGATAGTAAAGGGATTGGGNGTGGTATCTCTGGGTTTGAGGGGCAGAGTGGGGAGTTTGAACTTGTTTGATACAGTCTAGGATATTGTATCTATGTTGATTTCGTGTGTTGTTTCACGAGTGTTGCCTTGAGTTTCTTCCTCCTTGTACCTTGAGTATCTCCCTCCTTGTGCCTTTAGTTTCTTCCTCCTTGTGCCTTTGGTCTTTGCTTGCGTGACTCTAGCTTCCGTGTCTTTTTGTTTTCCATTCCTCTTAGTTGCCAAGTGGGGGGGAGATGTGTGGGTTATATACGTCTATCCTCTTCTGCAGGGATACGACAGCGAGGTATGGAGAAAGGGCTGTACTGTGAGCGACTATGCACATGATCATCTATGAGAAGAAACATGTTTGGGTGTGATCGACGTGAAACGCTTGCTGTTAGGAAGCTGATGGAGAAACACAAGGTCTAGAGACAAAACACAAGCACAAATGTGTGATCATGAGGAAGCAGAGCCCGAGACATGAGTTCGTATTCGGCAATAAATTGTATGTACAGAGTTTGTTCTCTATATGTGCTCTGTGAGGCGACTTTATATGTAGTGAGCCGGGCAGTAGATGGGCGACCCGGATGGCTGTAACGATGCAACCAGGGCTGTAACCGCAAGCTCCGAGACACAAGAGCCGCAGCATTGCTTGTTTTCAGATCTGCTCGTGTGATAGCCTCGTCGGTCCGGGACGGGGTTGGGTGTAGTCAGGCTTCCCCAGTCTCTGGAGCACGAGATGTGTCAAGCCTGTTTCAGGCTCGTGGCTTCTGACCGCACACGTCTGGAGCTTGTAGAAGAGGAACACCCAACACCAGAATTTGATGCCATAGTCTCGTGAAAGGTCGTATCATGAAAAGTTTTCAAGAGTCCAGACGCGAACCTCGCCGTCGTCGCCGGTGCTGATGATAGTTTCCTCATCATCATTGCGACGACCAGCATCACTTCTCTTGGCCCAGCAAACGTGGTTGATCTCAAAGACATCGTGTGCATTCTCAACCTCTGCGACAGCGACCCACTCCGTCTTTGCGATCTCCTTAGGTCCGTCTGTTGTCTCTATTTGGGTGGTCGCTTGATCGGCAGCCCACTGCTCTCTGTAGACTATAATCTTGCCATCACTGCCTGCGCTGACAAGAAGGCCGGTAGTTTTGCTCCATGAAACAGAGTAGATGGCGCGTTCGTGTTGTTGAGGTAGAGCAGCTTCGGGAAGCCATTCTTCCTCGATTGTGTTTGTCTTGATGATACTCGGCATTCTTGGGCCAGATTGAGGTGCGCCATTGGGCTTTTCCTTGGGAATACGGCGCCAGACACGGATACTGAGGTCGTCAGAACAACTGGCGAGGCGTGGGCCAGCAGCTTCCCTGAGCTCGAGGAGTCTTTGCTGTTGCTCTGTGGTGGCATGGAGGCCTGGTTGTGTAGCGCCCTCGAACTCGACCCACCAGACTGTGCCGCCGTGACCTGCAAGTACGGCGCAGCAGCCCCAGTCGTCAATGTCCTCTCTCCAGAGACGGATGTTGTCGTCGTAGCTGGACGAGGCGAGGAGTTCTTCTGACGGGTGCCAGCACACACACTTGACATCGCCCTCATGCTCTTGCAGGACGGCGACAGTCTCAAAGTTGTCATCTTCCAGCTCTTCCCAAATCCACACGCTCTTGTCGCGACTGCAGGTAGCTAGCAAAGGCGAGGTAGGACTGAAAGCCAAACTCTTGATTTCCGACTCGTGGCCGTCGAGAACGACAGCAAAGCGCCACTCGTCATCCTCGTCGTCTCCTCCGTCTTTTGTGAAATCGACCTCATTGTCCTCTGCCCTGTTCACCTTGCCGCTGTTACCCTCCCATCGTCGCCAGATGCCGGCGCTGGCGTCGAAGCTGCCTGTCGCAAGCACGCTCTCGCCGGTAGCAGAGGTGCCGCTGTCTGGCTTCCAAGCGACACTTCGAATGGAGCGTTTGTGGCCACCGGTGATGTTGCTGACGAGGTTGAACGAGTTGAGCGAGTAGACGCGCACGCTGCGGTCACTGCATGCTGTTGCGACGATGGGGAGGTTTGGGTGTGGCGACGAGAGCCATGTGCGCGTGTTGGAAGCTGGTGTCAAGGTCGCCAGCGGGGCGATTGTCGGTTTCGTACTCATCTTGTGTGTCAATTGGGTAATGTTTGAGAGACACTGAGGCCAAGTCAAGATTGTGAGTGTTGCGGATTATCCAAGTACGTCAGCGACCCTGCCCCGCTGTCGCAATCTGCAAGAGCTGTCCACTGATGCACCGATTTTCGCACAAACGCGCCCCTTCCTCGACTTCTCCGAGAAGCGGTTTTTCGCTACATACATCAACACTAACACTACCATGGACGACACTTCCATCTCCACCGATTCACCTAGTGGTGCCAGATCATCACGCACACAGCTGAAATGGACAAACGATATGGAGGTAGCCTTCATTGCTACCATGAAAAGCATGCAGAGCCCTCCCACCAAGAATGTACCTTCGGGCTTCACAAAAGACGCCTATAAACGCGTCGCCGAGATTATCAAAGACAAGTCATCGCAACCAGATCTCTGTGATGATGTGCGTATGAAGAACAAGCTCGGTGCCTTGAGGAATGACTGGCGCACCTATGTGAATCTACTAACCATGCAATGGCCACGTTTACCCAATGGTCTGCCTACAAACACCGACGACGTCCTGGAAAACTACTACAAAGACCAGGATCCCAATGCCAGAAAATTCAGGGCTGCTCCCTTGAGGCACTTTGTTGAGTTGAATCTTCTCTTCGATCCCGAAGGAGAGCAGCCCTTGGCCTCGCCATCATCATCTCGTCCTGTGCCAGTGTCTGGTGACCTTCGCCAATCACTTCCACTGCCACATTCCCCCTACGAGACTGTGGATTATCAAGCTCCATCGTCTACACAAGTCCATGATCTACAAGACACTATGACAAACGGCACGCACAATCCTTACACTCCTCACTCTGGCCCTGCCTCCCATCTATCCGCAAAACGACCAGCCGAAACCTCCATCTCCAACCAAGCCAAACGCATTCTCATGAGCGAATCTCTACCCACTCAACCACGATCCCAGGATACCCTACGAGCCTACTACGGCAACACATCTCAAATCTCTCCCGTGGCCGCTGCCACCGCCCTCTTCGGGGCTACCTTCTCATCCCTTCCCATACGCCATAAAGTCATCGCTGTCAAACACTTCCAGGACACAAACATGGCTGAAATCTTTTTGCATACTGACGCAGACGTGAGGGAAGAACTGGTCAACCAGTGGGTCAGAGATGCAGAAATCGAGCGCCTTGGAAGACTTGGCGGGACAAGGCGCTGATGAGTGACTGTCAAGCAATTATTGACAGGTATCTATACACACGTGCCAAAAGTGGGTAGGAGTTCTCAAATCGAGCAATCAAGAATATTGGTGCCAACAGCATTCAAGAACAGACGACAGGGTGCATTAATTTCGGGCACCAAGGAAATCCAAAAATACTCAATCGAACAGAATCAAGATACCAGTGTCTGGAGGATAACCCTGTCGCCTTTTTGCGACTCGCATTGGGAAGTAAAACTAAAAGGTACAATCGGCACAGCCATCCTATAAGATGCTTCTTGCACAAGAATACATGGTTAGCAACATGATGGCAGTCGGATTTGAAGAGACGCGAATGATCATTTTATCGCTATTCGAATAGTATTTTTGGACACATCCTGCAAATGTTACAGTACGCATCACCTAAATCAAAACACCAGAAGAAACATACTGCGTGCAAATAAAAAGAAACAAGTCAGAATTAACAACTTTCCTATGTAAAGAAAACGATAGAAGAAGCTATGTGAAGTGAGAAAAAAAAACAAAACAAAAGACCAATCCACAAACGAAAAGGGGAATAAGCTACAATGAAAAACAACAACAACAAGAACAGCGCGAAAACGGGTGATTAACAACAAGTTACACGGACGACGACGCCCATCTCGATCCCAAAAGGACCCTCCTTTCACCAGTCGAATCCGCGACCTCCCATCGATCGGTCATGGAGAGCAAATATCCAACCGCGCGATGAACCCCAATCATGACGAAATGAGTCTGTACCGGATCCACGCACCGACGGGTATGCTATACACGGGCTCGGGCTCTCAGTTTCATGACTTCTCCACGGGTGTGGGCGATTTCTCCACGGGTTCGGGTCTTCTATCCTCTGAACTTTTCCTTGAGCTTAGCAAGGAAGCCCTTCTTCTTGGAACCCTTGCCGTCGTCGTCGGCCTTGGAGGATCCGGCAACGCTAGTGCGGTCGCTCTGAGGTGTACCACGGAAGAAGCCACTAGATCTCTTGGTGGCGTTTCTCTGGGGTGTGGTGGGTGCGCTGCCAGCTGAGGCAGGTACGTTGTGGGTTTCAAGGCCAGTGGTGACTTGAGGCTCTGTTTGCTTGGACGAGTCGGGGCGAGTCATGGGGGAANNAACGTCGCGTGAGTGCTCCTTGGGTGCTTCGAGAGTGGGGGCGACGAGCCTCTCGGGTTCGATGGGAGCGGGGATCTGGGCCTGGCTCTCGGCGGGAGCATTGAGGCCGGTGTTTTTCACATTGGCGGATGTTATCTCGTTATAGATAGGCGTCGCGCCGACGGGAGGAATTTGGGCTTGGCTCTGAGCAGGAGCGTTCAAGCCGGTTGTGGTGACAGGAGCGGCATTAACATTCTGAATGCCGCTGACAGCAGTGACACCGGTAGCAGGGCTACCACCAGCAGCAAGAACGGCGGATTCCATGTCAGAAGGCTCGGTACGTGCAACAGGAGCAGTGGCGCTTAATGCGGCAGTCTCGGTAGGTGCAGGCTCGCCAGCCTCGTGAGTGCGAGGCACACGGTCGAGCAGTTCTCTCTCAACCTCGCTCTTCTCAGCGACAGCCTCGGGCTCAGCAGATGCTTCAGGGGCAACGTGAGCCTGGTGCTGAGAATCAACAACAGCCTCGGGGACCGATGAGTGAACGTTGGGCGAAGCGAGCGAAGTGTTGGCAGAAGGAAGGCCGTGGTTCATGTTGTTGATGGCATCGGCGACTGATGGAGGGAGGAAAGAAGTAGGATCTCTGCCAGTGGTCTCAACAGTCTTGTCACGAGCAGCATAGGCGGCTCCGGCAGCGGTAGCGCCGAGTGCGGCAGTACCAGCAGCAATGCCAGCAGTAGCTCTGCCTGTCAATCCTTGCTCGCTGGTACCAAGAGCGCCGGACTCAGATGTGGCAGGTGCCTTGTGGACGTGAGATAGGAGCTCCTTTTCCATGCCAGACTTCTCGTGGACAGCCTCAACGTTAGCCGAAGCTTCAGGTGCGACGTGAGCTCTCTCCTGACTCTCGTGAACGACTTCGGGAACTTCCGAGGTGGAGTTCAGTCCAGTCGACCTCTCAGTAGCGCTAAGATCTCTGCCGGTCAGGTCAGAAGCCTTGTCGCGAGCGGCGTAGGCAGCACCTGCGGCAGTTGCGCCAACAGCTGCGGCACCAGCGGTGAGACCGGCAGCGGCCCTGCCCGTGATGCCTTGTTCACTGCTGCCAAGAATGCCAGATTCGGAAGTGGCAGGTGCCTTGTGAACGTTGGACAACAATTCCTTCTCCATGTCGGACTTCTCGTGGACAGCCTCAGCGTTAGCGGAAGCCTCAGGTGCGACGTGAGCTCTTTCTTGACTGTCGTGGACAACTTCAGGAACTTGCTCGGAACCGGAAACCACCTGAGTCGACTTCTCGCTAGTGTTCAGGTCTCTACCAGTCAAATCGGAAGCCTTGTCACGAGCAGCATAAGCAGCACCTGCGGCAGTTGCGCCAAGAGCAGCGGCGCCAGCAGTGATGCCAGCAGCAACTCTACCGGTAATTCCCTGCTCGCTGTTGCCAAGAACACCGGATTCGGAGGTGGCGGGTGCCTTGTTGACGTGAGAAAGGAGCTCGCTCTCCATATCATGCTTTTCATGGACGGCTTCGGGGTTGGCGGAAGCCTCGGGTTCGGCATGAGCTCGGTCCTGGCTCTCCTGTACAACTTCAGGAACCTGCTCAGAACCAGACTCCAGCTCAGTAGTGTCTCTGGTGGTAGTAGATGAAGGCAGGCCAACCGACTCGTAAGCCTTGTTTGCCTGAGTGGACACGGCAGCGGAAGCGGCAGCTGCACCAGCAGTGGCCTTCTCAGCAATTCCATGCTCGCTTCTACCAAAGGCGCCAGACTCGGAAGTGGCAGGGGCCTTGTTAACCTCAGAGAGAAGCTCACCCTCCATAGCGGTCTTCTCACGGACGACCTCAGGTGAAGCAGAAGCCTCGGGCTCGACGTGAGCACGCTGCTGGCTCTCGCTGACAACCTCGGGGACAGAGCCGTCAATGGTGGGCTCCTTGGTGGCATTCTCATAGGCGTCGGTAGCCTTGTCTCTGGCAGCATATGCAAGACCAGCGGCAGCAGTTCCAAGCGCGGCAGTACCGGCAGCAATCTTGCCAGTAAAACCGCCTTCGCTAGCACCTAGCACACCAGACTCAGAGGTGGCAGGGGCCTCAGGGATGGAATGTCTCAGCTCATCCTGGAACGCAGCCTTCTCACGAACGACTTCAGGCGAAGCGGAAGCTTCAGGATCAGCGTGGGCGCGCTCCTGGCTCTCGGCGACGACATCAGGGACTTCCTTAGATGCAGGAGTAGGCTCAGTGGCGTGCTGGTAAGCCTCGGAGAGCTTGTCCTTGGCAAGAAGAGCAGCGCCGATGGCGGTAGCACCAGCAGCAGCAAGACCACCAGCGACGGCTTCAGGGACGTGAGAGTCAGAAACAGCCTGTGCGGTGTTGGAAGCAGTTTGTGAGACGGTGGAAGCAGCATTGGAGGCAGTTTGTGACACGCCCGAAGCAGCGTCAGCAACAGGGCTACGGTCAACAAAAGCGTTGTTGTTACTAGGAGACACTGTCTGCTTCAATTCGCTCTCGACAGCAGCCTTCTCGCGGACAGCCTCGGGGTTTGCAGCAGCCTCAGGACCAACATGAGCGGACTCTTGGCTGTGAGAAACGACCTCAGGAACGCCAGTGACAGGAGCAGACTCAGCAGTAGTGTTTGCCTCGGGGACCTTCTCTTTCAGTTCCTCCTCGACGTTGTGCTTGCTCTGGATGGCCTTTGAAGAAGAAGCAGCCTCGGGGCTAACCTGAGCAGACTTTTGGCTATCGGAAACGACGTCGGGAACACCACGTGTGCTGCGGGGCTCAAGGGGAACCTGGCCGGCAAGCTGAGCGGTAGTGCTCTGGGGAGCAACGGAAGAGGTGAAAGCGTTGTCGAAGTCAGGCAGGCGGTTGTTGTTACCATCACCCATGGGGAGGCTGGATTCGGGGATCATGTTACCACCGAGAGCGGGAAGGTTGAACATGGAAGCACCGTTTGCCTCAGCCTCGCTCTGAGAATCGAGGACCGGAGGAAGGACGGGAGCACCAGTGTCGCTAACACCGTACTGGGAGCCATCACGCACAGTCGATTGAACGGTGTTCGAGGTGATCTTGCTGTGGTGAGGAACAGGCTCGCCGGGAGCGAGCTTGATGGGGTTGCCGATACCAGCGGTGGCAGGGATGGGGTTGACGCCGAAAGCCTTGGTGTCCTCCTCTTCTTCCCGAGCAGTGGATGGTGCGTAGGCGCCGGGCAGATCATTCTCGTTGAGCTCACGGTCACGAGACTCGTTGGCACCATCGGTGGATGATGTGGTGGGCTTCTTCAGCTCAAGATCATCGCGCACGGTGGAGTGGATGGTGTTGGAGGTCAGAGTGCTGGGGTGAGGAACGGGCTCACCAGGGGCAAGCTTGACGGGGTTGGAAGGGCCCTCGGTAGCAGGAATGGGGTTCACGGTGAACTGGTTGAGGTCAGCCATAGGTGTAATGGGGAATTGGCCGGGCAGGTCCTCGAATCCTGGAGTCTCCTGGGGGAAGCTCGTTTGGTGGTCGACATTCTGCTCGGCATGGGCGTTTCTTTCCTTTTCANNGAGCGGTACACCGCCAGCAAGAGCAGCGGTGGTGGATTGAGGATGTACCGAGGAGATGAATGCGTGGGATGGTCGTTCTTCGGGCTCGGGGCTCAGCTCTCTGGCTTCGACGACATTGTTAACGTTGCCCGAGGCATCTGTTTCCTGCTTGGCAGTGGAGTCGGTTGTCCAGTTTCCATCGACAACGAACTAGATGGGGAGACGGTTAGTCGCGCGCACTCGGTATCCCAGGTCGATCCTTCTCACTTTGTAGTGGATCCTGTTTTCCTCGCCGGGCAGAGTGATGGTCTTGCGGAAAGAGTCGCCGTGCTTGTCTAGCTTGACAGACTTGGACCAGTTGTCGAAGTCACCCGTCACGTAGACTTCTTGGGCGGGGTGGTCCCTATAGCAGCGCGTCAGCAGTCACTTCATTACAGAGATGACAGGAGCGCAGCTGTTGAGCGAGCGCGACGTTCGGGGAGTCCGCACGCAGGAGCAGATGGACCGGATGCGACGCGACCGAGAGGGCTGTCCGACTCACCAAGTGAATGTGTATTGACCCATTTTGGCTTGCAATCAGCTGTTTCGGTTGCAAAGATTGAAAGGCCTACGGGGAAGCGGCCTGTTGCAAAGGCTGACGGCGTAGGTTGAGGTGGATTGATAATGCGCTGGTGATACAAGAGATGCGCGCGCCTTGTCGAGCTTGCAGGAGAGGCAGGACAGCGTGGGCCAGTTCTGGAGTCGTGCGGTGGCTGCGTGTGGCTGATGCTGATCCTTGGCTGACGGCTGGCTGTTGGAAAACTCAAGAATAATCCCTTTGACAGTGTCTATGCAGGCTGATTGTTTGATGGAGACGGTCACTTTGTTGAAGAAAAAATACAGCAACACTACTATTGATGTTCTACTACAGTCAGGCAGACCAAGGCAACACCTTGTTTTGAGCACCGTCCAGAGAGCACCAAAGGACGTCATCACAGTTCACGGGGAGAGCACGTACTCCTGGTTCTCTGCCAAAAGCTAAATCCAAGGTGGGATTCTCTACGAGACGGCTGGACGTTCTTCAGCAGCGCAGCTCAGCCTTCTCGGACTTGTACGGCCGAAAGGGTATTTGTAAAGATGCACCAAGCCAGTCAAGAGAGCGAGGGAGCAGGCCTTGATGTGACGACTGGGAAGAGGAGTCAATCAAGCATGTAGTTCACATCAAGCCAGCTCTTGCCCGTTGGGAAGAAGGGGTTGTGAATCTAGCATGTAGAATTGTGAAATGCTGTGTAAGAAAACCCCATCTGCTGTGTAAGAGCACCTCGAGGAGCTACCTACTCAGTGCTCACCGCCGACGGGAGCTTAATCATTATATCGTACAAGATGAACACCAGTACAATGTAGGTAGTTCTGTAGATGAAGAACACCTCAGCAGCTCGTCAATTGGTGACGTCTGGATTCATTCTAAATCACAGAAGACATACGTATTTCTTGTCTTGGCGTGTCGCGAGCTGCAAGCAAGCTGGCAGCATGAGACTGGAAAGCATGAGGCAGTCATACCTTGTCTTCTGGCCATGCTTACAGAATCTCTGGTCACAATCATGGCACGCAGAAACACACGGCAGTCCTTGCAGTCTTGGTCGTCCAAAGTATTGGGTGTTGAGCTTCTGCTGTGTAACCGTTGTCAATCCAGAGCTGTGCCGTTTTGACCTTCTCGAAGGAGTAGCAAATAGTGTCATGAATAGTGGCAGTTGCGAGTAGTAGCGAGGGGAACGGAATCAATTGGCCCCAAAAGCACGCACGTAGCTGCCAGCTCTCGTTCCTTCCTCTCCTCTCATACATTTTTATCAGTCGGTCGTCCAGGATTGAAGCTTAGAAGTCTGGCTGACATTGTTCTCTCGTCCAAATTGCTTCTGTCGTCACGCGCCACGACTTCCCCCTCATTATCTCATTGGCCGTCGGGCGCAGTTTCCCCCTCAATACCCTAGACAAAGTCACGACGCATCAGAGCATCTGATTACTGAGCATCGCATTGCAGCATCGCATCAGCTCCATCACGTCTCCAGTCGATCGAACGTGACCGCGGCATCGAAACAAAGAACCCCACTACGGCAGTGTAGCTCCACGTCTGCGGGCTCCTGCACAAACGTCCCGACCCAAGCTCTCCCCAAGCTCCAAGTACCTCTACCAATCTCCAACAATGGCTCTTCCCGCCGACTACAAGCACGAGATCGAAACTCTCGAACGCGAGGTCCTGCAGAACAAGCCCACCGACGTCCTGCAGTTCTGCGCAAACCACTTCCTCCGCCGACTAGAGTCTCAGCGACACGAGTTCCTGCTGGGCGCACAGCATTCCAACAAGACAATGGCCGAGAACAACTTCCCCGGCAGCAACCCTTTCCACCACATCCAACAGCCTGGAATGCAGCGTCTGGAGGAAGAGGATGAAATGGACACGTTTGCCTCGCCCACTGCAGCCTCCTTCCCCAACAACGCCATGAACCGTGACGCATCTCCCTTTGCTGCAAACGCAAATCCCTTCGGTGCCAACAACTCCAACTCAGTCGGCAGCCCCTTCGCCCAATCTCAGAACGCCGACCCTTCAGCTCAGCACAACGATGGCTCCTTCGGAGGCTTCAACTTTGGTTTCGGCGGCGCTCAGAGCACAGGAGCCCGAGACCAGAATGCTGGTGCTGGCGGCAACAGTCAGCAGTTGGATGTACCGCAAAACTTCCCCAACAACTACAACATGGGCCGTCGTGTGTCCGTATCGGCCGAAGTGTTGGCACCCTCAGGCACCGACGATTCGGACTGGAAGCCTCCTACCTACCCCAAGACTCAGGAACAGCTCGGTCGTCTACGTGCTGCAGTGTCGCGTAACTTCCTCTTTTCCCACCTGGACGACGATCAGACCGAGCAAGTCTTGGGCGCTCTCCAAGAACGCAAGATTCCGTCCAAGGACATCAAGGTCATCGCCCAAGGAGACGTTGGTGACTATTTCTACGTTGTCGAGACTGGAAGCTTCGACATTTATGTCTCGGGAACCGGCAAGATCGAGCCCGGTGTCAACGGCATGGGCAACAAGGTCGCATCGTGTGGTCCTGGCACCTCTTTCGGTGAACTTGCGCTGATGTACAACGCTCCTCGTGCTGCAACCGTCAACAGCACCGAGCCCAGTGTCATTTGGCAACTCGACCGCATCACCTTCCGTCGCATCCTGATGGACAGCGCATTCCAGCGCCGCCGCATGTACGAGTCTTTCCTTGACAGCGTTCCTCTCCTCAACACCCTCACCGCATACGAACGCAGCAAGATTGCCGATGCTCTCGAAACCCAGAAGATGCCTGCAGGAAGCACAATCATCCGTGAGGGTGACGTTGGTGATCACTTCTACATGCTCGAATCAGGCACTGCCGCCGTCTACAAGTCTGGAGTCGAGCAATCGATCAAGTCGTACAACAAGGGCGATTACTTTGGCGAGCTGGCCTTGCTGGACGACAAGCCTCGCGCCGCATCTGTTGTCGCTGAAACAGACATCAAGGTGGCCATGTTGGGCAAGAATGGTTTCCAGCGCCTTCTAGGCCCTGTCGAGAGCATCATGCGTCGTGATGACCCCAGGCAGCGTGCCGGCTCGGCTCAGCCCTCTTCTTCGTCTGCAAGACCTTTCTCCGACAGTGTTAACCCCTTCTCGTCGTCCTGAAAAGCCGGGGAGCATGGTGCACACTTGTCTAAGCGACGGCGATTAGTTTGATATCATCGGGCAAGAATCAAAGGCGCCATGGGTCCCGTTCACTATTTAGTTATTTCTCTTTTCTAGAGCAAGTCGAGGGACAGACGACTAGTCGTCGTCCTCGTGTATTCTTCGTCTCAGCTTAGGTTTCCAGCAACAAGACACTGCTTTGAAATACAGAACGTTTTACAAAAATCGCACTCCTCTCATCATGATCGTAATCTTACAATCGCGTCCCGCGAACTCCGTCCTTTTCCTTGAAAATGCTTGTTGCTAGACAAGCATATGCATCTGAACCGGCACGCGGTTGAGGTTACGTCATTTTAGCGTAGCGTCGAAGGGATCGACGGCATGTCTGCCCTTCCGTCTTCCCGTTTTGTATTCGATGGGATGTTAAGAAGAAAGCCCTCTGTCCTGCTCAACATCTTTCACAACTCCATTGTTTTCACGACTCACGAAGCACTTACTTGTCCATTGTCCGTCTCTTACTGCAGAATCATAGTTTAATTGCACCTCCTACCTTGAAGCCAATCCGCTCGACAATCCTATCTTCCTCCACAATGGACTGTCTTCCTATTCCCTTCGTCTGCTTCCAGTGCGGTATGTCAATGTGTCATTCTTTCGTTGCCAATTCGTTTTCTGACAACAATTCAGGTACCGACCAGAATCCTTGCCACTGCAAAGTTGTTGGCCCTACCATCGGTTTCGCCAGCGCCATTGTCCTCGCAGTATGAAATGTGCTCGCGCTTCGATTGCATACTTTGTTCTAACCAAGAAACAGGNTTGTCTGCTGGCCTGCCTCCCTGTTCTGTGGTTGCTGTGCAACTGAAACAGGCAAGAAGTAATGCACATCAAGATACATGCTTACTGTGAATCCTTTTGCTAACGTGTATATCATAGAANTGCTTGCTACTCCAGCAGATCTCAGTGGCCAGATCAGCAATGCTATACCTTTCTAGCGTGCTCTCTCTCAATCCGGCGTTTCCCTGTGGGTCGTTTTCATGAGCTGGCAACGATGGCGTTTTCAACCTGGGTTTCTGGTTAGCTGTGCTGGGCACGGTTTAAAGGTGTAGAGGTGTTAATAAGTAGTGCGTCGAAGTGGCGGCAAAGTATCAAGGTGTACATGCTGTTTTTGTTCAACTTTAGTCATCAGGTTCGAGGCTTATGAAGTTCGTCACGATGCTGGCTAGGCGTGACGACTGCTCAAGAGAGAAAGCTCAACATACGCCCTGGAACAGCCCTGGGCCACGAACGACATCAACAACAACAATTCACAACTTACTTTCCGCAGCAAGTTTTCCCGCATATATTCAATTCACCTCGCTCTATTCACTTGACAAACGGCGCAAACCCGCACACGGCATTCTCATCCCCAGATACGCTAGGCTCCCACCCGGGTGCATCACTTTCACTGTATCAATTACAGTGAACCGGACCTTGCTTTTCACGCGTGTTCGTTGACTTTTCAACTTTGGTCGTTAACAAACTGGATAGCTGGCCAGATTGGCGCGTCTGTCAATGCCATACGAACGTATTGGTCAACAAGCATCGTGCGCCTAGACGCAGCCCGCAACGCTGAACCTATCACTCATCACCACTTCAACTATGCAACATGAAATCTTCTACCACGCTCGTTCCCGGCAATGAANTGGCCTTCGCAAAGTTTTTTTTCGACAAACTCGGCAATTACTTCAATCGACCTGAGTGGTGGGAAGAAGGCGCTGAAACTCTCAAAGCCTTCTTTGACGACGAGAAGCCATCTGAAGATAGCACTGACCAGCGCTTGGAAGATCTCTTAGACCTTCTCGAACCTCTCAAGGTAGGCGAAGAGCCCCAGAATTCCAGCATTGTCGGAGTCACCAGCAGTGGTCCGGTAGATGACACCACAGATCCTTNNCTGCTCCTCGCAAAGAACAGAACATAGACCCGATCTATGATGGTGATCAGTCCTCCCAGCCGAGCATCGGCCCTCAACCGCATACGGACACTGAGAACCATAGCCACGATTTGTTGTCAACCACTAAAGCAGTCAACATCGATCTGGAGGANNAGGGAAAAAGTCGCACCTGCCATCGCGAACGCCCTTACAGATTCTTTTTCTCATACAGAGCATGGTAGCCCACCGAAACCACTGTTTACCGTGGATACCATCGACACATCTTCTCCCGTGTTTACTGGCACGACCACGAGGACCAGACGAACAAGTCTCCAGCCCGAAACGAGTACTCGTGCATCTTCTGCGGTCCCAGATACAGCAGCCACCCTCGATCTGTCTCCCGAAAATGGCACGATCGCGCCTTCCTCGCTTGAAGCACCTATAGAGAATGACCCCACAGGTCTCCAAACTGTCAAAGGCAAACGCTCCGACGATCATGGACTTCCCAAAGCTATCGACTCGAGCATTCTATCGCAAGAAGATGATACAACTGTGGTGCATGATCCCTCTTCCGCAGCGGTCTCCTTCTTTCCACCAAACCCATACTCTGATGAGCCCGTCCAGTACCCCTCCCAACAAGCAGCGCCTACTGTGTCTTCGGTATTTAATGGACAGCTTGGAAATGACTATCGCCAGGACATCGAAGACACATCTGCCGATTCAAGTCTGACCTCTTTGGCTTCCAACGATGATCAGATGAATCAATATGATCTCCGTGACCAACTCGCCGACTACAAGAGATATCTTGCCGACACACCATCTCCGCCACCTACATCCCCGTTGAGTCCACCGCCAAGCATTCTCACCACCAGATATGCTGATCCAGATATCATGGGTGGGGCTGATCCAGAAGATGATGAAACTACATTATTTTCAATTGCATCTACACCGAGTAAGCCCATCATCAAGCTTGGCAAGGTTGCACCCAAGGAACCTGATGACGACCGCGGGTTGAGAGACACTGGAGGCTTGGGGACTGTCAACGAAGCCGATGATGAGCTGGCCGACGATACTGACGCTGATGACATAGAGGTGNTTGAGAAACCCCTGGCTCTTACTAATGGAAAGCGGAAGCAACAACAAGCTCATGAAGATGAGCCGGCACAGAAAAGACTTCTCGCTACAGTCACAGGAGACGAGAAACAACCAGGAACCGATGCCAAGGCAGTTGCACCGCCTGAAGAGCACACAATTAAAGACAGACTGAGGAGGAGGATGCAGGAAAGCAAGGCCAATGTGACGTCCACGTCTGCACTACGCGACTCACCTGACGAACTTGCTCCAGAATCAGCGGACGAGCTTGCCGATCCTTCTCCTTCCCATGGTTCTCTTTCTCTTGTGAAGTCGAGGATCAACAAATCAAAGCCCAGTCGCTCGCGTGCCAAAAAGCCACCCAACACGCCTGCTCTTGCTCCTCTTGAGAAGATCGTGGGAGTTCCGAGAGCCACAAGAGGAGCTACCGCCAACAGACAATTGGCTGGAATCCCCGGGACTCCATCGCCTCGTAAAGTCGAAGAGAAGTCAAAGGCGGACGTTCATGGGCGACTACGTAGCCAGGCTCGTACTCGTGGACCTGATCCCACGCTTAACCCGGCTCTCATATCCGGCTCTGCACCTACCACTGTTGTACCGAGCACAGAAGTTGTTGCAGACGCCCAACTTACCGAAGAAAGCAAGACAGAAACACAGCCTCCANGCAAAAGAGAGAGACCTCTTGGTGCTAACCCACTCAGTACTCGAGAACTCAGAAGCCTGGACGCGACTCCTATCCTGTATACAAGAACCAGAACAGGAACCGCGACAGCCGAATCCACTCCTGAGCCTGGCACTCAAGGCTCAGTCAAGCCTGTACCAAAGCGCACAAAATTCGCTACCAGTGCCTCAGAAGTCACTCGTCTGGGCTCTGTTGTGATAACCGGAAGTAGAACGAGAANNAGTCAACAATCGAACCCACTCCCGAGCCCACGCCTAAGGTCACTCCTGCAAAGAGTAGCAGGAAAGCTACTATCAAGCGCGTCGGGAAGACAGTCGCAAAGCCTACTGCAAAGCCAACCACCGAGTCTGCCGCTTNCCAACCCCTTCACTTTAGCGTCCAAGGGTGCTCCTGCCACCAGAAAGAGAGCACCTCGAAAGAATAAGACAGCCGAGTCTAAGCAAGATGACGACACCATGCCCGAGAAGCTCAACGAGGCAACGACAAAGAGAAAGCGTGAGGAAGAAGACGGAGAGACCGAAGAACAGCCCACGAGAGCCAGTAAGAGAATCGCTGGAGCGGAGCCCGAAGGAGAGTGATGGTATGGTGAAGACGAGAGAATAGACTTGGGTTGCTTCAAAGGATGATCATAATGAGAATGATAATCTGGCTTGCATCAGCAGCGAAAGCACGTATCGATCATACCTCTACGATCTATGGCTTGGTTCTTGCTAGTTGACTTAGGGTAGCTTATACTAAATCACTCTTGCTCCATGGGATTAGGCATCCTCGCACAGTTCCTTCCTTCAGCATACTACACGCAGGTCTGTTCTCCATAGTGTTGTGATCATAAGAAAGGGCAGACATGTTCTATAAGTGATAGCACCAACTCCTTCCTCTCCGTGTGCTGGAGGCTACAACTCCCATCCTTCTCCCATGAGAGTGTAAGTCGAAGTGTATGCTATAGAAGGTGCACAATTCTTTTCTAAAGCAGAGGACGAGCCATAGAGAGCCGCCAGGATGCCGAATCTCGGAGTGTGCTGCCTTGTTTTTCTTTACCATTGTGTATTTCTCACAGCTAGATGCGTTACATACTTTAGCACACGGGCGAGATCATTGCTCCGGCACCTTCCAATCAGCCTTGTTATAGTTTGCCGGCCACACTCCATTCTTTCCAGGACTAATGATGCCTTTGGGATCCAAAGCAGCCTTGACCTTGTCATTCAATTTCATCTGCGCATTGTCGTTGAAACTGTATGTCTCGGCAATTTGATCCATGACACTGAGATGGGTTCTGTACTCTCCCCAGCCGCGTTTTGCTGCATCGTCGATGAGTGTTCTTATCAGCCAGTGGGCACGGCGGCGAGAGTCTGGGTCTTTGCGGTTGAAGACTATGCAAACTATGTGGTGCATTTCACGCNNTGTCGGAACGGTGTTAGTCTTGAGAAGGTTGAATACAGTGTCATTCTCTCTTACCATTCCCACGACAAAAGTGCCGATAAAGTCGAATCCGGCTTCTTCACAGCGTTGGCGTGTTACTTTGTATTGTGCTACACCATCATCTCCAGAAACCTTTGCGATGGGACTAAAGAATAGATGGGCACCGTTGGGCAGCCAGTCCACCCATCTAAGCTCTGTCGTACTTGGTATACCTTGCAAGGTGTCGTTCCGGGTCTGGAGAACCACGTTGTCGGGCATATCTTTTGGCTCGTAGTATTTCGCTCCAGGAATTTGCAGGAAGGACTGTTTGATTACCGATAGCAGTACTTCACGTACTGGTGGAGGTCCATAGACTGCGCCGTAAAAGTTCCAGCGTCCTAGGTTGAGTTTCTTTGCGATGGCGTCGAGCTCGTCGTCGGTTATTGGCTTGTCGGAGTCTGTGTATGACTTGCGGTCACCCTGTTGTATTGATCAGATTGGTCGCATAGGCATGTGAGTATTTGTGTTTACCATAACCGCAGCGTCCAACAAGATGTGTCTCATGGTAGGGACATTTTGAAGCACCATGCCTACTCTGAGGGGTCTGATGATCTCCAGAGCTTGGTGTAGATTCTCATCTTTGGGCAAAGTGATGAGATACNNTAGTCATGTCAGCGCTTGTAGTTGTGAAACTGGCTTGCCACTTACGCTTTGGTATCCACCTGGATTGACCATGAGCCATATGCCCATCTTGACGACAATACCCAAGGAGGATTGTGTGAAGATGCCATCATTGTAAGGACCAAAGCCATAGTTGAACAAACCCCAAGTCTCGTTCGCAGCTTGCTCGTGTGGTGGAGCATTAGGATCAGCGTTGGGATTCGGGAGACCACCCATGCCGGAGCGCCACAAGGTACCATCTGGTAGAACAACCTCCATGCCACAATGCATCATCCAGTGGTCCCCATATGGTGTGTATCCAACCCCACGTTCGACAGTGTTGCCAATTACGGAACCTCCTCCAAGGTCGGGAACATCAATCCAAAGTTTTTCGCGCAGGTTGTTTTCGACCAGATAGTTGTGAAGGTCNACTATGTTGGTATCAGCAGTGGTTCTGTGTACATAAACAGAAAGTACTTACATGAATGTCACCCCTGGCTCGACAAAAGCGAATGCACCATCCACGTTGACTTCTAAGATCTTCACCATATTCTTACCCATGTCAAGACCGATACTACCAGGAACTCTGGGCGCAGCACCTCCGTATCCGACATTTCGGCCAATGCTGAATGGCCAGACAGGTATCTCGAATTCGTTGCACAGTCGCATGATAGCTTGTACATCGGGCACATTGCGAGGAGCCACAACTGCCGAGCTAACAAAGTATTCTTTGGGGGTGACTTGATACATATAGCATTTTCGTAAGTAAGATATGTTCGAGAGTGACATTCTTCATACATCATAAGCCTTGCTTGGATCAAGGTAAGACTCATGCTTGAGCTCATTGTCGCTAGAGATGACCGTCGCATTCTCCGCGCCAACAATGTCGGCAACATTTTGCATGAAGCTGTTGAACTTCTCCAAACTTGTGTTTGGGGGCAAAGTCAATGGTCGCCTTTCTGCATCAGGTCGACTGCCATCAGGGGTTCGATAGGCACCTGGAGCGGTCCCGACACCGATGCCTTCCTCGCCTGCCAGTTCGTTCTGCTTCATCGTTGGGGGTTTGAGTATGTGAGGGGTAACCACTTTCTTTTGGGTGGAGAAGGCATGGCAAGTTTATATCACCTTGCTCTTGTTCAGTCTACAAGCGGGGTATGAGCGCCAGCTACCGATGCCGACTTCCATTCCAGGGCTTTTCAGTCCTAAAGATGAGGGGCCATGTAATAATCGGGTGAGCACTGGGCCGGCGCCAAGGAGTAGCTGGGGATGCCTGAAGGTTTGCTGTAGTCTCTCGGTCACAAGGATTGGTGATCGGCCTCGGAATCAGGACATTCCTTCCTAATGAGCAAAGCAACTTTCTTGAAGTGGAACTGGGTTGCTCCATACTCAGATAACGGATCTGAATGGCGAGCGATGACAGAATTGAGATGGTCAATGAAAGGCCATAAATTAGTCTGGAAGGTATGGCCCTTCGTGCCTTCTAACGGACTTCACTCCGTTGGTGGTCGGGTGCGGGGTTGGTCAAAAAGTGGGTCGGTCATTTTGGTATCCGAGCACGAGTTGACATAATCACAAATGGTTTGAACGAGTTGACGTCCTGATCCTTGGAAGAACCATGGTACTTGATACATGTCCTATCATGCCTTTGCTTCCTCCTCACCGGCGAACTCCACCAAAGCCGTACCAGCTTTGCACAAATCTCCAGCCTTGTGAACGATTTTCGCAATGATACCGTCGTGCGGTGCCCTGATGACTGTCTCCATCTTCATACTCTCGATCACAACAAGCGCCTGGTTCTTGGTAACCGTCGCACCCTCTTCTACTTCAACACGAAGGACTTTGCAAGGCATGGGTGCCAGCACACTATTTGCTACATCTTTCATGCCCAAAGCTTTCTCGGCCCATCTAGGCACTGCGAGTTGTAGTCGGTATTGCCGTCCTTGTTGGAAGAGGATAAGGTTGTTGGTTTCCGGGTCTCGAATGACTCTTGTCTCGAGCCTGGTGTGAGGATAGAACGATTGGAGGATGTTGCTGGTGGAATCGAGCTTGCTGGTGACTTGTAAAGCTTGTTTACCTCCGATTGAGACAGAGAAAGTGTGCGGACCGACATGCTGGACACGTGCAGTGACAGATGAAGCACTACTGGTGTTGCCATCTGCTGGAATCTCTACAAGGTCGAAAGTTCTTGGGCCAGATAGTCCAGTATTGAAACCGATGGTCTGAGAAGACAACACGGTTTCATCGCCGCTAGTNCCTTGCTCGGCAATGTACAAGCCTATAGCTGCTTGCGACCAGGCTTCGTCCGGGACTTCGACCCTGCGGAACAACTCTTCCTTGTTCTTCTCGATATAGCCGGTTTCGACCTCGCCAGCGACGAATTTAGGACTGACGCACATACGTTTGACGAATTCGATGTTGGTGATTGGTCCCGCGATTTCGTATTCTTCGAGGGCGGTCTTCATCTTCTGTAACGCTGCGTGTCTATCTGGGCCCTGAATGATGAGTTTGGCAATCATTGGATCATAATGTGATGTGACTTCATCTCCAACAGCAAATCCTGCATCAATTCGTACGGTGTCCGTGATGTCGGGGGTTCGTAGGTGCAGCAGCTTGCCAGAGTCTGGCACGAAGTTNCCTGTTCAAGTCAGATGTATTCGCCCAGTGTAGGCAGTCAAGACTTACATGTCCGGGTTTTCGGCATAGATACGGGCTTCAATTGCGTGACCACGAGCCTTAATTCTCTCGTGCACTTCTTCCTGAGTTAGTGGCAACTTGCCTCCTTCCGCGATAAGGATCTGCCAATGTACCAGATCCTCACCAGTCACCATCTCAGTAACGGGGTGCTCTACTTGTAGACGGGTGTTCATCTCCATGAAGAAAAATTCACCCGAATCATTGTCGAAGATGAATTCGACCGTACCAGCACCTTCATAAGCAACAGCAAGAGCGGCAGATCGAGCCTTGTCCCAAAGGTCTTGTCGTAGGGCTTCATCCAGGTGAGGTGCTGGTGACTCTTCAAGAATCTTTTGATGTCTTCTCTGGATACTGCAATCTCTCTCGCCCAACGCGACACAATTTCCATGTTTGTCTGCAAAGACTTGGACTTCGATATGGCGTGGTGTGGTGATGTACTTCTCGACAAGCATGACGTCGTCACCGAAAGAACTCATGGCTTCAGATTTCGCAGAGGCCAATTGATCCAGGAAGTCGTCAGGAGATCTAGAGATACGCATGCCTTTACCACCTCCACCTTTGACAGCCTTCAGCAAGACAGGGTACCCGATCCGCGCTGCTTGGTGTTTGAGGAAGTCGGGATCCTGATTTGTACCATGATAGCCGGGAATGCAGGGAACGCCAGCCGAAGTCATGATATCCTTGGATCGACTCTTGTCGCCCATAGCTTCGATAGCTTTCCATGGAGGGCCGATAAACTTGAGGCCTGCATCAGTGCACTTTTTGGCGAAATCTGCATTTTCACTGAGGAAGCCGTAACCAGGATGAATGGCTTGACATCCATGATCGCGGGCAGTTTGGATGATTCGATCGCCATTGAGATATTGACTGGGATCGCTGAGATTGATAGCAAAGGGNGAGCTTAATGCGTGTTGACTATGTGCGTCTGGATCTGTGTAAAGAGTTGTAGTCCTGATGCCATACTGAGCAGCTGTTTTGCCAACTCGAAGTGCGATTTCTCCTCTGTTTGCGATCAGGATTGACTGAAGTGGTTGTCTCTCTGGTCCCTGGCTTGTTGTTGTTGTTGTTGTTGTTGTACTCTTGAATCGTTTTGTCACTGCGGGAATGAGGCCCCGATGACCTCTAGTATGACGGAACATGGTGGTTGATTGGTTTAGATCACAGCCTCATAGACTTATCGAAATGGTACTTAGCAGATCAGAAGCAGGAGTTGATGAAGGCGTGCCCGGAGAGCACACCGAGGGTAACTCTCGCAGGGCGCGTCCGAGGGAGTCGTGGGGTCGCTGCGGGGTTATCGTACCTACCTGATGGGGAAATATCGGGATGTCTGTGCATGTGACCATCGCGTCTATATCCATCGAACTCTGCACTCGACGTTCACAACATGCGTTGGAGACTCGCAGACGAATAGTCCTTCGCTCATGTTGAGAGAAAAAGATGTCTTCCGAGTTGTGTAGAGCGAGAAGAGACCAAAGCAGCCGCGCACCAGCCACGTCATCATCCCGCAGTATTCCCGCCCTGTCATCTCCATGAACGCGACGACCATTCTTTCCAACAACCTGGGCTCTTGGATTGCGACAATCGATGTACATCATCGAGCTGTCTAGCATCCAGTGTGATGAACGTCTGGGAGAACGTGTAATGCTCTGGGCCCGCCTATTGGATTACCATTCAGGGCACGTCTTGGTCTCTTCTGAGCGCCTAGGCTTGGTCTCTTGGTTTGGAACATTTTTCGTCTTGGGCGGAACACTCGCCAGACACCGACACGCGACCATCTCATACACGTGTTGATATATTCCAGCAGACCACTCCAATATGTCTCGATATTGGCAGCTTGAAGACAAGACTGCCAATGTACCGATCCACGGCACATGTGAATAGGATGAGGTATTGCTTCTCCGAGCCTGCGTAAAGGATCTCTATCATAGTCTTTGGTAGGTATATATAACAAGTCTGTCAAAAAGCACAAGAGTGGGTTTTTGGCTACTAAACTAACTCTTAGTCGAATCACATACTTGCTCCGTGTACAGTCTACTCCTTATCATGCCGCCTGCAGTAACCGCCAGATACGATTGGATTCTCGCCATTACTACTATCGCCTTTGTCTTCAGCGCATTTGGAAACGGAGCAAACGATGTCGCCAATTCATACGCAACATCAGTGGCCGCCCATACTCTAACGATGCCGCAAGTCGGTGTTCTCGCAACTATCACCGAATTTGTGGGAGCCGTCGGTCTTGGTGCTCGCGTTACCTCAACAATCAAGAATGGCATCATCTCCATCGACCGTTTCGAGGGCAATCCTGGAGCTCTTATGCTTGCCATGGGCTGTGCCGAGGTCGGAAGCGCAACTTGGTTGATGGTCGCTACCGGTCTCGGCATGCCTGTTTCAACCACCCAGACTGTTGTTGGGGCCCTCATCGGTGTTGGCTTTGCTACCAGCAGTCCTGTCAAATGGGCTTGGACATCCGGGAGTGTGTCTCAGGTGGCAGCAAGTTGGGCCATTGCCNCCTTGATTGCTGCCGGTTTCAGTGCTATCATCTTCGCGACAGTCAAATACAGTGTTCTTGAGCGCAGGGAGTCTTTCAAATGGGCGATGCGCTTGATCCCTTACTACTTGGCCTTGACGGCTGCAATCTTGGCACTCTTCATTGTCGTCGAGACCCCTACTGCTCCATCTCTCGAGGAATTCGGTGCTGGCAAAGCCGTGGGGATCATTCTGGGTGTCTTCTTTGGTGTCCTTGCCATTGCCTACGTCTTCTTCATGCCCTACTTCAAGAGGCGATTGGTTATGAAAGATGCTCGGGTCAAGGCATGGCATATCCCGCTCGGTCCACTCCTTCTAAGAGACAATCCTCCTTTGTACTTTCCCGGCAAGGCTGACGGTGATTACATCGGGGAATACCAATCACACGGAAAATCCTTCAACGACACACCTGAAGCTAGTCCGGAGATCAAAGGAAACAGCCCTCTGTCCCTACAAGACCAAAGTCCAGAAAGGGTCGCACCAATACTCGGAGACTCTTCCTCGGTCGAGAAAGGTCCACAGCAGAGTCACACTGGCATGCGCAAACGACACATTGGTCCCCACGAACGTTTCTTGGAGCCAAACAAACATCTCTCCATGGCAAATCCGCAACGCCTGTGGGGCTATGTCAAATTCAGTCTTCTTCAAGGTGTTACTCGCGATGTCACTACCCATGACAGTGTGGCTATGCGTGCCATCCATGCAAGAGCCAACAAGTACGACCCTAGAGTTGAACATCTTTGGACCTATTGCCAGGTGGCTTCTGCCATGATGATGAGCATTGCACACGGCTCCAACGATGTAGCCAATGCCGTGGGTCCCTGGGCTGCCGTATACCAAACCTATCAGGCAGGAGAAGTGGCAACCCGATCTCCCACGCCTGTGTGGTTCCTCGTCGTTGCTGGGTTTCTTCTGGGCGCAGGATTCTGGTTCTATGGTAAATCCACCCACTCTTCTCCGTTAAACCGACTCTCCATTAACTCCCTTCTTTCTCACANNGGCTTCAAAATCATACGCGCCATGGGCAACAAGATCACTCAGATGTCCCCGAGCCGCGGCTTTGCTGTTGAACTGGGTGCAGCAGTCACTGTGTTGCTTGCCTCAAGATTGGGGTTACCGGTATCCACTACTCAGTGTCTGACTGGCGCGGTCATGGGGGTTGCATTGATGAACTATGATTTGAAAGCAGTCAATTGGAAACAGTTGTGCTTTATCTTTATGGGGTGGGTGTTGACGTTGCCGTGTGCTGGGCTTATTGCCGGGTTGTTGTGTTTGATGGCGCTAAACACACCGCGTTTCTGAGAGTGCGTAGTGGAGGCAAGGATGAGATTGATCAGTCATCTGTCTGGTTCGTTTTCTGAGTTGCAACTATAGAAGGTTTTTGTGTTTTTCTGTTCGTCTTGTATGAAGTTGTGCTTCTCGCTCTCTACTCTTCTCGTTTGATGGAAGGATAAAATCTTCTGAATCCTGGATTCGCTTGCTCTTGCTTGTTCTACGCTTAGTTGTGTGACTCCCATCAGGAACGTTCGATATGTCGTGGTGATCGCTCACATTTGAAACGAGTGGTAACCAAGAAAAGAAATCGTCATTAATTAAGAAAAAGAATCCTCGGGTTTCCACAACCCCAAAACGCCGTCATCTCATCATCAATCAACATGAATGGAACCCGGCAGCTGATACGAAGCCTCCGTTTGCTCCAGCGTCTTTTCCTGTGCCACAAGCTCTTCAACCAATAGAGCTTCCGGCAACAACTCATCAGGCAATATCCAACCCTCATCTCCAAGCTCTGGCTCTTGCTCCCTCTGCTGCTCTGCATCATCCTCCCTAGCATACTTTCTCTCCTTGATCAACCTACACTCCGCAAACACTTGCTCTGTATAATCCCTCCACTCGCCCTTGGACCTCAAATGCCAAGCATCAGAAGTGAGCAATACCGGATACTTGACAAACAAATCCACAGGCGCATACCTGCCCAACTTTTCGCCAGTGCCCTACACGTGAGCGCGACCAGTGTGTAGTGTCATTTTATCCATGCGTGTGAAATGTAAACACAGATCCCAGATGAAAGTGATAAACCATAGAATCATGTTTGCGAGGTCGATCCAGACTGCATTTTTCATGCGTATCTGGCCTTGTTGGTGAGGTGTTGGGTGTGCGTTGATGTACATTTTNCCGAAAATGCCAAAGACGATGGCCCAGAGGATNTCTGTTTTCTTCTCGTCAGCATATTATGTCACTCGACCACACAAAGGAGCAAGAACTTACAGCATAACCGCATCCCAGAAAAACCTCAGGGTATACTTGAAGAGAAAGAAGAATACACTAATGGCAGAGAGAGCGCCGACCACGACCGCATAAGTCCATTTCGGGTCCGCGCCTACGTGCGCTCTTCTCGCATTGTCGAGATCGTAGCCGTAAAGTCCGATGACGGTGATTGCGAGTACGAATTGGAAGATGCGGATCACAAAGCGTATGTATCCTCCAAAGCTCGAGCGGTCTTTGAGTGATTGAAGCATGTTTTGGTACGCCAGTTACCAGAGGTAGTGATGCTTTGGTGTCGACAAGAAGAATAACTATTCCTGGTGTATTGATAGATGGTCGCTGGGATCTGCTCAGTCGATGAATCCTCCTAGAGTCGCAGTGGAAAGAAAAAAGTCCGATGGAAAAGGAAAGAGCAAGGCAAGGAGTCAGAGCAGAGAGAAAAATGGCAGTAACCACTCTGGTACGTGTGACAAAGGAATGCCAGCACAGTACAACACAAAACCGTCGTATCACAACTTGCTCAAATCCTCGTGTTCCCAGAAAATAATTGACGGACGTTCAAAAGTGTTGAACGACAGCAGGAGTGATGTTTTTTCTGTTGATAAAAGACTTGGTCCTGAGAATGCTCTCAGCTGAAATGTGGAAATAAATCCACACCGTCGACAAGGCATTTATCTATCGGTCCCGCAAGCATGCATGTGCCTTGCAAAAAGTCATGTTTAGGCGAGACCGTTGTTCGTCAGAGGCTTGAACACCAAGACCCTGATTTTGTTCTTTGTTTACCGACAAAACTTGGCACGGCGACCGCTGATTGGCTATTCGTCACACACCATGATGGTTTGTTGTGAGGGAGAATGAGAGGTCATCTTTTGACAGCATACAAGAAACAAGAACCGAACCAATGCTTGACCCAGACCCCGAAATAAGACCTTCTGTGCTGAAACCCGGTGACGAATGGCATGGACTGCCTGAAACTCCATGCAATGCCCAGCCCAAACAATGAATTCACTGAATACTCCCAAAACAACCACCCGGTCTACTTTCTGGCCTTGCCGCTTCTTGTAGTCTTTGATTCGGACGCCTTGGCCTCGGCACTTTTGCTCTGACTGCTTGCAGTAGGTGCAGCAAAGTTGCGCAACTGTCGCTTAGGCTTCTCCTCCGATATCTCCTCGTCTGCAGCTTTACGTTTCCTTGTGGTTGGCTTTGTGGTCGAGTCGGTGGCAGGAACATTTTCCTTTGCTTGAATAGTCGAGGACTTGGGTTTGGTGGCTTTTGTCGTCTCGGGCTTGGACTTGGCTGGCGCAGCAGTCTTTGGCTTCGTAGTGGACTTATCGGTCGCGATTTGTGTTCTCGATTGTGGCACTATCGGTTTGCGTGTTGAGGCCTTGAGCTTAGTAGAGGTGTTCGAAGGTTTGGGTATGTCTTGCTTGGTTCGTTTGTGAATCGGACCCTCGTCCGATGGAGGCTCATCTGTCGCCTCATCTTGTTTGACCTCCTTAGATAGAGGATGTTTCCGCTTCTTGCCAGTTGACTGAGGCTCGAGGAGTGCTTCGATGGACGATTCAGAAGATTTGGGAGCAGCGGGTGGCTGTTCGGCCGCTACACTGTCCTTTGGCGAGGAGTCGTCAGACGCGCCAGTCGTAGCGTGTATGTCTTGTTCATCGTCGTCGTTATCGTCCTCCAAAGAGACACCCTGACCAGACAGCCACTGTCCCATCGACGAATCACCGCCTTCCTCAGTCACTTGATTCAGCATGTTTGATGTCAGACTCTCAAGGAGATCATCAGTGCCTGCACCTCCGCCGCCTGCCAACATCTGCATCATTGCCTCCATCATGGCAGTTTGGTCTTTGCCAGTCATGCCTGAGGCGGATAGTCTCGCGGCGAGGGCCGACTTGAGCATTTCGGGATCAATGTCCTGCAAGTCCATGCCGTCTTCACCTTCTTCGTCTTCATCCTCCTCTTCCTCTTCGTCCTCCTCATCATCCTGACCTGACTCGTCGTTGTCTTCCTCCATATCCTCCCAGTCGTCGTCTTGTTTGTCGTCTTTAGCGGAGTGTATGGCCATGTAGGATGTAGTGAAAACGGCGGGTCGGTCTTTTAAGAGTTGCCGCCAATTGGGCAGAAGCGCAGTCGGTTGTTGTGGTTTATCGTAGACAGGGCATTGTTGACGCAGGCTGAAAGCTTCCTGTGAGGACTTCCACAAGACGGTCGGGTAGTCTTGAATGCCGCGCAAGCGAATCTTCTTAATGGTGTCTCTGATGTCTGAAGCCTTGGACTTCTTTTTCTGGTCGTCTTTGTCGGGNGAGATGTCTTGGTCGAAGATTTCGCCGTTGCCGTATTCAATCTCGGACCAAAAGTTGTAGTTGTCGTATTCTTCGAGCTCGTCATCGCGGTAGTACAGAGCGGGTGCTTCGGCTATGGCGCCGGAAGCAAGTTCGTCCTGAGAAGAGTGTGAGCACTGTTCTGTTATTGGTTTTCGAATGCGACATACAGCCAGGTCGTAGGCTCCTGCATCAGCGTAGATGTAGTCATCGTCGTAGTCGTAGACGTCGCAATCGGAATCGTAGTCGACATCGTAGCCGCCGGACATGGCTGAGATTGCGCAGTGCTAACTAGCAGATGACCGAGGCTGGCCGATGGCGATGCTTGTCGGAGCGGAGAAAGCAAAGGCGGGATGGAGTATGATGGAAAGCTTTGAGACAGCAGAAACAAAGGAGCGTCAGGTCTGCGTATGGGCGGCTTGGGAGAGGGATGGTCAGCTACAGCTTAGCTGATGCGCGACCTGATGAATCGAACGTCTGGTACCGGCGCTCTCCCTTGGACAAGTAGACTGCATTCGTCTGCAATAGGCAAGTCGCAATGCAGTATGCGTACGAGTACGAGTATCATAGCGACTTGTAAACACTCCCCACATTTTTCAACCATTTCCGTTTAGCCGAGCTTGAACCCTGACTGTCTCTTCCTTTTCTTTTGAATCACAACATTCTACATACGCACGTCTTTGTTCTAGGTAGTCGCCGGAGAGAAGCACGAGGCTGTTTTGAGCATCTCAAGATGTGATGGCCTCGACGTCTTCGCTCAGAGACCTGTTCAATCTTGTCATCGACGAACCGCTGCACGTAGCCGCCCCATCCAATGTGACATGTGATGAGCTGACAGCCGCCGCTCACTCTACATACGACTCGACTCCACACGTCTTCTCACAGTTACCTATCAGAAGTTACGGAGACGTGAATTGAAGTGAAGTCATGTTGTATTCGTGTCTCGTAAGACTGATCGGTAATGTTTGTATATGCAAATGCTATGCCCCTTTCCCTTAAACCAGATATCTGAATCCTTGTTTCATGCGCAGAGCTTCGTCAGGACTGTCCAAGTACTCTTTTTCAGCAGTGTGCTCAGCGACATCAGGTTTGGTGGCCCAAGCAGCAGCTTCTCCGGCTTCGAGCTGCTTGTTCAGCTTGACCAGAATCATCTTCATGACGACGCAGCCGGCAATCGTTACACCAAACATTGCTGTCACAATACCATACGATTTACGGTATCCGTTTGCCTTGAGGTCCCACACGTATGAGCCGGCGATGTTTCCAAGCTGACTGAATGCATTGACCAGAGCGATTGCGACGGCTCGCTTGGCAGGTGGGCGTGGGAAACTCGACGAGATCCACGAGTAGAAGACGATGAAACCTGCATAGGAACTTGCCTGCAGGAACAGAGCGACATAACGGCCTGCGGTATTCAACGTAGACATGTTGATGATGAAGCCGATGAGTCCAAGACAGATGGGTCCAACAATGTGCCAGAACTTCTCTTGAGTTCGATCGGCATGCCAGGCGTTGATCAGAGAAACAATACAGGCAAATGCCCATGGGGGAGCACTCATGAGCAGAGTAGGAACGTAGCCGAATCCAAGAGTCTTTGTGAGCGAGGGGAAGAAGGCGTTGAAACTGAGACCAACGACGTAGGCGGTAAGAGTGAACATGAGGACGTAGATCTTGGGGTCCTTGAGGGCCATGAAGAGACCATCGAACACACCATCTTCGGAGCTGTCCTCGTCGACTTCACCAACATCCTCGATCATGCGAAGCTGGGCGACCTGCAACTCTTCCTCGGTGAAGCCTTTCGAGTTGTGGGGCAGATCCGGCAATACAAGAGCAGCGGCGATGGCAACACCCATGGTGACTCCTCCTTCAATCCAGAACAGCCAGCGCCATGCTGCATGACCTAGAACGCCTTGCATGTTCGACAAGACACCGGCACCGACGAGTGCGGAGAAAGCGTTCGAAATGAGGTTTCCGCAGAAAAGAAGGGCGTTTCGCTTGGTCAACTCGCTGCGAGTGTACCATTTCGAGAGGATGAGGAGGGCACCGGGCAGGAAAGCCGCCTCAACGAATCCTAGGCAGAATCGAATGGCAACCATGCCACCGAAGCTTTGAGCGACTCCGGATAGTGTTGAGATCAACCCCCAAAGAAGCATGGCTGCGCCAATATACCAACTCGGCTTGGTGATACGGTTGATGATGATGTTCGAAGGAACCNNTAGTAACAAGTTAGATCGCTGTAAAACGTTCGAACAGTTCAAAAATCGTACCTGCATCAGAATGTATCCCACATAGAGAATACTCAAGCATGTGGCGTATTGTGTATCGCTAAGCTTCAGATCCTCTTGCAGTCCCTTCAGCCTGGCGGCTGCCATGTTGTTGCGATCGAGGTAATTCATGATATAGATCAAGATGAACAGCGAACATCTTGCGTCGAGTTTCCGCTTCATCGACTTCTCGACAACCTTGCGACGCTCCGGGTCCATAGGAGGATGTTGACTCTGGAAAGTCTCAATCGGCGACTTCTCGGCGTCATAGTGGTCGCCGCCACCCTTCTTGATGTCGTCGTTCATGGCTGGCGCAAAAGGGTCCAAGGTAGAGTGAATGAGAGATCAGCCCATGCCTGGAGGGACTCTCTTATTTATGGCTCCCATGGGGCCCCACGCACTCATCAACCCCGGTACCCCAATCTGGTCATCCCCGGTACAATGCCCCGTATATCGATCCACCTTTCCGGTCTTGGCCTGAAGAAAAGATGGAGGAAAACACGGCATGTCGTGGTCGACGTTCGGGTAGTGCAGGATTAGTCCTGACGCTGTGACCACGCCATAGGGTCACTGTGGCCCTGTCGCCCTTGAAGACGCAGGCATGACCAGAGATGTCATGCTTTCAGAAGGAGTTTGGAGTCTGAACTGAGCCCTAAAGATCCGTGATTATCCGCTTGTAGCAATGTCACTTGGGTCGAACTCGTGGTTTTCTTGATGCCGAAGCCGCAGAGAAGACAAAATTTTGGCGGAGATTCGGGCCGTGCGCCTGCTCTATGCCGATCTCTCAAAGATTAATGCAACCTCGCTAGAGACAAGCATCCAGCTGGATCACCTCAGTGAAGGATTTAATACATGTACAGAGTTTCTGCCGACTTGATTGTCTAACAGATGTTCATTCTCCTATAACTAAGCAGCCAATGCATGTATGTCGTTTCCTCCAAGCATGCTGAGCTTTTGGCCATCGGGCTTGAACGCGCCTTCCGGCGCTGACCGAAAAGCTTGGCTACACTCACCCTTCCGATTCTGCTGGCCGTGTGTTCCTTAGCCGTCCTTGAATGCACAACTGGCTATGCAGAACTATGAAAGGCTCCGACCGTTGGACAACGCGTCTCAATACCAACGGAACTTCTCGGCTTCGCGTCTTGATCCATGACATCTTCAATCGTTCCTCTGTTCATTTTGGCCAATCTCGGGACTCCTTCACCATGTCTCCACAACCTCTCAGCATAATCGGCGCAGGCCTAGGCGGTATTACGCTTGGAAGAGCACTTCTGGAACGAGGTATCCCAGTCGTGCTGTACGAACGCGCGACCTCAGCGCCTAGACATGGCTATGGAATCAGTCTGCACGCGTCCACTTACAAGCCCTTACTCAAGATGCTGAAGATGGACGAACAAACATTTAGACAAAATGTCGCCGTCGATGCTGCAGTAGGCGGGAACGGTGCTATCGACCCCAAANAGTTGATCTGTCCACGCGACGTGACTGCCACCTCATTTCGTGCCCATCGCGAGAGGCTTGAGAAACTGATTCGCCAAGGCCTGGACATCAAATGGGATCACAGCATGGAAAAGTTGGAGCAGACGCCGAGTGGCACATCTCTATACTTGCAGAACGATACTAGCATAGAAGGACAAACATGCATCGTTGGCTCTGACGGTGTTCACTCCACCACAAGGAAGTCGATCCTGAGAGAAGCCGGCCTTGAAGTCTTACCTNTTGTCACCTTCAATGGAAAGAGAAAAGTAAGCAGAAGCACTTTTGACGACATCTACGCTCCAGCTCTCAGAGCATCCAATGTCATCGAAACCCATAGTAATGGCGTCTTCCTCCAAATCTCTGTCAACGATATCACAGCCGAACAAGCCAGTGTGAGCTGGGTGTATTCACGTCCGGCCAAAGGCTCAAGCGATCGTTGCTTCAAACCAAATCGACTCTTGTCTGGCGCCTCTGAGATTCCCAGGGAGTTCTATCAGGAAATCAATGTTTTGAAAGACCTTCCTCAGCCATTCTCGGAGATCTTCGATGAGCAAAAAATGAAGCAGGATCGGATCTTGACTTGGTTGATGCGTACCTCGCAGGTCGATCTTCCCCAGCTCTACCAACTTGCTTCTAACGGTATCTTCTTGATAGGAGACTCTGCACATTCTCAAGCGATTCTTGGTGGTGAGGGCGCGAACATCGCGATATCCGATGGATTGACGCTCGCAGAAGCAATCGCGGCGCAGAACGGAGAGACTATCACATCCTGGTACAGCAAGCGCTTCCCGGACTGGCAGCAGAGTCTGGAAACAAGTAAGACGACAATCGAAGACATGCACAAAGACCAGGCACCTGAGTCGAAAATCTAAGAACCATTTGGCTTCGAAAGGGCTACGGTTACGATATATCTGGACGACTGAGGATGGCAATCGGCAAGACAATTTCGCCTCTGCGAATAGCAACACAGCGACTGAATAAAAATCTTGCTCACAGTCACCAAATTGTCGGGTCGCAGAATCTCGAATCCTCACCACTCTTGAGTAGCATCCGACGTGTCATTGGTGCATCCTGTCTCTCCTGAACAAACATGTCAGTCTACATTCATAGCGGAATGAGTAATAGAATCTTACAGCCCGAACACCAGAAAGAATAGATTGGAGCCATTCCAGGGCCGGTCTTGAGATCAGCACATCTGTTGACAGGGCCGCCACTATCCCAGCTCCTGCCCTTACAATCCTTCTGGTCGTGGATGACACATCTTCCACCACGTAGTACAATGGACAAGGGGACGAAGACTCCGGTAGTACAACCGCTGTGACTGGTTCCGCCGTGCTGAAACTCTTCGCAGCCGGTACCAGGCATATCGTAGTTAAAGCTCATGCACCTGTTGAGGTCGCCGGCCCCGGTGATGAAACGGTACCTGGTGTTGTCGTAGGCATCACAGCTATAGCTGTTGCTGTAGGCAACGACTGTTTACCGGTTAATCAAAGAGTTAGACCTATTACACATAACGTAGATTGAACATTGCTTACCTTCCCATGCCTGGGCACTAATGCACAGGGTCGCAAGAATGACAGAGCTGACCGTTGAGAAATGCATTCTGAAGGCTGAAAGACAAAGTAAGAATCAAAAGAAAGATCGTGAATGCCAGGAGCAGAAAGCATTTACTACGAGCATGGCGTCCATTTATAGTCTGTAGCGCTGAGTGCCAATACTCATCTCGCGTCGTCGCCCACATACAGGCCGAGCCAAGTAGTAACATAACCAGACCGTCTTGGGTCTGCAGCTGTATAGCTCCACCGCTGTGTGAGAGCGAGCGGACCAATCACTAGAGAATGCGAAACGAGAAGGAATTGGAGGAAGCTGGATGCCCTACAGATCCACCTCCATGAAGATTTGCCCAGCTTTCTGTTAGTCGCTAACGACGTCTGTTCATGCACGTCATATAAACTATGTCCACCAGACACGAAACCCCATACCCTTTGTGGATGTAGATGTCACGAGTACGAGCTTTGAAGGAGCCTTGCTATGCCTCTTCTGCATGCTCTAGTCTGGCAAACAGATTGACAAGAGAAATCGGTGCGTTTCGCTTAGGATAAAAGCATAGACACTTGCATCAGCTTGGTCTTTACAGGTGTCTTTTCACTGCAACTTCATTGCACGTATAGGCTTTGAGGCGTGTACAACCCGCAGCAAACTGATAGCCTCTGCTATTGGCAAAAAGAAAAGATAGCTAAGCTTGGTTTCGATCCAAGGTTCTCCGGGTTATGAGCCCGGCGCGCTGCAATTTGTTAGTCTTGGGTAACAGGGTGGGAGAAGTGATATATTACGAACCTTCCGCTGCGCCACTCAGCTTGACGATTTGTTTGATCAGCTGCGTGATTTGCTTGATCAGCTTGAGGGTGGTGGCAGCATGATATGGCTTATATATAGTATCATGTTGTGGCAGCAAAAAAGCGACTGCTTGAAAGACAGAAATGCTCACTTGGCTATACTGCAGGATGCTCATAATCCTATAGGCTGTAGGTTGTGGCCTTACTTTACTCTTACATGTCCAGTTGCTATAATATCGACCGGTTGGAGGATCGTGGGCCCATTAGACCTAACCCGAAATAATGAGTAATAGGTTCGGCTCCATTGCGGGTTGACTTATGGTATAGAAATACAAGTTAGAGGCTGATGTATCGTAAACAACGCGGTGCCTCAGCCCTTGTCGAACATTTCTAGAGTATTTAATGACCTTGTAGAATCCAGAATGGAAGCTTTAAACTTCTTGTAAGAGGCCTTGATACCAACTGTTACAACAGGACGAGAGTGGTACGATGTTCCTTGAGCGTCAGGGTCGCTACTGAATCAATGAAGTGTTGGTCAATATTCGAGCTTCAGGCGCTTGGACTTCTTCTTTACCAACCACCTCGCTCAGGTGATATCATCATATTCTTTGACCAGCCTCTTTGGAGCCCATCGCACCTCTCCGAAATCTCTCGTAATCGTTTTCTGATGTTCCAAAACTTCTGCGTTGGCCTTCAAAGCCGCATGGCAAGTCGCGGACCGGTATGCTTTTAACCATACAACCGCCGCCTCTTTTTGTCACAGATTTGACCCGACTAGGTCAACGGTATCCTTTTCTAGGACACCAAAGACGCACACTCGTCTTGTACAAAAGTCGCTATACACGAATGTCGAGACCGGTTGCGCCGCGTGGGATTTGACGGAGGTCATAAAACCGTTGGCGATCGTCCTTCTTTCCGGCTTTACACTTCTTGATGTCCTCGTAACTTCTTCTATATCGAAACGTCGATGTCGACTTCTAGTCCTGACTTGAACTGGCGGCTATTTGTGTGCCCTCTGCTCGGTGGTATACATGTATTCATGTACGAGATCCACAGCGTTGCACCGTCGCATCAAACGACCCGAGGAGGGCAGAACTATGGAGATGCTTACTCGATCCTCAGGCACCAAATTGGGAGGAACCTTTGCCCTACTCGTTTGATGGTGTTACAAGATGAAAACAGTGTCTCATCAGCACATTGCCGGCCTCGGCTATCCTTACACATACTTTCGCAGGCGCGACCTGCCGTTGAGGCTACACCGTAGTGATGCCTGGTGGCTAAGAACAGGCAACTTATCACTCTGGTCATACAACAATAAGGTCTCGAGATACCAAACCTGAGAGCTCCTGTCGGACCGTGACCTGAATCTTGGACGATCAAACCAGATAACTATACGATCAACCCAGATGACTCTACAGAAGTCCGCCGTCTCGAGACAGATGCTGCAGTCACTTTAAGGACAGTATGGTAGATTCTGTCTCGCTTTATCGCATTCACGACTTTTATAACTATGAAGCCCTCGATTCTACTCAGACATGCGGCTCGCAACACATATACGTGTATACGGCCGATGTTCGAGAAGTCCCGCCGTTGACTTGCAAGCCGTTGGAGCTGACTATCGTCAAACGGTCAACATCTCATGAACTCTTCAGATGGATTGGTCCAGCCGTTTGAACGTCCTGTCATTGCCGAGTCATCCATAAGATTACATGGCAGTCCCGGAGATTGAGCCAGCTGAATCTACTGTTGCTCACCTGTTTGTCCAGGTGTCAGCTTCTCTCATACCAGACAAACTTCTAACCACAGCACTGGCTTAGCACAGATGGCGTCGGCTGCATCGGCAGTGCCTACTCAAACACCCTGCATTGTCTTCGATGCTGGAAAATCCGGGCTGATCAGCATCGTGGAAGAGGAACTACCAACGGATGGCAGATCGCCATTAGCATCGCCTTCACTTCAAGCCCCCACATGGCGGAAAGTCGACTACTTCGGCAATCCAGAGAACAAGAACATTAAGGGTCTTGGTGTAACATCAGCTTCTGGCACCGGATGCCCGTTAATATCAACTATTGGAAGCAGCTCTCCTGAGGCCTCTCCTCGTCTTGCCTCTCCAAGGATTACTATAGCAGGATGGGGCATGGTACCACAACTTCACACCTCACCCCTCGGAACCAATTCACATTACTCGCATGCTGAATTATGGAATCGAGCATCGCCAAAACTACCTCAACTGTCATCTGTGATACCTGACGTGTCCGATGACGAAGCATCACGGCATGGCTCGATTGCCGAGCTTGAAATCTTCTTGCGAAAGGCATCCATTGTCCAGTCTCTGACTGAAAAATGCAACGGACCAAAATCTGATATCGAAATCTTGATCAGCGAGGAGTCGTCAGATGTTCTGGGACCTCTACACTCACCACTGTCTCCTCTGACACCGTCCATTCGCACATCAGCATCTCCTCGAGCATCGTCAGAGTGCCTAGGAAGAACATCTTTCAATGAGGATCAGGGTGTCAGTAACGCAACCACGCCCAAGCGTTCTCATCTGGATCCTTCGAGTGTGTTCAGGCAAATCAACAACTTTGCAGATCTGCATTCATTCTCTTTTGGACAAACTCTCAAAGGACGTAAGCAGAGTGGCGCAACCCCAGATCCTATGAGTATGGATGGTGGCATTCAACGGCCGTCATTCGCGCGAGTGAGCTTTGGGGCCAGCGTTTTTAGTGATGCCACGCAGGACGTGATGCTTGTTAACCCGATTACTGGCGAACGCAGGATGTCTGCTATGAGACCTACTTTAGCAGGAGAGCAACTGGCTCGACCTAGCCTATTACGACGAAGTTCTTCTACGGCCCCAATGTACACACTGGTCAGGAGGGACTCACTGCTAGCAGGCGGACGCCGCACTCCATCAACCGAATCAAGGCCTAGTCTTTCGACAAGAAATTCTTCGGTGCGGTCGTCCAGTGATACTCGATCTGTATCATCCACACAAATTCCTCATCATCAGACTCCTACTTCGGCGGATGGTCAACGCAACCGTAATCCTTCGGCCTCGACTAGACACATGTCTTCTTCTTCGAATACTCGTACCATGTCAACTGCACGGACTATGTCAACTATGTCTCAATCTTCCTACGCCCGCACTATGTCCACATCCGCATGGTCGCGGACGATGTCGACATTCACAAGGGCTTCTTCCGCAAGTTCTATAACGACCTACGACGTGGAGTCGGTGAGAAACGACGGCCAGCAATTCCAGAGTGATTGCATTGATATGCAGACACGACGAAAGTCTTCTTTGTTCGTCCCCTTGTTCGGCCAGTTTCAATGGAACAAGACAGACTGTGCGGTAGCCCTTCCTGTATGGGAGCCCGAGCCTGCATACCATGAAGCGTTGGCAGACGTGGAAGAAGACCCCGACTTTGTAGAAGTTGAGATCGAACCGAAGGCAGGATCTATAGGCAGAAGGGCTTCGCTACTTGCCAACATCTTCACCAATCAGGATGTTGACGTGGACCCTGATCTCAAATTCAAACCCTCTGCAACCGAAGTAGAGATAAAGCAAGGAATTGCACAAGCGCAACATCAAAGAAGCCAGCGGAAGATGATCTACTCTCGCAACGTTGTGATGGCGTCTCTTGCAACCATCAATGCATTTTGTATTGCATTATCATTTGGGCTTTTCAGCGTCTGGTACGCTACTGCTCCGTTGATATTGGCAGCTCCTCTTCTGAGGGCAACCATGATAGTTGATTTGCTCATCAGCCACACATATAAGAAGGCAAGACTGTTGCTAAATCCTCAGAAAGAAGAACTTGATATTCCGGTCATGGATTACGCCACTATCATATCCTTTTCCAACGAGAGTTTCGAGGACATTCAGAGCACCCTCGACTCCTTGGTAGACCAGAAAGACGTCGACATGCACAAGAATCTATTGCTAATTTCATGCAACGACAACGTATGGAACAGCGACTGCGCCAAATCGACCACAAGGATCATACTTGAGAACATTCTCACCAACATCGTCGATGAAGCAAAGTTCCGGATGCCACGCGACGACCCTGAGACTGGACATGATACAATGTGGTGTCGAAGAGGAATCTACAAAGACCTACCGTATGTTTTGATGGTCAAAGACGGCGTGACCAAGAAGACCGAAGTTCTTGACTTGAGCCGAAAACTGCTTCAAGCATACAATCTTCGCAATGAATCGTACTTCAACTCAGTACCCTCTGCTTTCTTCGCTTGGTACAAAGAATGGGCCGAGCTACACGACTTTGCGTCATTCGATTTCCTGGTGAACATCAGCTCCGACTCTCTACTCGATGAGAACTGCATCTCGCAGCTATACCGTCAATCTCTGCAACACCCTACTTCTGTGGGGGTATCAAGTCGCGTGGTAATTGATCCTCGCTCATGCAAATGGAGTCTTGGGAATCTTTTCAGCAATTCGCATCTTGTGTATGATCAAGTCAGAAGTTCTCATCAGACGCAGATCATGCACAAGGCGACTGTAAGCCCCAGTGCTTGCCAGATGCTCAAGATCTGTGAAGAGACCTGTGGCCCGCAAGTCCTGGAAGAGATANAAAAGCGTCAACCCTCTTTCATGAGTAACATGGTGAAGCAGATCTGCTCATCTCTCGAAGAGGACGACATGATGTACGGGGTCCCAGAGGCAACCACTCTACAAGCCGTTCATGCCGTCACATACGCCCGTTCATCTACCACCCTTTCCGAATTCCTAGCGCAACATCAAAAGATTGCGTTCTCAACTTGCGCTACAAACCTCGCTGTTCTTTGCGACAACCGCATGCATTGGTTTGAGAGACTGTCATCTGCCGCCGAATTGCTGTCTTGGTGTCTTCCTCTCTTGTCTCTGGCTGTCATTGTCAACTTCCTCAGATCAGCTGCATTGCAGCAGAATATACCGGTCTTGATTGTGCTCAGCGCTATTCTTACATTGCCCTGGATCTACGCATTCGCTTCTGCAATGTGGTTGGCTCGCTCATGGGATGCACGTTTGCGCTATCTGCTCGGCTTCACGATTCTGATAGTCACAGGACCTTTCATTGCCATCCATGTTGCTGTCTCCACGCTCTTCAACTCACATCGTCTTCGTCCTGAACAGCCTAAGCGTAGACGTTCTTCTGCTATTACCGCACGAATCCAACGTTCTAATGTTTGAGGGCCGTTACAAAAAAAATTGTCTTTGTTGTACACTTCTCTTCTTCCTAGATACCCCATTTCATAACATGTATATATCATAGAACACTTTGGCTTTGTTTGCTATCTTTACCGCAATCAGCTCTTCTGTAATCGTGCATGTTTCGAAAAGCCAAGTAGAGCCAACAGGCAGATCCCCCCGATATTGAGGTTGTCTCTTGTCCATCAGCCTGCATCCAAGATTATGCTATCTGGGCGCTCTGTTATACAAAAGATTATAGAATCGTACAACTATACCTTGATTTGTCTGTCGCACACGGAGAGGACTCGGACCATGAACTGACCTACGAAATGCACAAACACAAATGCCAAGCTGCGGTCCAACTGCCGCAACGCCCGCCAATTTGGAAGCCTGAAATTTTTTCTCAGCCACCACAACCCAAAACAACGACCATGATACCAAGAGTAACTGTCCCTAGAGGCAAAAAGAAGATCATGGTCAGTACGGGGGTCGAACCCGCGACCTTGGCGTACCTGGATAGAACCCCGTGCTGACCGAAGTCATTCCGAAAGGGTAATATTAGCACCACGCTCTAACCAACTGAGCTAACCGACCTGTTTGATAAATTATGCTTGAGCAAGAAAATATATAACCCTTGTTCGTGATAAACCGTTAAGCTAGAGTCATGAAGTAAGTGGTGAACCTGGTCTTATCAGGCTTCAACAATCTGAGGCGACCTTTCCTCGAACAAATATTGGTTGTTGTTCTAGTTCGGATCCTTTGTTGTTCGAGAAGTGTCGTTGTACGATCCTAAGCTCCCAGATTGTCTGTCTTCTTGTAGGTTTCTTGTGGTAGCAACGTCAATCAGTATGAGCCATGCTAGACGCTTCAGCTTGTTCCACAAACGTCAATTCAGGTACGACCAGTGGATGTTGAGCTATGTCCAGACCTCTTCTGTGGACAAATTCATTGCTGCCGGTACAGTTTTCTTGGACGGACCAAGATCTCTGTATACAAAGGCCGGAAAATCAACCAGATCTTACAGAACATGCCGAGCGCTGCCACCGAGCTCGATACACTGTGCAATGGCAAGGGTCCATGCGATGAGCAAGGACTCCAATGGGCCAGTGCCGGATCGCAATCGATCGGACAAGTATGCCAGCAAGTGGGGTCATTTCGCACACATGCCGATGAGGCACAACATTGGTTGGTGGAAAAGGCCCGGCTGGAGGAGATGAGGAAGGCCTTCAACACGACGTCAGGGTCGGCACGCGAGGCCAAGGGAAAAGGTATGGATACGCCTGAACTTGTGGGAAATGTGGTCGAGCATTGGATCGTGATGCTGAAGGAGCTAAAGGAGATGTGGGAACATGGTCACAATCAGACTTGGTTGACAGAATCGACGTGGACTGCGCTTGCCCGTAAGACTGGAGATCTGACTTTGAGGGACATAGTGGCTGGTGTAATGGTAGTATGGGTTGATGATCTATCTTGGTCAAGATACATCTGTTCTATTATAGGTCAAGAGATGATGGAGCTGAAGAATCCATAGTTCTATCTAGGCTTTTCGAGAAACCAGTGGGTAAGAGATTATCCTGAGACAAAATTTCTTCCGGGAGATGATTACCAACGACAAGAAAAACTAGCAAGTACGTTCCCGAGTAGATAAAAGTCACAAGTAAGGGAGTTGCATCGTTTGCCTAGGCAACATCTTCCATCGCACTTTCTTCTCTTGGTTGTTTAAGACTCCGGATATAAAAATGAACCTCAACAAGTGTCCAACGATTGCAAGTAGTTCATGGTCATGAAGACATGAAACAATATCAACAAATTATAACATGTCCCCTCTCTAGTTCTTCTCATCGAAGCGGATACCCAGCCCCTCCGCCGATACCTGTGTGGAGATCACAGGTGTGATTGCATCAGCAATAGATTGCCTGCTCCGCACAAACTCAGAAACAGGCCTAGAACCAGATGACTCAGACGCAACCTCATTCACATCATCGAAAGGGCTCTCTCCAACATCCTTTCCTCGTTGCTCATCCAGCTTGAAATTCTTCTCATCGAGCACTTCCACAAACCCATGCACAGATGCCTCTTCATCCTTCTCTACCCCACCATTTCTGTTCAAAAACAGATCTTTACGGAAAGGTTCCAGAGTCTTGCGATGAGGTACCGGCTCCTCACTGGCCCACCTCCAACAGTTCCTACACAATGCCATCGCCGCACCTTCTGAGAAGGGCGTGATGCAAACAGCAGCAAGTCCAATAACTGCATAGCAACACACAAACAAGATCAAACAGATTGCCCAATAAGGCAAGATCTCCATGGAAGCTAGAGTCACACACAACCAAGCTCCAAAGGACCAAAACACAAAGCCATGGATAAGGTAGATGGTAAAAGTGTGTGGGAAAAGAACAATCCAGAGCTTCAGCGATAGGAACCACTGAAAGGAGGTAGACAGCTCAGTCATCATTTGTACGGCGCCGGCGAAGAGGATAGTGTTTAGGCGAGGCTCGAAGTATGCTGGATACATCGATGCTACTTCNCCTTGGGGTGCTCCAGTAGCGAGGTTAGGGTGGATATTGCGTTCACGGGTCATCAAGGTGTAGAAGCCACGGTCTTCGAGGAAAGTCCAGAGGGGTCCTTGAATGACCAATACCCAGAGCAGGACAAACATTGGGTACAGGTACTTAGGTCGTGCTTGTAACCAAGCAACATAGTTGTAAGTGACATTCAAGTCAGCGATGAGCAGACCCACCCAGAAGCAGCTGCCCCAGTTCATGGAGTACCAGTTTACGGCAATGCACCAGAGGTAAAAGGCGAATCGCTTCCAGTGAGATTTGATCTCGCGAACCATGACTGCACCGAGTAGTGTGGTGTAACTGAACTGGAGCTGTACAGGAATTGTCCACAGAACACCTACGCAGTAGTGGTTGACGATGCCGGGAGCTTTGTTCGGAATAAGATACCCGAGCTCCAGAATCTCGTTCATGAACCATCCGAAGTTGGGATAGTTAGAAACCCAAGGCCAAGTTGACCATGTGATGGAAGGCAGCCACTCCAGTTTGGCAGTCATACCAAGCTCAATGAAGAAGTACTCAAGACCTGCTACGACTATGGCGGGTATGACCATACGAGGTGCTCTGAGTAACATCTTCTTGGCCACATCGGCAAGATTTCCAGTACGGAGGAAGTTTTGAGCCAAGAAACGAGTAGATGTAGTGAAGAATGGACCAATCCAGATAGGGTTCAAAAGGATAGGTGTTGCCGACCAACGAGAGTACAACTCTGACTCGTAGTGTCTTCCGTAGCCAAGACCACCAGCATAAGGGATGAATGTAAGCGTGAAGTGGATGAGTGTGACACCTATACATGATATCGCCACGAGTCCGGCAAGATAGTCAATACGCTTAGGAGATGCATTTGTACGAGGTGGCAGAGCAGGGCTTGTGACAAGTGTCGACTGAATGGGCACCTCATATGCAGTAACGATAGCTTCCTTCAGCTTCTCGTTGGACTCGAACGACTTTCTTTCCAGTACGCAGATCTCGACAGACTCTCGGATCGTCTCAGGGCTTTTGATGGGCTTGCTAAAATTGACTTCCGGGGTCGGGCAGACGAGCGTGTGGCCGATGCTGGACCAGCCATCGCTACCAGTAGAAGGACTTTGCCGTAAGCTATTTTGATTGAGCGGAACACCGAATGGTGTAGGACAATCTTCGGACATCTTCTTACGAAGCAGTGCCATGTCGATGGTTTTGGCCGAACCTGTTGGTCCAGATGCAGGCGTCATTGCTCCCCAAGGTGTGGTCATGTTCGACGACGACGCCTCAGTGGTCGTGCATTTGTAGTCCCACTTCGGCTTCGAAGCATCCACGCTACCGAGAGTTGAGCTGGAGATTGATCGGGGCGTGTGCAGTTTACTATCACTATCGGTCGACGAATCTGGCTTTTGCATAGCCTCCATAGGTTCATGGTCCTTGGCGACAAGCTTTTCCCATGGCTTTCTTCGAAAAAGTACGTTGAGAAGAGCAACGAGACCGAAGAAAGAGGAGGAGCCAGCTACGATTCCCGATGGCAGCTTCCATTTTTCGTTTCTCGGAGGCTCCTTCCACGCCTTGAGCGAAGCGGAAGTATAGTCGGTCGATATTCTTAGAGTGTGATCATCGACATCACATGCCAGAGCAAGGTTGCACTGCGTATTAAAGTGCTGTTGTTGTGCAGTAGTAGTGACGGAGGAGTTGAAGAAAGCTCGAACCCAGGCGACGCTGGCGATTGAGCGGTTTTTNGGTGGTCCTTGCATCCACTCAGAATCGCCAGTAGACCAGTGCTTGAAAGTCAACGGCATAGGCTCTGCTGGGAAGTCTTCCTTCTTGTAAGGAATTGACCGAGTGAGATTTTCAGCGAGTGTGAAGTTGATGTGATCTTTGATCCAGTCCATACGAATAGTGATAAACTCCCATGGATTGACAGCGGACAGATCGTCGGAGCCCTTCTCCAAGATTGTATAGTTCAGACCATATTCTTGCGAAGGGTACTCGCCGTTGATAAGAGTGGTGATTCGTGCATTCTCGGGATTGTCGTTGTTCAGCAGATCGATCTCCATCGAGCTTGTCCTGTTGAATTGAAGCATCATCGACAGTGCGGAACCCCCAGTCCAAGGTCCTGACCCTCGAACAGAGGCGCGGAAACTGCCATGGAGGATATCTTGTCGGAGCGATTCAATGGAGCCGCCATTGACGACGTGGCGGTTTGTGCTTGGGTCCACGAAGAGGTCCAAAGATTGCTGTGTTCCCGAAGGAGATATCAGACTGTTACCAGCAACAGCACCTTGACGATATAAACTGTTCCAGCCTTTCTCAGCCTTGTTCGTAAAGGTCTGAACTTGAAATATATTTTCCGGAATCGTTTGTGTCTCGTTAAAATATACGATGATTGAATCAGTGAAGACCTGATCTGTAGAGCGATCGTAAAATCCACAAGCACAGGAATCAGGAGCAACAGCTTCAATCAAACTTCCAGCTCCAGCGAGGAGGTACAGAGATGACCGCATGATGACATGCAAAGAAAGGTTGTCTGAAGAGGAACAAAAGACGCTGCAGAGAAATTGGTGATGAAAGATATCCGCGCCTGGTTCAATCTTATCCTATACCAATCGACTGGCACGGGATATATGGCTGCCCAGCCAAAACGATAATGCCATCAAGCGCCATGCATGTCTATCAATCCGGTTGGGTGAACAAGAAGGCAGTATCCGTTGATAGACAATGTCGTTCTTCTCCGTAGAGCGAAGATCTAGTCTCGCAGCATGCCATAAGCCTAGCGTCTCTAGCGACCTCCAGAGCTTATTTGGTGATGTGAATTTGAACGCCTAATGGTCCGAAAAGCCACTAGGGCTCAATGTGTGGATCCAGCCAGAACCTCAAACCATCCACGGTGCTGCATGGTCGTTGAGAAGAATCATCTCAAGACATGGATTGGTCTGGGACACTTAGAAATGTCCGAACCGTCTGCAGAGTGGTTCCAAGCTGTGCGATTATCCAACTCGGTCTGCATGTTTCAACGCAGGTACGCTTCTGCAAGAAGGTGCGATGACATATGTTTCCTGCAGGCCTACAAGGATACCCTGTCCGCGTTGGCATGTGTATCATGGCCTGTCTCCTGGTTGGAGGATAACGTGCTGTTGATCGACCAAATTTATGAATGGGCTATGAAGCCCAAGGTTTGCTGTCGAAGCATTGCCGCTTCAGGATGATTGATAAGATGAGCCGTCTCGCTAGACGAAGTCGTCAGAGGCGAAGGCTAGAAACGTCCATGATGGAGAGGATAGTTCCCTGACGATCTTTCAGGGACCCACAGTCGAATGCAGGAACAGATGTGTCGGCTCCCCAGACGGCAACCTGCCAAATCTGTTCTTATCTCGTCGTCGGACTTGGGCAGGTTCGACCCTTGAACCCTTCTTATCTAGGTGTCAAGCGAGAAGAGTGACGAGCCATGGCGCGAAGCAGATCTTCGACAAATCGATTATGTCGACGCCATAATCATCTATATGTCGGACATTTGAATCGATCCTCGAGGCCATTGGTGTATGCCGGGTGTTGAGCTCTCGAGGCGCGGACATGGGAAAGATATGGTTGAAAGAGGCTGAAAGCACAGGTCTCAGAGGCTGAGAGAAGCCTCGGCAGTGACGATGGCGTGCCGAAACCTTGTACCTTTTTCTGGATCTTCCGCGCTGACGAACCCTCGCTCGGAAGACAACTCCTTCACTTCTATACTGTTGAAGAGAAGTATTTGCAGATGTATGCATGAAGATCACAGCATTATCAATTTGCCGCTACTCTCAGTGGTCGAAATTGTCCGAGACATGGACGATCAGAGCGTCGTGGACGCGGCTGATGGCCAACACATCAACAGCACGGCAGAATATGACATGAGCTATGTGAGTGCAACAAGCGATTATGCATGGCTGTTTCATCACATTCTCTCAGATCAATAGTATATGGAACCGAGGACTGAGAAGCAGAGAAATTGATTGCATCAAGATGAATTAGGAACTCGAACCATTATTGAGAAGACGGGCTCATCGGCTTTCACAACCTTCGTCCCTGGTAATCTAGATACACATCAAGTTCTGCTCCACTCGAAGAAGTGTCTGGCAAACCAAATTGATGATCTTTCAATAGTCCAGTAAAACGCTTCTGCGAATGCAACCGTCAACCCGAGATAAGAGACGAAAGCCACAGTATTTGCAGAGGCCACAGACATATGCTTGACAACATGGAGAGCAACGAAGACCCGAAGACTAACAACGTAGAGCATCAAAGATTGAGCGACATAGATNACCTGAAACCCGGTCAGGATGGTAGAAATGACGAGAGATCGGTCCTGAGACTTACTGAGTGATCGTTTCCCAATTTGAACTAACAATTTGGACGAGAAGATTGATCTCATCCGGCTCGACATCTCGAAGAGGAACAAAATACCGACCACGATCAGGTAGTCGTCCAATCGAGCATAAGCTTGATCCGTGTTGAAGTTGTGAGTGGTCAAGCCTTGAGTGAGATGAAGGCTAGGATGCAGAACGAGTTCTGCTCGAAGTTGCTGAGGAAGTGCGGCTACCCAAATGTATTTGAGGACGACGCCTACGACGACAGACAAGATGGCAAGTATCCAATAGGGAAAGCTGACGCTCTCATTGATCTTGATACCTCTGCCCAAACGTGTGTCTAGGTCATGGTTCTGGGATACATCGGCGACGAAAAGACCAGCTGCCGAATACCAGCCCCACGAGTTGAACCAAAACGATCCGATGCTAAAGATCGCGATTGCTTGGACGTGCCAGGAAGCCCGTGTGAACGGAAGGATGACCATCGCGATGTATGTTGTATAGCTTTGAGAGTATATCAACGAAGGTGCCCACATCGTTGCACCAGGGAAGACTTGATTCGCCATTTGTTTTCCAAAATCGCGAACAATCCAGAGGACATCCCAGATTGTGTTGAAAGACGCTAGAGCGGTAGATGGCATGGCTGGTGCCGCGAGACTGGGGTTCTTCAGAGCTTGTGCAGCTACATCAATGTAGACTGTGTTGATGGAGGAGAAGATCGAGATCGAAAAGGCCAAAGCAAAAGCGAGAGGAATGCCAATGCGTAGAGGGCGAGTGACCAACGAGCGAGCGAACGCTTTGGCGGTCGGCTCNTGCAGAAAACCAATGCAGATAGAGCGTGCTGAGAGTATGATGAAGAAAGAAGATATCAAGCTCTCATTCCAGAAGAGCACCGAGAATACTTTGCGAACGATGACTTGGTGTGCAGGACCTGACACCTCATTCGTGACCACTGCTGGGACAAAGGTCTTGAGGAACAGCCAGAGGAAGCTCTCAATGGCCAGTACTCCGCGAAGCCCATAAAGATAGTCCTGCTGTTGTGTGATCTTTGAGCCCTTGGAAGAAAACATCTCCTTGAAGGAGACGAGAAATTTGTTTGCCATGGTGGTTTGCAGCAAGACTCAGGCGTGTGGAGAAATTCGTCAAGTCTGAGAGCGGCATAGGATATACATCCCACTATCACCTACCTTCAACTAGTCCGCCTGATCGTATAGACCCTGATATCTCGAACGCGGGTGTCCAGCTCGCCTAGCGATCCACGACCCACCTCTGTGAGTCCGCCGTTGTGGTTGACTCCGGCGTCTATCCACCTAGTCTTCGGACATTGGCAAACATCTGGAATCTGCATGCGGCGGCCAGGGTGGTTCTCTGTGTCCCTGGGATGAGTAACATAGTCTATGCTAGACCTGCAGTAGACGGAAAGTGAAACCAATACCGTGGTGCAAGGATTGGGTTAGATTCGTCGAAAATCACCGAGCCTCACCCTATCTTGGCGCTACCGGAGTCTCCACCGTCCGACTTGCCGACAACAATCATGTCGGAACCTTGCGTCCTTCATCTTCTTCCATCTCCATGCAGGCCCAGGCATGTCGAAACATGGTATGCGTAATCGCTCGTGGCTTCCCAACAAATACTCATGCTTGCATGTGGGGATCTACAATGCACTCCTGATGGTTTCGGGTTTTCACATAGCGGATCGTTGGCGGCGACGATGAGCACTGCAGACAGATGTCCGGCGCTGTTCCCAAATGGTCTTATCTGAAGGGTCGGAAAGAGTAGAAGATGCTGCAGTCGAAGGCAAGTCGTTTGGAGATAGCGATATCTCGCTCTTTGTGTGAAACCTGAAATTCTCTCGCCTTCTTTGGTTATCTGGATCTGCTCGACAACCTCAATTCTTCGGTCATTTCATTCTTCCACTTCTGCAACGAGTCCTTGATCTGTCCATCTTCGTATCATTGCTTGCAGCATGTCCAAACCTATGAATGCCACGTCTTTCGAGGTGCCGAGTCCTCAGCCCACCACTTCATCTTCGTTGCGGCGACTGAGCCTGGGCATTCACGATCTTGTTGCTCGACTATCAGCATGGTTGTTCGACTGGACCCCTTTCGTTTTGGTAACCACCTACTACATTGCTTCAACTGCAATATACACATCGGCCACTGAAGGAACCATCAAGGTGTTCTACTTCATCTACATGGCCGTCAACTTCTACATCGCCATGTGTACGGTCATTGAAGCCTTTCTCGGCATATCCCCTCTTCGCGAGTCCAGAAAGGCTGCCGATGAAGTTGATCAGAATGGGAATCAGTTCCCTACCCCAGATGACAAGCTTCCAATAATCGATATTGTGATTGTGGCATATCTCCCCAATGAGCAGGATATCGTCAAGGACCAAGTGTGTTATGCTTTGGATGAGCTGGTCTATCCTCGAAACAAGCTAAGAATCAATCTCGGTAAGCCCTAACCTCTAGCGTTCAATGACTACTCTAACCGACTACTTCCAGTCTACAACACACCAAAGCCCATCGAACCTCTGCAATCAGAGTTGACCGAGATGGAGAAGCAATACCCACAACTTACTGTCATCAACGTCCCGGGCTCCAAATCCAAAGCCGACAACCTCAACTACTTTTTCAAGTTCAATACTGGTGCCGACATCATTGCCATATTCGACTGTGATCACTTCCCACACCCTTACAATCCTCGTTGGGCCGCCGAGCGATTCATGAAAGATTCTTCCGTAGACATCGTTCAGGGCCGTTGTGTGGTCTACAACACGAACGAAACGTTCTTTACCAAGATGATTGCGATTGAGTTTGACAAGATCTATGCCGTCTCTCACCCCGGTCGTAGCCGTCTGTTCAACTTTGGTAAGCACGAGGCAAGATTGCAAGTCTGTCAAGGACGTGTTTGTGCTGACCTGTGTCTTTGCCTAGGACTCTTTTGCGGCAGCAATGGATACTGGAAAGCCGATTTACTCAAAGGCCACCAAATGCACGGCCACATGCTCTGCGAAGACATCGACTCGGCCCTACGCGCATACGGCCAAGGCAAANAAGCCGTCCACGACATGAACGTCCTCTCCTACGAAATGGCACCCACCAACTTTGCCGCCTTCTGGAAACAGCGGATGCGGTGGGCTCAAGGCTGGACCCAAGCATCTTTGCGCCACATGCCTTTGATCTGGAACAATCCTCCCGAGAAGAAGAGGACTGTTAGTGAAAGGTTTGGTGTGCTGTCTCTGCTGTTTGTGAGGGAGATTAGTTATTATTTGGTTACGCAGCATACGTGTTTGCTCTTGTCTTTTATAATTACTGGGTGGCCGAAGAACCCGGCGGATCTGGTCAAGTTGATTTTCTTCCGGTATCCGATGGCTGAGTGGTTTCTGTTTGCAACGTAAGTGTACGACAACGCGAACTTGACTACATTGCTGACCACAACGATCAGTGTCATTTGTCTCATCTTCACTCTTGCAATCACTCAAATGGCTCGATCTGAGTTTACAACTTTCTGGATGATGATCTTGTTTTCGGTCGTTTATACGCCTTATCTTATCTTGATGGCGACTATGGGTAGGTTGTTGGATATACCAGATGCCATGATCCTTGCTGACTCTCTTTCCGACANNGGAATCTACGGTCATGCACGCCAGATCATCGGTTACAGCAAGTGGAATGCCACATCTCGTAAATGAGTACTCGTAGTACATGATCTTGATCGTAGCTCTTTTTGCACACGACTAAAACTTCTACTGTTCTTCCAATTGTCCTCTTGCCATTTCCCTCCATGTGTATCAACCTAACCACCCCAAACGTATAGGAACATAGAACAATGGCAACGGAACAGTCGGCGTCCCCATCGCAATCCCGCCAGTTCTTCTCTTCTGCGCACGCACAAGCAAATCCTCCAGCATACTAATCCATTTAGCAACCACAATAGCCACCCACTCTTCCGCCGCTCTATGCTCGTCCTCCTGAGCATCCTTCACCAATCCCCATGTAGAGCTGAAGAGCTTTCTGATCTCGCCAACATCGCGAACGACATTTTTCCATGCTTTTGCTGCTTGTGTGATTTCGTCCAAGGTGTTGATCTTGTTGCAGGCTTTGAGTTCGAGGGGAGACCGTTTGCGGGACGCGAATGCTTTGTCGCCTATACAAGGTTGCAAGGTTCCTTCACAGTAGCCTTTGAGTGTACGCATACAGTCTGACATGTTACGCTGATTCATACTCGCCAACTCTTGCGCTTTATGTTTCAAGGGGTCCAAACCACTCAAGAAGATCTGACCAGCAGATACAAAGCGTTCGATGGGTGAGTTGAACAACAGTGGAGCCGCATCACTCAATTGAGCGCGGTAGCTGCGCAGTTCGGGGTTGGCCATGTCCTTGTATACTTGAGTGCAAGTCTCTAGGGTTTGCTTGTTGAGGAGTTGCAAGTCTTTATCGAATGCGGAGGAGATAAGATGTGCCTGGTCTCGGAGAGTGTCGGATTGTCGATGTTCCTGAGAGATGTTTCGCTGACATTCCAGGTGGTGAATATGGTCCAAATGTTCCGAAGCATTTACGGGCGAGAAAGTCACCTTGGGGCGTGCGATGTCCTCGTACGAAGATGAATCAGTCGCACCGACGATACTGATCACCATCAGCAAGGCCAGAAGAAGTGCAGCAGGATAAGGTCTCATGATGTGATTGAGTTTCGATGCAGATTGTCGAAAAGATAAGTGTGTTTCTCGTTTGGTATGCTTACGGAACTTTCTTCAGTCTTATATATTTCCATCGTGCTTCGACTATCGACGGTACAACCGAGGTGCAAGTCTCCAAAAGGGTTGAAAATGTCTCGCTCTGAATTGAAACATCTGCGTCTTCGAACATATTCCTTGTCTTGATGTCTCGAAACTACGACCCAAGACTTTCCTTCGGTAGATGTTCTGTGCTGCTTTTCTTTTCTTCCGAGACTGGGATTCGGTATCCCGCAACCGAGACCATAGTTGCCGTGTGCGATCGATGTCTCGCAAAACCTGAAGTTGTCCCAGACAGTACTCTAGTGACTCGTGTCTTAGATATGGCGAGCCAGCCTTTGGTGTCTTGTTATTTCTTCTACAGCCAAGACTTCCGGGTACTTGGATGGCGAGTGGACGGTGGACGTACGACTCCTGACCGAGGCTTCGGGGTATCGGCTGAGGTAGATGTCCGTGTTTCGATACAGGTGCTGGTGAATGCGGCATGTAGCTCAAGCCCACGGGGCGGGCACAAAAGGTCTCGCCATAGCAGAGGCCGTAAGTGGTGCAGTACTCCTTTGGCTCAACTCCGTGACAAGGCTCGGCAGCATCTCTTCCAGAATATGAGCACATCTCAAGCCTTCTTTTCCAGTATTTCCCGTNGACAGATGTCCGAAGAACTGATCTTCACCTCTCACACCACCAATATTGACAATTCCAACTGGCATAGCTTGTTCCCTTGCTCTTTTGACCAGTCTCCAAGCCGAGTAGGTGGCCAATGAGGACCCTAGTACCAGCACCCTGGAGGCTTCATCGATGGCTTTCTCAGCAGCAACCTTGGTGGTGTCCGGAATACTCTCTCCAAACATGATGACATTGGGTTTGAGTATGCCGGCCGTGCTGTTCCCAGCTAACCATGCACCATCCACATCAACCTCGACAACGTGTCTCTTGCCATCCTTGTCTGTCGGCGGCTTGGCTAAACAACTCGGGCAAGCAGGGTACCTGAAGGTAGCATAATCGACACCAGGTACGTCGACGTCACCGTCTGGATTTGTCTTGAGGCCTAACCTTCTTCTCTCATCGGGGTTCTCGGTAGTCAGGGCGCCAGAGGCGAGCATTTCGTTGAGAAAGTCGCTCCATGCGGGATTGAGTTGAGCGAGGTCGTTTTGGAAGAGTTGGCGATCGTACTCGGTGCGGCAGGTGGTACAGACTGCGCTACGGAGGTAGCCGTGAAGTTCGAGGGTGCGGAGGGAAGGGTGCGCTTGTGGGTGGAACGAGTCGACGTCNTGTCTCTGTCAGCTGTCTTGTCGTGAGCACTTGAGCATGAAAGTAGATTTACTCTGAGTGATGACGCTGGACAGGTAGCCCAACCGCCCCAGATCTGCCACAGCTCTATGTGCAGGATTCGGCTTCGACTTGTTCAAGTTGGTCCAGCCCAGGAAACTGCGAGCCCAGTAGCGTTTCCGCGCAGCATGGTTGGCGACAAATTCGTGAAAGTAGATTGGACGGTAGGTCTTGTTAAGTGTGTAGGTGCCCTTAGTACCTCTGTAGTCGGCCAGACCTGAAGCGACAGAGATGCCAGCGCCGGTAAGCAACACAGTCTTGTCCTTGGACCTGTGCTGTTGTTGTGGCGTCCATGTGAGGAAGTCGGTCAGGGCGGCGATTGCACCAGACACGGAAGCTGCTGCCGACGGGAGGATGGTTGGTGCTGGCAGCGGCGCCGTGTATGGGATGCGCATCAATTGTCCAACCATCTTGACTCTCTACTCCTATTCTTCACGCGAGCGCTTCTGCTGGATCTATGCTTGACAAGAACTGTTATGCTTTTTGGAATACATCTGGACAAAGGTTCAACTACGTCATGGACTTGCTTCGGCTCCAATTCCGCGTATACGCCAGGGTTACCCTTTCTAGTACAATTGTGTCTCTCGCTACCATGCAGCCGCCCACTCTTCTGAGCACTGCAATAGAGTATCCATAGACAGCCCAGCCACAGCATCACTCACACGCTGCTTCTCGGTGCTCACAACCTGCTGCTCAAGTCGCACCATAGCCTCCAACTCCTCCTTCATGCCTGAAACCAAGTCCTTCAAGCATTTGAGCATGATGGATAACGACGAGTCTACAGCTTCGCCTATCCGTGGAGGTGCCGAGGGCAGCAGCTCGACCTCTCGCTCTACCAGTCGGAGCCGTTGTGTGATAGAAGCATGCGTGTGATGCCAGTCTTGCGGAAGGGGTCCCGAGAAGACATGCGCCCTGTCCTGCTCAGTCGCCTCGTTTGCCCATTCCGAGAAGCCGTGTACGAGCGCGGTATATTTGCTTTCAGGAGATGACAGCACCATGACTTCGTTGAAGCACCCACTCAGACTTTGTATCATCTCTGCCGCTTCCGGGCTCGCATGAGCTCCTTGGACACCCAACCAATCTGCTATAGCAGCCAGATTCCCTTGTTCTTGGAACATCCGCTCTTGCTCTCGTATTTGTTCCACCTCATCTTGAGTTGCTTCGAATTCTGCTTGAAGTGCTTTCCTTGCGCTCTTCTCGTATTTCCGAAAGTTTGGCCCGGCTGACTCGTGCAGTATCGAAAGGTACAGCAGTTCAGATTGCAACTTTGTCGTTTCAAAGGCGGCACCCGACTGAACGGCCTTTTCTTCTGCAGATGGCGCGGCTCGCGATGGCGGTACAGGCGGCTTGGGCAGAGTGGTTTTGGCAGGGCTGTAGTGTTGTTGCAGTGTATTGAATGCCGGCCTCGAGGTAGGGGGCTCAAGATTGGGAACACTCGACGTAATGCCTGGTCGAACCAGACGTCGGATAGGAGGCTTGGCGGGCTCTGCGCTGCTCCTGGTCGAGGTTGGAGTCGATGGGGCGGAGGGAGTAGCGAGTCTAGAACTGAGCCCTGTGGTTGTCGAACTCTGCGACCGAACATGTCTCGAGGATGAAGTAATGGTGCCAGAACGCTTCATGGTCGAGTCACCAGTNGCTCGATGCTGCGAGGGTCGAGGTACTGGCTGTTCGAGAATGCGATACGACGCGCGGTTTCGGAGCAGTGGCTGTTGAAGAGGCGGGTGCTCGAGTTGATAGCGATCGTGGGGAGGGACCATTCCTGACCTTGTAGAGGTAGCGGTAGTAGACGCCGAAGGCTGGGGTATTGGTCGGGTGCGAATGGATTGAGTGCGACCCAGAGGAGCCGAAGGTGGTGGCATAGCAGTCTTGTCTTCCTTTCTACTGGTCGGGATGGCCATGGTCGGTCTTGTCGGACTGGACATGGGCAAGCTCGAGGCAGAAACATCTTTGCTTATCTTGAGTGAGCGAGGAGTCAGCTGTGGCAGTTGGCTCCTCTTGTTGACAGTGCCAGGATTGTCTACCGGGTCCTATACCATCTCAGCGCTGTTGGAGGGTTGAGTGGCCATANNGGAAGCTACCTCGGCTTTTGTTGTTGTCCTTACAGGACGACGGATAGAAGGCATTCGCGACGACATTTCGATATTTCAGACTTCGGCTACCACAGTGAACCAATGCAACAATCAGTCTATTCACAGAAAAGCACAATTGTTTGACGAAGCCCTAAGAAAAGTCGAGTGATGTTTTGTTGATGTCAAGTGAAACAACAACGACTCGGAAACAGCAAGCAGCTTCGTGTTTGCATCATTTGCTCGTCTGCCTTGACCAACACCCACCCGACCTCCTCGGTTCATCTGACAACACTTCACTTCACCTGTCGTCAGAAGGCGGAGTGAAACTCACCATCAGATCCTTCTTCTAAGCTCTGTGCACATAACCTCTCATGGTCCACCAACATGGACAACCACTTTCACGCCTCACTCCAAGAGCTCAAGCTGCAGCTTGATCTCATGAACACACGTACTGCTTCAATACTTAACAAGCCACACCAGCACTCCAACAACGTAACAAACAATACAAGTCAGGTTGGTCACTTCACATTTGCCATGGCAGAAATCAAACACATCGGCGCGACTGTCGATGCACTTGCGAGCGAGCAAGAAGATCGTTACCAAACTATGATGGATCAACTCGATGCCCTGTGCGACAAACTTGACGACCTCGCTAATCCTCAATTCACCCCACCTGAGTCGCCTGGTTCATCTGTCTCGTCCATGCCCCGTGACATGCCACGTCAAACTCACGACATGCCGTCTGCAACCCTCGCTGACATTGGTGGCCACTTCTACCCAAACCGTGGTCAGAACTTGCACAGTGATCACCAATACATAACAGATGCCTGCATCTTCGTTGGTAGAGTGAACCGCGCACGCCGCACAAAGTCTATCGCCAACCTCGAGATCTTCTTGGGAGGCTCTGCTCTTCGCTGGTTCCACATCAATCTCAGAATCGACGGTTCGCATACCTTTGACAAGCACGGACAGCTGGACATTGACAAGTTCTATGAATCACTAATCCTCCTCTTTGGCGTTCCGAGATTGTCGACATCAGCTTCCCACATCGAGGCTATACACCTCACGCCAGTTTGGATGCGCAGTGCCATCGTCGAAGACTATATCTTCCCTGCTCTTGAAATTGCTCGCCAACAAGATGCTCTTGGCAGCTTGAATACCGGTATGAGCCTTGCTTTGAGCAACGCAGTTGCACTCTACAACAAGAGTTCCAGATCCGAGACGGTGGATCCTGACATTCTCAAAAGCGGAGATCTGCTCGATGTCTTGGTCCGCCTCCGCCGCAGCGAGTATGAGCAGAAACTCGACAGGATTGGGTCTCAAAAGCGACAGCTCCTTGATGATGATGGTGCAGCATTTGCTAAGGCGCTTGCTGAGGATACAACCATCCCCAAGTATCTCAAGAACCAATTCGCGCAGACCCAGGACAGACAGCTCCTGGCAAAGAGCTACGTCGAACAGGCCACCATCGCCGCCAGAACCACAATCGGGCCTAGCCCTCGAGTTCCTACGATCGAACCATGTCCCCCAACTCCCAAGGGCCCTCGTCAGCCTGTGTCAAGCACTCTGAGCCTTGCTTCTGATATGAATGACAGACGTGAAGAACTGCACAAGCCCAAGACCATGAACCCCGACACGATTGGTCCCAGAATACCAGTGTCTCCCGAATTGGCCAAGAAGTTTGGTCTTAAACCAGGCCGTCAACCGTAAGTATCGCCCTTTTTGTGGACTGTTCGCGATTCGCGGGCTAACATAAGGGACAGTACACAGCAACAATTGCTCCAGTTGCAGCAGCAGCTACACATACAACATACAGCGCAGAAGAAGATTCTGGAGTCGCAACAATCGCCTCAGCAGCAGCAACAGCAGCAGGTCCACCAAGTTTCCGGTAAATTTACTCTCGGCCCACAAGCAAAGGCCTTCCTCGGCGGCTTCAAGGTTTTCCCTCCTACCAGCATCATGCCCGACACTCCAGACTACCAAAATTACAAAGGGCGTGTTATGGATACCCTGACTAGACACGTCACCTTGCAAGAGAGCAGTGTTAGTCGCTTCCAGCAGACACATGAGACAATAGTACAGTTGGAGGCCGTAGGACACACCCCAACACCAGACCTGTTCTCTGCGAGAGACGACGCCAGAACTGGTGTCCAAGACGCAAAGTCCAAGATTGATAATATTCGCAATGAGAACGAGAGGCACCGTCTGGCTTGGGCCGAGAAGTCGAAATCGAAGTCGCCGCAGCAGCAGAGAGCCATGAAGAGCGCTGAACTCCTTCACACTAACCACGATCTTGGAGCTCGTTCTCACCAGCATACCTCTCTCCTCGCTACGCATGGACGTCCCGACTCCAGTCTTCTCGAAAAACCTTTCGGTGCCGTTGCGCTCGACTCAACCAAGAATTTCAAGCCTCAACATGGCTTGTCAAGAGACAGCATCCTCTCGGTCAGACCATTCAGCGATGCCAAACCGGTTGCTTCAAGCATCCAGAAGCCACTATCTGAACGGCTGCAAGGCCGTGATGACACACTTGAGAAATCGACCAGCGTCCCTTTCGTCATTTCGAGCCCTGGAAAGAGACGTGATATTGTCGGCCATGAGATGTCTGCTCCTGGGTCTGCGAACAAGCTTTGGAGCCCTGAGTTACCGTTGCGCTGTGCAAATGCCGCCCTTGAGTCATGTGCTCACGACGTCCATTCGACAGCATACAGTCGTCAGATCAATTCATCGACTGTTTCTCCATACGAGAATCTTGGATCAGCGATGATTGGTTTATCGAAAACGCGTCCCGAACAGAACTTCCCACAGCTGGCAGATCAGCTCAAGAGAGATGCCGAGCGCTACGTCACTCTGTCGCCCAAGCAGGACAACTGCCTCCCTCCCGGTACCTTTAGCGGTTCGGATGAGAGTGCAAGTGCCCAAAGCCACGACATGACTGAGGATGCCACGCCTAATCTTGGCAGCTCTTTGCTAGACAACTCGGATTCCGTCATCTCAGGCCCTGCCACCACAACTTCTGGTGCCACAACTGCAGTTTCTGCATCTGGGGCCGATGTCTTTATCATTCCCGAGGGCGCTCGCAACTGTCTTTCTGGCTTGAGCTTCATCTTCCGTGGTCAATTCAGACACGTCTCCATGAGCGAATGCCAGAATCTGGTCAGGCGTTATGGTGGAACATGTGCGACCCATCTCAACAAGAAGAAGATGACCTATGTTGTTCTGGGATCTGCAACAGACTCAGAGCTCCTGATTGCTGAGCATTTCAGGCAACTCAAACACTACAGAACTAAGGTGATCAACGAGGAGGGCTTCTGTGCTCTCATCTCGAGACCTCCAGTTCGTTTTGTGTGGGGACAAAAGAAAGAAACAGAAGAGACCGAGAGTGTCATTGAGAATAGCTCAACCACCAAATCTCTTGACCAGGAGTGTAACACAACCTCCGCCACCGCTCATTCTGATAATTTGGCCCAGCGTGCTACTGCTGAAGAGGTCCATGACGAAGACACAATCAGCCACAAGCATGATGTTCCTTTCGGCGAATGGGGACATCACGCTCGCTTCCTTGAGGAACATGCTGCAGCTGTGGCCGGAAACACCATCAACGAAGAGCGGTCGTCATACTAGACCAAACTCCTGGAGGCTGAGACTGATAAGTCACAACTAACGGATTAACGATGATAAGATGAGAAGAACCGGGGACCCAAGGAAGAACAACGAGAAGATGAGAGAAGAGCGAGAAATAACGAGAAATGACAGAAGGATGGAGGAACACGAGCAACGACGAATGAGTAGTTCAAGGGAACACAGCTCCACAAGCACAACGAAGACTCTCACCTCTTGTACTATGAAAGAAGAAGAAGAAGCTGAACTAAAGGATGCACTTTTGTACGTAGCAATGGAATAAAACCACCCCTATCCAATCGGAGCCAATAGGGGAGACGGACAAGGTGCCGTGAATCCACTCAATGTCCACGTGTATACCGTGATTGCCATGAGCAAAGTCTAACTCTACTCGAGCCTCAAGCAGTGGAACGACGTCAATCTCGAGTTTACTGACACGCCGACCAAAACTTCAAGGTCGAGTGAGGCAGAATGGAGAAAAAATCAACTGGCCCATCACTGCACGAAACAAACCATGCAACTGCAACGTCAACAACACACCAAGACAACAAAAACAAAAGCTGAAGGATAGATTGAGGAATTTCTTTCGTGGTGGTATAAAGCGCTAAAGGGTCATCAAAGAAAAAAGGACAACAGGTATTGTAGGGAGGGGGTTTTTTTTCTTTCTCTTTTCTTTTCGCATGTTTGCATATCTCTCTTTTCTATAAAACTTTGTTGCTCTGCTTCTGCTTGATGGATGTCAAATCCCAAGTCCCAGGTCTTTCATAACATTTTTTTCATATCAGGGGTGGTTCTTCGAGAAATGGGCAGGTGGGGGAGGTGATCCAGTCACACACACACTCCAGGTAAAACATGTTCTCCGAGAAAATCAATTCCGTGGGAGGTGTAGAGGAGAGGGGAAAAGAGGTTTAGAGGCTGCCTCTGCGGGGCACGCTGACGCCTTCGAGGGCGGCGTTGTCGGTGAACCAGCTGACCTTGTCGCCGGCGCCCTCGTTGACCAAACCGCAAGGCAGAGCGCGGCCCTCCTCGGTCTCGAAGATCTTCTTGAAAATGTCCTTCTTGCCGGCACCGGTTGCCACAAAGGCAATCTTTGCGCCGTGGAGGACGACAGGCAAGCTCAGAGTGATGCGCTTGGGTGGGGGCTTGGGCGAGTCGGAGATACTCAGAACCCAGGCGTCAGACTCGCGCAGCAGAGGGTGCTCGGGGAAGAGCGAGCAAGTGTGGCCATCGGGACCGCAGCCGAGGAGGAGAAGATCGAAGAGAGGCAGCTTGACAGAGTCGCGGGCGGCAAAGACAGAGACGAGTTGCTTTTCATACTGGTCTGCGCATTCTTGGGCGTCGTCGAGGTATTTTTCCTCGATGGGGAAGACCTTGGGCTCGCCAAAGGCTTCCTTGTCGATCTTGTCCAGCAGCTCGTCCTTGAGCAGTTTGTAATTGCTGTCTTC